TATTCGATCGTGAAATCGTAAAACTCAAGACCTGAAGAAGTCGAGAGCAATGATTTTCCTATGACAGCGCGGAACGCTCCAGCAGGGAGCCGACTCCTTCTGGTTCGTCGAGGGAGAGCTCCACGGATCGTCGGGATGTTGAGGACGTGATCGGGTACGTGGCATGTTATTACGCAAGAGGCGAACCGAATAAGGATCCCTAGAGTCCTTCATCGCGATGAAGGTGTGAGTCACCACTGTTATTGCTTTCGGGAATGTCTTTTTTCGGTCGCTTATCATTGGTGGAGTCAGTTCCGCTCCGCTCTGCCAAATTCTCGGCAATAGAAAAATGTGGACGGGTTGATACACATGTTCGCTTGAAACCAAAACAAGGATCGGGTTGTCCTATGGATACAGTTTTGCGATAGAGTTTTTTTCTTCGTTCCACCATCGCAGTCCGTCAAAGCTCGATTATTTACCTGCGTCGGTCGGTCCGACCCCAAAAGTCCCTGCGTCCGTCCCCCCAATCGATCAAGGCTCGGATAGTTTGCGCTTCGGTAGCGAGCACCACGTCGAAAAGTGTCGCACTTTGATTTTTCGAACAGCTTTCAGAGCAGCTATTTTCTTCGTTTTTAAGTCAACTTCGTGGCGCCAGCCAAAACGAGTCCTTCGTCGAGGAGCTTCACGGACACTGCTAGAGCTGGCAATGGAAGGTGTGCCTATCTGTGGGAACCGAGTCTTCGGTGGTAAAATCCGAGCGGGGCGATGATCACAGAGTTGTCAGAAACGTCGATCCCTTCCTACGATGAAGAAGTTCTGCGAGGGATTTTGTTCGGACAAGAAAGTGAGGGAGACCGAGAAATCTCATCCGGTATATGTGAAAGTCGGAAGATTGAAAAAGGAGAAAAGATTCATAACCCGAGATACCTCCAATATGCATCCCATGAGGAGCTCGGCGGATTCCGGGAGGTCCTGGATTGGTATTGGCTGAGATTCCAGATGGCTTCAGCGACAGCCGTTTGGATTCGCGCGCCAAATCTTGCTTTCAGAACGGCTAATCGCCTTGGCAACATCGGGCAGTGTTTCTGATTTTCCAACGGCTCTGAAAGCTCACCATCTGCTGCATCTGCTCGATTGGCTGAAAGACAGCTGTTGTCATTGAATGGAGCTGCCCTGAATTCGTACAGCAGATAAATCAGCCGATGTGTTTTTCCTGTCTCATCTGGCGGACGGATCACTCGAATGACTGATCCGATGTTAGCATGAAGAACAAGAACGAGGACCGTCGGACCTCGGTGTCCTCATCCAAGAAAGGGCGTCTGGTTCCGTGGGAAAAACGTATTCCAGCGGAAACTCGCAGTATTCCAACATGTCATGCAATTCAGAGAGGTACCCTGGAATAGAGAATAATCTATCGTTCTTCGCGCTTAATTCTTCAAATCAAGTTCGGGAGATGCTGCATCGCGCAAGGAACTTACGGCAGAGGTATTCCCGAGCGCTTTGTCAAGTGTCGCAGCCAGAGTCGCCCTGACGCTCGGAGAGGGATTGGCGTTTTCTCTCGTGCTCGAAAGTTAAGGTGGTTTATCAATACAGAGCAGAGTTGTGATTGACGTGACGTGTAATAGCGCTCCGCCCATTTAGAGACCCCCAGGTTCGCCTTCAATCAAAATGATTTTGTTATCTCCGATTCGCTTCAGACGTTCATCACACCTTGATTGTTGATTTAGTGACGCTCGAAAGCTTCTGATGCCACCATCTGATACCAGGGGGAACCGGTGAAAATCGAATGTGCTTCTGATGATGGTGGAAGCCGTGTCGATGCATCATTTCATTTCGCTCATCACGCGGAGCAAGTTCTCGGACCCAAATAAGCCAGAAGAGTGAGAAGGGCAGCTCAAAGAGGCCTACTGATAACGATTCCGATCCGATCCGCCTGATTGGGGAAAGACGATGAAAAAGGAAAGTATTTCATATTTGCTCAGCGAAGTTTGAACAGTTGATTCTTTCTTTGCTCAGTCGACGGAGGGGACCGTCCATCGGTGGCCCGCGATGGAAGCGGCGATTCCGATCATCGCTGCTTCTGCTGCGGCGGCGGCGGCGGCGGCGGCGGCGGCGGCGGATACGACCACGATGATGACAGTGGTTGTGGCACCCAGAGCAAGCTCAGTATGTCCAGAGGCTCGTTGTGTATTGTGACTTTTGTCCACCTGGGGCCTTTTTTCGCCCGTCGTGATTCTGTGCGACGACTGTCTAACTGGTCAAGCGGCCGGTCGACGAGCGAGCGGCGACGCGGGCGAGCGGGTGGCCGCTTCCGCCCTTAGAGGCACACACATAGACACGAAGTTCTCAATGCGAGCACCCGACACTCCTCTCTATGCGCGGTTCCGTGCTCGTTTGCAGTGGCACTGCCGCGTATTCAGTCAGATCTCCCCACCGAACGGAACGTTTGGCCGTCGCGGGCCGTCAAGTGTGAAGACCCAAAAGCAAGAATTGTCTCTTCACGGGATCAGCCAGTCAGCTAGCTCTGGAGCTAGCGCACTTAAAGGCGAAGCGAAGCCTCAGTGAGCCACCGAGATGAGCCAATGTCAATGGGAACGGAGACAGGGAAGCAAAACGACAACGATGGCAATGATAGCATGGCCAGTGCCATGAGGACGCGCGGTGAGAACCGCGTCGAAAGTACTCATGCCGGGACAGTTTTGCAGTTTCCGGTTGATGCCTCATGCATGGTGATTCGGTCCAGCAGTAAACACCAGATTAGACTTTCCAGCATATTTTGGATCCTCAATCTACGAAACCAGGAGGAAATTGTCGAATATAATTTCCGTTGCACGATGCCCTTATAGCTCCCGTGAACGCAGAGAAGATTCGTTCCACAGAATGTCCACATCGGTTTCAGCTCCCGATGCTCGAAATGATCGCCAAGGTTTCCATTGATTTGTCGAAATTCTTCTCTCGGTCACTCTTCCTCGGAGCTGTTGATTTTCTGGCGATACGCGCGATGTTTTAGGCGTTTGTTGTCGACACACGGAGAGATGCCTTAGAGTTCAGAGAGTACCCTGCGATCCGAATCGAGGGCTAATTCCCGAGAGCTCGGGCGAGGAATAGGTTCCGACTCAGTCCGCGAAGAAGGACGAAATGGATGAGCGTTTTTGAGGAAATCTCGAAATTCTTTGTTAGCAATCTACGGGAAACTACCGACGTGAAGGGTGATTTATGGTGCGGACGATGGTCCACCCGATGTGCGCGATCTTATTCTGGCCAAGATTCAACCTCTGCCGTCCCCTTGCGGAAGCTGAATGTTCCTTGAGGTCTCTTTCTCAACTTCGCGGATCAGCTATATTGATCAGGGGCCCTCCGGTGATCCGACGACTTTATCACACGAATTCCTTAAACTCAAAAAAGAACGCTCCCATGATATGCATCCGTGAGGTGTGCGGTTGTAAAACTCGAAGGCTGGAGCCAAACACTCCTCGGTCTATGTTGACCCCTTAGAAACTGAAATAAAAATCGTTCTCGAACCTCGGGGCAATTCGTCTACCAGCGCTTCACATAAGCCTTCTACGATCTATCACCGAATGGTTCGATTGAACTTGCGTAACATCCAGCGCACTACGAGATCGGAAGCTCTTCCTCGCAAGGAGGGAGCTATCAGGAAATTCCTGACTTTATCGGGCAGCGATGCGTTCTTCACGCGACCGGAAACCAGAATTCTGTATCTAGATTCCCAAGAGAACTTTTTAGCACACTGAAGCAATTCCCCAGAAGATGTTCGACAGCGGCGAGTTCCATCGGAAACCGATGGAGATGAATTGAGCGCTATGTCTCATCGTTCTTGCTGAGGACGCCGATGAGAGAATCGCGCTCGATTCGAGTTGGACCTTGTTACGATGCATCAGAGAGAGCGAGGTATGATAAGGCTCGAATATCGTCTCGCCCGGGGTCCTTATGTTGGAGGAGTGAGCCAGCCAGACGATCAGTCAGTCAGTTAGTGAGCGTAGGGACGACGCCGCTGAGGCCCTCCCTTTCCCCACCCGCTGCCCTGCCTCATACATGGTTGAGCTCGTGACTCAGGAGAACAACATTGATCCTGGTCGAGCGTCGGAGAGACTGTCATACTATGTACTGGGTATCCATTCTGTCCCGGTCCGATATCAGTCCAAAGTCTGTGGGAGCATATGGCCGGTCGAAGAGCCTGCGGCTCCGGGGGTAGGGGACGGGATACGCGATTTGATGATCAAACTGGGACCTCGAATGAGCGGCGCTTCAAACTCGAGAACGATTCGGTATCAGTCTGCCCATCATACTTTCCGTTCCTTAATTTACCCCGCGATACGACGTTTCGGGCCTTCGCTCATGGGATAGATTCAGGCTCCACAAGTTAACGCATGTCTGACTTTCGCTGCAAGGAGGATATGCGTAGAATGCTGGCACTCCGTCAGAGAAATGATAGACCGGCATATGTAGCGTTTTCGCCGCTGAGCGGTTCGCTTGAGTTTTTGGGAACAAAAAATCCTTTGCTCCCGGACAGCGATATGAAAAGCCATTCTGAGCGCTGCTGGCTGCGAGCGAGGGCGGGGCGTTGAGTCTTGAGCGTGAGGTCCCTCGTCATCTGCAGGCAAAAGTCACGCGAGATCTCCGTGCTCTAGTGCACTTTCCGCGATTGTAGAGCGGACCGAGCAGACGAGCTCGTAGTCCGAACCGGCCTGGCCACCGCAAGTTCATACTTCGCAATGGGAGACGCTGTCAGAGCCACACGCGATGCACCGAATACACGAAACCGCACCGTTAGATGATAATTCTAGTTTATCTCATCTGATTCGATCCACCGACTCTTCTTTCTTCGAATATATCCCGTCCCACCCACGTTTCACCCATATCCGAGAAGAGCGCCTCGAGAAATGCTCGTGATGGGCGCCGCGACCCGCGAAACTACAACCCAGAAACTCCTTATCGATGATTTTCCGACCCGCAGATTACGTCAACCCCCCTCTAACGAAGCATTCTCTCTTGTTTCACAGTTCAAGGAGAGCCTGTACGGCGCCACGTGGCTCTCATTTGTCCAGGATGATGGAAAAATCACGGTCTTCGCGCCGACCAACCACGCCATCGAGCTTTTCGATCGTCTCGAATTCGAGCGTCAGGCGGAAGCCCACAAGAAGTCGTTCTTGAGAAACTTTTTCGGTAAGCTGCAGATAATAATTGATTCCCTCAATCGGATGGCTATGCTTTCCCTGAAAGCGGCGCTCCACCGAGAGATCACCTCTCGGAATTCCTCTGATAACGCTGAATCTTTCCTCTCAGTGCAAGCCCGAATAAGAACCGAAGAGCTGCCTGATCGCTCTGGATCCTTCCAGAAAGCCAGTCCATTGTTCTACACGAAAAAATGGGAAGACGGACAAGAGGTGAGGACCACATCGCGGTCGTATTCGTAACCATTGCCGCCTTTTCAGAGTCCCTGTGTTGAGATCGTTCCACGTTCAGAAAGAGCGCCGATCTCGCCTTTCTTCGCTTCGTAAACATTGAGCATCATTATCAGAGTGTTTTGCATTCTCTCGCCAAAACCAAGGGAATCGGCATCCTTCCTCGTCGATCGGTGGTCACTCGCTCTCAATTAGAAGATTCGTCCTAGATACTACTGACAGCTCTTCGATATCGATCTCTGTTGAATACAGAGAAAGCAAAGGCACACGTCTACGCGGTGGAATTGAATTCGCCTCAGCGCGTCGACGCGCGATCACCCTTGTGATTGAGTTCAACTCATTGCTTGTGCTGTTTGTCCGTCGAAAATTTTCCCTCCTCCCGTTCCCAGGCATTTGGTAGAAGTCGGATATCGATGATCGCTCCTTCAATGATAATGAGAATTCAATCCATGTCGCCTACAGAGATCAGAAGATTGATATTCCGGCGGTGGATTGTCATTTCCCGAATCGGACGTACCGTCCGCACACTTGATTATGAGCCAGCAGACTCCACTCTCTGAGCTCTGTAATCATCGGAATGGGAATCATCTTCTATGAGAAACTCTCCTTTCGTCATTCCAATGGACTTTTGTTAGTCTGTGTTTGCGTGTGGTTGGGCGGCCAACCACATCTTCTATCTCCATGTCGGCCACGAAAATCACGACTGAAGATCCGACGTCGGAATCGCCTTTACCGTCATCCGCATCCGAGAAAAAGAAGGCCGGAGCAAGGGATTCCCCATATTAGTTTGAGTGGCTCCGCAGATTCGCCTTTCCGGCTCTTACACTCCCGAGCTCGGAACGATACACATGCACAGATGCATTTGAAGCTCACGTCGATATTCCTCACCTTACAGAAAGTTTACGTCAACGAAGCCCAAATCATCAGACAGGCTGCGGGGACCGAGGATATCACAATCTACCTCATCGACAGGGTTCCGAACTTCAAGCAATTCGAGAACGTCCCGCCAAGCGCCAAGGACTTGCTGAAGGACCTGGACAAGCTATTCGGCGTACGGGTTAATATATTGCACGATCTGATAACCACCGAAGTTCTCGAGTCAGATAGGGTCCCAATAAATCACATGGCCAATGCCTCTATTCCAGCTCAAGGGCCTCTCAGTTGACGGATTCAGGAGTCGAGTAGAGAAGTTGAAACTATGGGATCTCTTCGCAACGTGAGTGATTGTTGGTAAAACGACTCCGAAGCGAGTCTCGGATTGAAGAACGCGGAAAGAAGAGAGAGCATTTTGGTTGATACCTGGAGATGATTTTTGAACCGTGAGACGAGAGGTCTTAGAGCAGACGTATTTCCATCAGAAAATAAGCATGGGATTATTATTTCGATATCGGAAGTCCAGCCCGAACGTCACTCTGTGCTTTTACAGGCAACGAGGAACTTTCTTCTTCCCAATGATTGAATCACCAGATTCTCGACTCACAGAAGAAATCGTCCAGGCTCACGTCATTCCTGGGAAAGTTCTCTTTACACCGCACTTCCAACACGAACGATTCTTCACAGCCACCCGAGGCGAGGGTGGAAGACGCTTCCAGATCAGCCTTGTCAACGAAACTGACAACCATATCTCGAACCGTAAGTTAGCCGTCAACGCAGCTATTTTCGTTCCGAAGCAGTGTGACATTGATTCGATTCAGGGTGATGACGACTCGTTAGGTGCTATCAGTCTTAAAGAGAGCTGAACGATCGATCATTCATTCCAGTTTTGGTCAAGAGCACGAGTGTCGGCAACAAGCCGGGAGAGAAGACATCGATCGTTTCCCGACTGCATCTCGCGAACGTGCCCGTTGAGAACGGAGTCGTACACTTCATCGGAGCACCATTGGGTTTCCCCACGAAATCCGTATGGGATTATCTCCAGGTTCGTCCGAGCTCGTACATGACGATAGTGTGGGAATAGGAAAACGATTGGGGGAGTTCGATATAGAAAACCGAGACAAGCTCCGGTTTTGGAGCCCGAAATCTCCGGCCACGGACTCCTCACCAATTTGAATATGAAAATTTGCTCGCCCGCAGAACGAAAAGGAGAGTCTGAACCGGTTCAACAACTTCGTCGATATCGTCAGAAACTCGGTAGAATTCAAGAACGAGCTCCGCAGAGCCGATAGGAAGACGCTCTTCATTCCGAGCAACCACGCTATCAGCGTTCTGCCAGCAGACGTTTGGAGTCAGTACAAATCGAATCAGAGCGAACTAACGAAAGTAAGCGACGTACAAAGTTACAAATGATAGGAAACTCCCATTGATATATATATATGTATAGATACTGATGATCTGTTCTAATATTCCAACCACCAAGTTTCCGAGATATCTCCGGACCAACTACAAGAGCAAACCGATAAGACGTCTCCTTCCTCGCATATTTCAGCTACTGAAGTACCATTTAGTGCAAGGCCAAACCATCACCGAGGATTCGCTGAGAAGTTCTTCAAGTTATTCCCCAACCTTTACCGCCGCGAATGTTCCGATAGTTGTTCGAGAGATTCAGTGCACATCCGGCTGTACGTTTAACTCTGGTACATATCGATGAAGGTTCTCTAGGTATTTCCCTGTTGTTCACCCTTGTTGTACACCCCTGTTCACCTACGCCGCAAGCGTCTTGCGTAGTAGACTCACGCAGCGCCAGCAGCTATTATTCGCTTTGCGATGATGGTATAACTGGTCTTTGGTGTTAATTTGCAAGGAATCTGCATCACGGGGTAAGGTACCTTTAGAGAAGACTGCGAGAGTCCGAATTCACCTCATTGTCGACTTTCGACGAGACATTTCGTCTCTCATCTCGTCGGTCGAACTAAGCCGACTTCAATTCTCAATTTGAGCTTTCCTGACTCCTGACCCTGAGGAATTATTTCCTCGAGGAGTAGACTCGATCCTTAGCATGTCGGGCAGGAGCCAGGGATAGCGGAAGCCGAAACCAAGTACCAGACCTAGTAGCAACGACACTATTGACCGAAAGCGAAAAGATCTCTGAAATAAGCAGACAAGGTTTCCACCATGATCGCAATTAGTTCGTTTTCTGGAGTTCCGCTAGTTCTCGAAGAATATCTCCGATCTGTCGGCATGTACGAAGCGATCTGTCATGCGGAATGCTGATATGTTGAATGATTTTCGAACTTACCGCTCATGAAACTAATATCCCCTTACTAATAATGAAGACATACGATGCGATTGTGTGTCTTATTGAAGACGCTGCCGCTAGGTCAATGCTTGCATGGCACCGAGCAACAAGTTCGCCCTGATTCCCCGTGAGAGGAGTAGCAAATACTAATATTCCCCCCGTACAGGTGCCAATAGGAGTATACTCGTCGAGTGCGCCGGAGTTAACGCCACTGTGTTGAGTTCTGACATCGGTGTCTCGGACGGCGTCATCCACATCATTGATCGAGTTTTGGGAGCCCCGTCGCATTCCCTTGGATGGAAACTACAGAACGAAGAGCCCCTCGCGTAAGCATGAGAGGAAATATCGCACCTCTCATTTAAATATCGAATTTATATCTATCGCCATTCGAAGTCGTGGTTCACTAGAAAGAATCCCTCGGGACATCGATTCCGCTCGTGGAAGTCTCATCGAATGTCTCAATGTTCTCAGAACGACCCAAGCTGTTGCCACCAAAGGGCACTGGAACAAGAAGCTGGATAATCCGAACAGCCATTTCACCCTGTTCGCCCCCAACAACTATGCCTGGCGCCAAATTTCAAAGAGTGACTACAATCGACTTGTTCGTCAACCGAGCGAACTTCATGATCAGGCTGCTGGCATCATGAACCGCCATCTCGTGAACTCGCAATTGAGTCGCGACGAACTTCTCAAGCTCTCTGAGCTTCGAACTGTTCGTGGAGACACAATCAGACTATCTCACGATAATGATCAGGTGAGAAATCAAATCCGTCGAATAGAATTGGAAAAGCAGCTAACTCGCTGAGCGGTCTAACATGCTTTCCTCGCCCATCCCCAGATTAAGCTCGCATGGGGGAGTCGACAATGCTCCGTCCTGAACAGCGACATCCACGCAACGAACGGTGTGATCCACATCATCGACTGCGTTCTCATGGAGAGCGATGATTTGGTCTCGACGGCGCGAGCGGTATCTTCGTCCATCAGCGTCGTCTTGGCCGGGGTTGTTGCCGCAATTTTCTTCATCGGGAGACACTGAGGCCTCGTCTGAGAAGCTTGCGCCAGATATCCAAAGAATATCCTTATAGCGTTCGATAGCTTGGGAGGAAGAAAATCTAGCCATCTAACAGAGAATTCGACGAGGAGGACGCTATTTCCCAACCACGGTCGGCAGCGGTATGAGGATAGAGACTGAAAAATGAAAAGAAACTGCTCCTGGAGAATGATTACCAACAGCCTCTATCTGATCCGATTCCGGGGACGTCTCACGGAACGTTGAGGAAGAAATTGCCAAACTTCAAATCAGGTTCACAAACGAAGCGAAAACCCAATCCTCTCCAGCCAAACTTGAAGCACACTACACGACGGCAAAATGAGGCGTTTGCCGCCTCTAGATGGTTCCTGAATGAAGCTGAAAGTTCTGTCTATGAAACAATACCTTCGGCCGATGCGGCGACCTGCGATGAGAGGATATCATTTTATCTACCTAAAATTCGGAATAGCAATCGCAAGCCATAAACTTAAGAAAGAGTTAAGCGCGCCAATCCACAGCGACTAAAAGAGAATCAAAGTGGATCGCACCAATACTGAATGAGTTTCGTAGCCAGACGGTTGCTATCGAGAGAGAAAACGCGTCAACGCGAAGGAAAACGTTGACCCAGTCGGAAGAACGAATGTTGGGATGGTGGAAGCTGTCGCCCACCGTCATTGGCTCGAAGTTTACGTGCGTGCACCATACTATCGAATCTGTTCGGCTGCCCTTTGCATAAATTCAAGGAGCCACTCACCGAATGAGTGGACCAATCATGCATCCGTTCCGCTCGGTTGACTGGCTGGCCAGTTAATTCTTTGATTGATCAGTTTATGAACACTCATCACATCTCAATGATTTGTAAACGTCGCCGACAGCTCGTCGGGAGCTACCGGACTCTCCATCGTAAGCCATCGAGCGGATTACCAGAATACGAGCGCTACGCGAGACGGACACTGAGCCTACCTATCATCGCACCAGGTGTAGAATGAACGATACGAGCGCGATGTTATTTATTTTGTAGAATTTTTCCTCTGTCGATATGTGTTTTGTCGAGCACGCGGTCTTGTCGAAGGAGCCATGCTGGCGGAGCATTTTTGAACCCGATGAAATTACAGGAAGATAATTTTGGACAGCGTCCTCGCTTGTCTCCGTCAGATTGCAGAACTCGCGGCGCGGACATCGGGAGGAGCGTCGCTCACGTGTCGGCACTCAGAAAGCCCGATGTCTCCGCAATCTCGCGCTTTCATTCCAGTTGAGTTAGTTAGGTTCGAGTTGATTGATTTTTTCTTTGTTCGATGAATGCAGCAACCGCGATAGTATAGGACGAGTACATAATGGAAGAAAGGCGATGGCGAGAGCCGTCGTCTTCATCACAATCGAGTGCGTGAGTCCTGTTTGCTGCCGGAGCGGTCTTCTGAGGTTTGCTTGAGCACTAACAGAGCGCCTGCCCCTTTATTTTTCCGCAAATTCACGACGCAATCCATCTATATCTTTTCATCCCACCTAGAGTTATCAGACTGTATGAGATTTCCCTGGGATAAACTCTCAGAAGCTATTCCTTTCACTTGGAGACTTACCGATATCTACCCATTTTCACGAATGAATCCACCCGCAGACTCTGCTCTCCACCGAAAATTCGAGCTATGGAACATTCATCTGAGATCTAGGCTTGAATCAGACTTTCTGCGGTGCGTTGAGCTCTTTCATTTTTCCTTCCCTCCGCTAGCCTCATGTAACATAAGCGAAAATGACCTGAACGAGTTACTTCCTATCGAGCATGAGAGAAATCACGATTATCTGGAAGTCTGACTTCCCACATTCGACCTTGAACACTGCCGGATAAGCGTGTGACATTCTCGAGTCACACAGAGTGCAGAGGGCGGAAAGAGCTGCAACCTCGATGCTACGGGAAGCAGTCACGATTGATGATTGATCGCTGCTCGAAGGGCCAATTGATTGATTGAGCAAATGAACGAGTGGCGCGAATATTTTCGGCATCGGACGCTTGTGTCCGAGCCGAAAATTGTAAATCCGTTCCGAAGCCTCGCTCGCGTTCAGCGCACCTTAGGTTGGGATGGGTACTCCCTGGAAAGAAGCGCTCTCTCGACATCCCCTAATCCCCTCGTAATTGTTCAGATCCTCTCTGACATTTCGATTGGCTCCGTAATCGGTTCATGAAATTTCACGGATAGCGGATGGGGAATTGGTCACATGCCACACTCATGAGCAGTAAATCTGCGAGGAAATCAGCATCGAATCTCAATTTGGGAAACCTGGACGGGAACGACTTCACGAGAAAAATCAGCGAATTTGCTAGAACGGTGATCGTGATGTTGGAATCAATCCGTTCAACTAACAATCGTACGTATTCGACAACCTGAGGTGCCTTTCAAAGCTACTTCCGACAATTGCCGTAGCTTTCCAGAGTTCATATACATGGGTTGAAGATGTCTCATGGCTTTCTTTCGTATTCAACGATCTTTGAGGACTGAGAAAAATGTCTCGACTATTTATTCCTTAGTCTTGCTCGAGTTCGGTGGTCATTCTGAAGATTATGATTCTCTCGATCATTGGTTTTGATGACGACGATAGTAATGATATTGCTATTGATACTATTGTCAGGATTATGACGATTATTATCACTATTGATGGAGTCGAGATAGAAATGCCGTAATTGCTTCGACAATTGAGGTCGACGATAATATATACTCAGTGAAGCAGATGTGTCCAATACAACTGATGAGTGTAAAACAATGAGGTCGGAGATTTTGAGGCTGAATAAGGAGAGGCAGGCGGAAAATTTGTGCACTAATAAATCCGATCTGATACAAACCACTTACTATTTATCGAGAACGATTGACATCGGAAATAAAAATCGAATATTTCGAAGAAAAAAAGGGAGGCACTGCATGTCCCATTTCCGTCCTCTCATCCGGGTACTTCGTCGCGAAGCGATCTGTTCATATGTTGGTAGCGAACGAGCACCGAGTTTCGACCCCAAAAGACGGATTGAAACAATAATTATCCCGCAGGCGAACCTCTGAGAAATGCCGTAAACGAAGAGCTCCCGATTCCCACATCTTCGTTAGGGAATTTACGAGCCATCGCTCTCCAGACATGGAATTAGTGTACTGACCTCTACTGATTAAATTCTATCGGCTCTCGCTATGTATGGGGCCGTCGCAGAACTCGTAGAATAGAATACGGCAAATCGTGGGCCGACCATTCAGCGGGCTACGCTGTGGAATTAAAACAACTATCAAGATTTTTTCGGCAGGCATGCGCTGAATGATGGTGAGTAGCCCCGCAAGCTCCGTCAGAATGCGATCACGGGGTCGAATAAAGTTCGAAGTGATCCATTCAAGTCCACAGCCCGCAGAAGGCGCGAGCCTTCAATCAACGTCGAGGTATTGCTCCACCTGCACATATCCACCGAGATGAGCTTCCAAGCGAACCTGTAAATAAGTCGAAGCCTTTAGCGGGGTTAAGGCGTCGATCACTTGCCGCTCCTTCCTATAGTGGCTTCGTCAGAAAAACGGCATCTGGACTGGAACATCACTTATTGTGTGATACACGGGTTGAAGGTGAAGCTGTGCCATGGAGGAGGTTTGCAAGGGACCAGCTTAGAAAACTGTGGGTGGCCTGTTGCTTTCCAATTGAAAGCCCCGAAAACGATTCTCTCTGTCTCAGGCTCCATTGATACCGTAAATCCATCAGGAAGCTGCTGAATTCCGAAACCTCCGACTGCGAGGCCCGGATGGACGAATGCCCCGCGGACCAATCTTTTGTCAAAACCCCTCTCATATTTCAGGGAAGCCTTGGGAGTCGTGAGTCGTTTGTCCTTGCGATCTAGTTTGGGGAGCATCAATTTTCGCGCAGCTTCTTTTGCAAAGCATGCCGATTCCTTTACGGCGAATGACTCATGACTTTGCTTGTAGACATTGATCAGAAACTAGGTAAGTCGATGGCTTCATTATCGGGAATCGGGCAACCGACGGATTCGTGATTCGCTCATCGATTCTTCAGTATTTTTAGCGTCGTCTATCTGCCTTCTGTGAAGATGCAAATATTTGATTTTTCGTTGGAGATTTATTCTGCTCTTTCTTCTTGACTAAGCGGGAAAAAGTAGAAATGAGCTAAGGAGATGGAAATGGTTTGTATTTGAATGGACAACATTTTCGATTCTCTTGAATTCATAGAGGAATAATCCGAGGCCGGGGTGTCAAAGACGTTCCTCGTGACTGTTCCTGAGCGATTTCATGGCACCATATCTGTATATCTTCTCACAATGCCGATAGGGCGAGACAGTTGAAGGTGTTAAGGAATACCTGTGTGACTCGACTAAATACTGCGGAAGGAGGATGGCTGATGTATTCTCGTTCAACTTTTCGACTGGAGTCCAGATGTAACCCCCAGGCTCCTCCAGAGCTTGTTCGTGGCCCGCCGGGCTTTCGACTCTGACGCCTCTGGCTCTATGGCCTCCCGAGAGATACACCCACTGCCCCAGAAGAGATCGGCTTCCTTGGTTCCCGACCTGGGCCGTCGGCATGCCTTGACAGTTTTTTCCCTCTCCGAGCTCGCGATGTTCTCCTTGCTCTCATGAGATCGGAACATCACAAACCTCTCATCAGATATCCAATGATTGTGATGCCATCAAGTGCTCGCGCGGGGACACTACTTCGAATGCAGAGAACGACAATAGAGCAACAGGGGCTGGAAATCATTCAGAGCTTGCGATTTTCCCGCGAAATCACGCGGTACCCTCTCTCGATCCTCCAAGGAAATTGAGGCCGCGAAGCGCCGATGATACGGCCCAAAGGAGCTGCGCAAAATTCACAGCCAACAGCATGATAAATTTTTATTATCTGAGCCGCCCGGTGGCCATTGGCATCGTGGACATCATGGGCTAAAATTCCGTCGTTCAAAGCAAACATGCAGGATATAAGGAGAGCGAGCATGTTGATTCTTCGTCACAGGAAACGGTCGTATTCTCAGGCCACAAGGTGAAAGTCCACAAGAATGAAACACTGACTCTTCCCCAGTACACCCACCGCTGCTTCAGATCTGCAATGGAGCAAAGAACCTCTCTCACTGATATAAAGTGGCTCCACACGAACGGCAATTATCACGTTTAGATCTACATTTTGTGTGCATCTTGTGGTAGCAACTGTCTGAGATCATGTACGCTGGGATTTCAGTGCTCATAGTGTTGGTCTTGTCGATCGTGAGGAAGGTGAGAGTTCAGAAATATTAACTGAGGGAAGGCACCGACGCCTCGATGTCCAGTCAGGATTCTCGTCGGTGCTTCCGAGAAGTTCGCTGAGGTCGAGAAGAAGAAGGTCTCTTGGAGAAGCGCGCTCCCCTTCAACACGAGAATCGTCTATGGCCTCGCCAGAGAGATGCCTCAGACCCTCTTCCAATGCGGCACTGTTCTTCTAGGTTGACTCGGTCGCGGGTTTCCCCGCCGGAGTTGAAGACGTTGTGGGTGAAGTGAGATCAACATTCAAATGCCCGCCTCGAGCTGGATATTTCGCGGATGTGGATAACGATTGCAAAGTATTCCATGTTTGCCACCCGGTCGAATCATCTAAAGGTGGGGAACCCCAAACTTGATTTCGAGCTCATGGATATCTCGGCTCAGATTTTCGGAAGATTTCAATACACAGACTCATCGACGTAGGGACTGAGATTCGTACTCGCATTTCCCCAGGACAACAAGACATCCAGCATTTCATGTTCTTCTGTGGGAACCAGACTGTTTTCGACCAATCAACTCTAACCTGCGCCCATCCAGAGCAAGCGGTGCCTTGCTCCCTAGCAGCGATGTTCTTCGATTTGAATGACAGGATCGGACGGGAAGAGGAGTACTTCCTCTCAGATCAAGATGCGCAAAGAGCGGATTCCCTCCGAATTGGATTTTGAGACCCGGCAAGGGATCGAGAGATCAACTGATCCTTCGCAAACGATGAGACTGTATATTTAGATGAGGCGATTCTAAAATGCTCGTACCACCTACTAAAATGAAAGCAAAGATCTGAAAAGGAGCTAATAAATTGCCCGATTCACCCCGATTATGTTAGCTCATCGAGCGGAATGTGTGCAAGAAAAAGTACAAAACTCATTCTCGAAATTATCACCTGGGTCCGGAACAATGATTGCCCGATTCAGAAACTCGAGCGAATCGGATTCCACTTCGATAGGTGGCGTTGGGTCATCATTTTCTGATGCGCGACGCAGCTTCCATGAGGATCCTCATTATCGGGGATACGCGTAATGCAGACTTCGTGACCTTGCCATGAATGATGACAACGATCACAGCGGGATATCGAGCGGCCCAAGGACCTAGCATATGAGGCCGATGAGTGTCTTAACGACGGGGCTCGGACCGGGGAAGACTGCGCCCCTCAGTCTATTCGTATGAACATACAGCTCGTCGAAGAATGATCTCTCCATCAGGAAATACTCGGCAAGTCTTATTCAGAGCGGTTTATACCGACATTTTTCTCATGGATCTAATATTTTCCTCAATCCTCTCGACGGATCACGGGCGCGACGGATCTCATGAGTCCAGCAGGCGCGACTGAGTCTTTAATAGGTGGTTAGTGATGAGATGATGACGTGACTTCCGACTTGAGGCGGACAGATATTGACCAGGAAGGAGGAGCGTGTCTGCAGAAGTAGCATGGCTTCGGCCCCAAGCGATCGCGTCGGCTTGAGAATCAGGAGATGTCCGCACACAGGCTTGAATTCTGCCTCCCGAGCACACCGTCAGTGCCCGTTATGTTCCTATCCCGATTTCCGTGCAGCTCTCTCTCGTTATGAGTTTGCCTAGCCCTCCTCATCTCAGTCCACTCAGATTGGCCGACCGGAGGAAGTCGCGGGTCGACGCCTAGAGGGACAACCTACCTTCTCTTCCGACGTATAGTCCACGAGTACTTGTCCGAGGAGCTTCACCCCGAATTACCAGACTGAGCGCAACAACCCTTGGCAGAAACTTCCTTCTCTCGTGTTCAAGGGGTGGTTTGAGATCGCGTTCGATAGTGGAGCCTCTGGCGTGTCGGACAAGAGACACATATATACGAGGATGACTGTTCTAATCCGTCTCGGAGGTGGGATCAGCTGCGCGTCTGATGGTCTCCGAAACCATCCCATTGGATTGACTCTCTTGTCCCAGGAAAATTACGACTTTTGAGAGAACTCCGATGCTCAGCTCAGCAAATAAAGCAGCAGTCATGCATTGTCACCTTTTCGTTCGTAGGATCGAATGGATGTCCCGATGCGGAGGATATTCCGCTGTTCCTTGACGCCGGGAATCTATCACAAGGAGACTGACAACGAGTATCGTACGGACGCTCGACGCGATCCAGGAAGATTTTATTCATATTGCTCCAATCAAGGATATATAAACGGTGATCGAGGAATGGCGAGAATCTCGCTGGATCGATTTTACCCAGTTCCCTAGAGCCTGATTGTGGGGGGCCCCGTAAGCATTCCCTCCCCAATGCTCGTGAGAGCTTCATCTCTCTGGCGAGGCGCATATCCCTTTCTTCTGCTTCGCTTCGAGGTCCTTTTCGAGAGTTTTCCCGAAAATCGGCGAAAAACGTGATCATTCGGCTGGGCTTGGCCCGGAGTCCATTCGAAGCAACGCAGAGGAGTCGATAAACGAATTGAAACGGCACATGGTCCGCTAGTGTCGGCGACAGGGGGATTCATCGTGAGGTAGACTAGAGCTAGAGGGTTGTCGTTAGACAGCGATAAAGCGCACACGTTCCACTTCACGGAAATGAAATTCCTGATTCCCTCGTTTTATATGTGAGTTTATTCTCTTTTTAGCAACATGATGTATATAATGCTCATGATTCGCACTAAATTCACAACGTCTCCCACCCTTGTGTTCGGATCCAAAGCTCGTGGACTTCGCATGATGGAATCGTTCCCTTAGTCGAAAGATCGTAGGCCGGTGCTCGCGGACATTATGATACAAGTTCCTAACTGAAGGGCTCCACCCCACAAGACGATAACAGATATCCACATGATGCTTTCCCGACGACTCTGCTGTTTTTCTTGTCGAATTCCCTGTCCACCGTGGTCGGCTGATATCAAGGGCGATACTTCGACATGAGGGTATAAGCCTTTCTACCGGTGTTGTCGTACAGTAGCTGATCGCTGTTGATGAGTCGATGGTCGACTCGTACAAATGACAGAGACCAATGCATTGACATCGCATGGTTCGTGAACTTTATTCAACGGCGAAAGTAACAAGGATCATGGATAGGAACGCGATCGGACGGTCGATCCCTCCGTGGTAGGATGGATCGATGAAACAATCCCTCGATCCATCAATCCCCCACCTGAGAAGATGGAATTTCTCTAGAAGCTTTAGAATCGCCGTTAATCATGTTATCCTTAGAAAAATACTCTCGAGAACTTTCTGACTGCTGCAAACGTCGGAGAGACGATTCACAGCGAGATTCGAGAACAACGAACTTCACCACCTGGGTGCGTCGCGCGGCGCCTCATTGATCCTTCTTCACTTCACCTGCATCCAGTATTTCGAACTCACTCTCTTCGGATCCGGTTTTTTCCTCTTTCGACGAGGATGCCGAGGCTTTGGGTTTTGTACTTTGATCCTTGGATTTTTTCTTTGAGCCTGAATTTTTGGCATCGCTCTTCGATGCCTGAATGCCGTCGCCACAGAACTCGTAACTGTATAAAGGTACGAAACTCTCGAAGAAACCACAATCCTCCGTCAGATTCGGCAGAATCCATAGTCTGTGCTTGCCGAGGGATACCACGAATATCAAGATGAACAGGATCTGTCGGACGACTGCTAGCGAGAGAATCACGCCCAAGAAGCCCGCCGCGGCAACGCTGAGATAGTAGACACCGTCACGCATGCGACGTGGCCACAAGGGGAACATGCAGATGGCGATGGCGGCAACCACGAACAAGCTGCCGAGCACCCACGTTTTCAACGGGATCGGGTCGTACAACCAGACGTAAGGCTCATTAGCGTCAACGAAAATCTGTTCGTGATGCATGTCCAACTTGAACTTCTTCTTCCCTTTCTCTGCACGAGGCGTAGCCTTGGGGGTGACATTCGACTCGGTGTCCTCTTGTTCAGCGATCTCTTGATCCTATGGAAGAGAAGCGAGAATGAGTGAGAGGCTCAGACCACGGTCAGACCGAAGTGCTTGCCCCAAGACACTTGATTTCGTTTCTCAATCTGCTTTCGGCTGGTACTTGCACGAGACAAGAGAAATCCCGGGGCCGCATTCACCGAAATCAAGGCTCGATCAGCAGATGAGTCTCCGAAAGGTATAATCCTCGCGGACTTCCCAATATTTCGCAGATACATTTACGGGAGAATCGAAGTTCATCTCATAAAATCTGTACGAAATTATTTATTCATCAAGAGAAACCGCGTACCTTCTTCTTAGACTTGACTTCCATCGCGATTTTCCGTGCACGGTGGAAGAACTTGTATGCCAAAAGCTCTTCCATGAGGTAAGCGGCCTGATTTCTAGTCGAAATCTCCAGCTTTTCTTTCAAGTTCGACTCCATAAGCGCGTCGATCGCTTTCCGACCGATAAAGTAATTAACCTGGAAGGAACAATCGTTAACGGTCGTCATGTAGCCTCGTTTTCGGGATGCTTCTTCACATGAGTACATATATAGGTGTATTTCGTGTCCTCCGTACCAACCTTATGACCCAAGAGCGACGTGCTCTTTTCCGGGAGCTTGCTTTTCAGGAACTTCGCCACGTCATAGAGCTTTTTGGGGACCTCGGGCTTTGCGGGAGGTTCCGCCACATCTCTTTTCTTCGCCATATCTCACTGAAAACTAATTCGATCATGATTGGATGAGTGTTCTAACATGAGAATGGGTTCGATTATCTCTACTTAAGCATTTGCCCATCTTAATATTATTTCTGGACAAATCACAATCAAAACTTGGATGACACTCGGAGAAAGTAGACGAAGAGAATTGTCTGTCACTCCTCTCTGCTGATCAGTCGTACTCAGGAAAGGCACGAAATTTTTCGGAGTAGTCGCTCGGCTGGACGTCCGCTCGTACGATCGATCTCTCTCGACCACTCGTACCTGCGAACGGATGGACGCAGCTCCGATCGAGGGAATTCACCAATATCTCCCCCACTCTCCACAATAGCTCGCAGACCCGGGAGATTTCTGATTTGAAACGTCTGTACGTAAGCGGTTCGGATCTCGTAATTCGATATCCCAACATTCAAGGCTCATCGAGGCCATAAGAAACTTTTCCACCGAAATATTCCTATTTCCGCAATCATCATTAAGCCGGGCGATGACAGTTTGGTTTCTACCACCGGAGAACCACTTCCACGCGAACAGCTGCTGTGAGAGACGTCGCTCAGCCGATCACTCGAAATTTACGCAGTATCCGGACCCGAATCGCTTCTCGATACGCACTCTTCCAGCGTAATGAACAGACTATGACGCGACGAATGGATCCTGTTGGCCGCGATTTCCTCATCCGAGCAGGAACTTCATGACCTCATTCCGATTGAGGTCCGGAATCTGACGGGCCTCCATGGCGAACGAAGACATATGTGTAACACCAGGAGGCTCGTCTCGACGTAATTCGCTCTCAACAAACAATTTCCCGAGATCGCACTCACCAGGTCGACGGTATTAGGCGGAAGCTACGATGTAAGAGATCAATTCCCAGCGAAAAAGCAGCCGCGACAAGCGGGATGCTTCAGTCGTTCTTCACTCCGCGAGAACAGCACTAGCACCACCGTCAAGTAATCACCAAGCAGCCGAAGTGTAACAACACAGCACACCAGCAACACGCACTGACAAGATGAAATGATGTGGCTTGGGTCTATATGCCCGTCAGAGCTGACGGGTGAGCAGCCGGAGCTGATGAGAGAGTCGGCTTGAAAGCCCGCGGAGCCACCTTCCCCATCTCTGCACTCAGCCAAACCACTGTCGGCTACCGTCGACGGATGCACCGGTCAGATCAATCTTCAATATCTCTGAGTTCTGATTGAATCCGGGGATTGTCTCCTGAGCTTCGCTGGAGTAGATGGCGAAGACAGAACAAGCGAGCTGGGGGCGATGATTTTGCCTCCTAATGAAAATTATTATTATCTGGCGGGGATCGCGGGGGGAGGGGGTGATCGAACCCCGCCGCCTCTACACTCGAGTCGACCCCCGAGATTTTAACCAATTTGGCTCCTAGATCGGGTCTTTCTAGTCTCCAGATTTTTCGATGAGACCCCATTCTCCGCCGACTACTCGACAGGAGCAGAACTCACCACTCCCATCCGCGCCGAGAATCGGTGTTTGGGTGGACTTCGCAGATCTTTCGGCCAGCTCAGCCAGATAATTGCCTTCACACCGGATGAAAATTCATCCCGCCCAATTCTCGCAGACATGATAATAGTTTCAGATGTCGATTCCAGAGCTCCATCAATGAATTCTGAATCGTTTACCTCGACTGGACGCTTGATTCGACATATGAATGAAGTTCATCGATAAGAAGAGCCACATAACGGCGTCCTGCTACGGGGCCGGGCGGTTCTCTTCCGAAACGCGACTGCCGGGCACCGACTTCCAGAACTCCGAACTTCCAGACACTTGTTGGTAGGATATTCGAAATCGCCGCCCCAATGTCGTGTTTTGGCGCCATTTTGACCCATGCTGCGAACGAAAACACATCTAAAACACCGCGCCGCCGCTCATGCCTGTCGCCGGTAGTGTGAGCGCAAGTTAGAATTTCTTCATCAGAGTGACTCGCTCGGAGGAAAAACATTAGTCTGAAGCGTCCGAAATAAATAAAAGAGTTCGCGTTCCACGGGAAGAATGGAGCCCTGTGGATTAGTCGGTTATCGCGAACTGCCTGTGATTCAAAAGCATTCCTCCAAATGTCGGGAATTTAAAATTCGTAAGTTGGCCCTGCTTTTCTTTTGGGTTTTGATAGCCTGGGAAACTTTAGAAGGATACTCGAGGTTCGATATGGCTCACCCGACTTTCTCTCTGAGGGGCGTTCGATGACTCGAGAGCTTCGAGCGGATTACGGACTACGCAGCTGAGAAACGTTGGAGCTCGATTTTTCAAACGAACTAATTCCCTGCGCTGCGACACGTCATGTGTACATTCCCCCGTTCGTTAGATTCATCAGTCCCGGCAAAATCCGTTCAATCAAATTGCAGACACGGGCATCGGCCAAGCCAGTTTGGAGGTCGTGTCGGTTCCCGAGAAAGCAGGTGGACTCGTTTTCCAAGCCCCCTTCTCGTCGAGATTCATCCATTGGAGGACACAGCAAGGCGCCATCGAGCTAGTCGAGGAGAGCCTCGACTCAAAACTCCAGGGCTACCGGTATGTACTTGCGGTGTTCCTCGGTACATTCATCGGGTAGAAGTCTCGAGCTCCCGACGTCCTCCAACCCTCATGCGATTGTTCCCGAGCAAGCCGGAGCGATGTCTGGGATTGATAGGGTGATAATCGATTTTTTCGGGACAGAAAAAAATACACGTTGTAAACGAGTTTCGTTTCCTCGCAAGGATACGGATACGCTTTGTCAGTACACCTATATTGGGGGACTCGGTCTCCCTGTTCGAATCCGGACGATGCGTGGTTCTGTTGCTCTGCTCGGTGGGTTCGATCCACCGGATCGCGTTCCCCCATCCGTCGCTCCTAGACAAGAATCGAAGTATTTTCGCAGACTTCACGGCCTCCATGCTGCAGGATTTCCATCGACCGTCCATCTCCGGGCAGGTGAGTCGACAAGGATCGTTTCTACGACATATAAGTTCCGACCGAGCGATCGGACATTATTCTGGAGATATCTCAGTCTGGTGTTCAACTCTTGTCGCGTCTTTGACGGAGGGAATTTCTGTCGCGATTCGGGAGACAGGAAAGCTCGTTAAGGTGAAGCGCTACGTCTTTTCAGATCACAATGTGCAGTAACTACCTCACAGCATCCAATGATGCGATGTTTGTGCTTGGTACGGCAACGTCTCTCCAACTTATCACGTTCTACGCTTCAGGTACTGCGTCTTCGTTTCCCCTCATTCCGTACATTCTTCCGCTCTTCCTCTCGTGCATTCGCTTTCGTCTTCGTAAATATGTATTTGCTTCTTCTCAAAAATGTATTTTGCTCATGCAGGAGAGGTGCAGACTAAAGAACTGCAGAGAACTCGAACGATCAAGAAACGCCTGACGGGCATGTTGCCAAACGTGATCAGGCCGCGGGAAGGTTGCGACGAGACGCCCGCTGCGGTCGCATGCCTCGAACACGACAACGATTTCTTCGTGGTCGCCATATGCAACGACCAGAGGTGACGTCTTTAGAGAGACTCGTCTCTACGACTACGACGCTATCTCTCCTCGAGCTTGTCGTTGATATTTATTTTCCCCGCTCACAGGCTCTGCGTCTGGTCCGTGATCCGCGACGAACTGGTAGCCAACGAGAGCCTCGCGGATCTCATGGGGCCGGAAGCCGGTTTCGTGGAAGGCGGTGGAGCGCCTCAAATGAAACGAGTCATCAACATGAATCTCCTCCTGGTGCATTCTCATGGATGCTTCGCGATCCTCAAACCTCAAATTGGCGTCGGATGCACTTTCAAATCGGTGGGTTTTGCACGGACTCTTCCGAGTGAACGTGGGAGAAGGCTGGAAGCAGAATAATCAGAGGATTGGAACGAGCCCCTCTAATTTCTCTTCCCGTCCCCGAAGCTGATGTCCGCGCCGTTCCCGGAGGCTAACGTAGTGGATTTCGCTGCCGATTCGTCGCATTTGTGGGTCCTGTACCTGAATACTCAAGGGGAACCCGTGATGGCTTCTACCGATTTCTCGGAGTCCGACACCCTACAGTGGAATGCCGTGCATTGGGCTGATCCTATAAATTCCGTGAGTAATTACCGCCGCGTCCTTCGCTCATTTCGCTGATGCTTCGAGTTTTCGTCCGGAGTTTCCCATCGTCTTTTCCTTGCAGGAGCGGAAGACTCATCTGATGGACGGGACTCTGAGTGAAACGTATTTAGACAGAATCTTCCGAGGGGACTGTTTCACGCCGAATGCTCTTGCCAAGACTGTGACTATTTTCCGTAGGACGGAGTTCGCGGATAAACTACCAGCTCACCGTGGTGAGAAAAGCACCTCTAAGAAATTCGCATTCAGGAGTCGAATCATTCGACTCCTCCACTTGAATTTGTTCCGCGTCACCCGATCGCTCATCAGATAGATTCTGACGCTATGAGCTCGCTCGACCTCGGCTAAATAAGATTTTGATGCAGGATCCCTACGAGAGGAAATTTTGGAACTTATTCGTCTTGCCATCGAAAAACGTCTTGACTTGGGCATGGACGAAGAGGAAGCTCAAGTGGACGCCTACGAAAAATTCGTCTCGTACTGCATCCAATACCACACGGATGGAATCAAACCGTTGGGTTTCATTCTCAGTGACTACTTGGTTGCGGTCATCAAAGCTGAACAGGTTCGTAGTTCGCTCATGTTCCGCGTTCTCATCCAGAATCGAACACTACTTACGATTCTGATCCTTCACTGCTCCCGCGGTCTGTAACTCGAGAATACCCTTCCCCTCAGATCGGTATCATCCAGGAGTGTGACGAAGCCGAACGAGTTTTATTGTCGAACAGCCTCGAAAGTTCTTTTCAGAACGGGGGCATCGAACAATTTGTAGATTGTCTCCGACTTGTAAATAATCACCTCGACGATGAGGCCTTAGATAGTTTGTCTATAGACGTTTTTAATAATAACTCGCTGGATAGCACCGTTTGGCAATTAGCCGCCGTGATCAACGCCAAGCCCGAATTCAGCGGCCCCTTCATAAATGTGAGTTGCGATCCTGTTTCCCATCTAAAATTTCTTTCCATGAATCATTACTCCGAGTCATGACTGATTTCATTCCAATTCCAGATTGCTAAAACGATCGGTAAAGCTTGGTCAGAAAGTTTGTCCCGCTTGATTGTACTGATCGACAGCGAGGTCAGCTATCCACCGGACAGTCCAAGCGACGTCCAGGCCGACACTTTCTCTGGACCGCTCGGTATCACGCTCTTAGCGCAGAACATCTACCAGAGAGCCAGCCTGATGTACGATCTCTGTCGGCGACTAGTTGTTTTTGAAGCACTCCTGGTTCTCAACCACGACAAAATCGGCATTCCCCCGAGCAGTTCACATAGCATCAAAACGGAGCTCCTCAACTCCACGATCTACACTCTGCGATGTTATTTCCTCATACTGTGGGCCTGCGAGATGGAGACAGATAATTCCGATAGCTTCAGCGGCCGACTCAATAGCCTTTCGATCGGAGGATCGCTCAGAGCGTCAGCGCAAACCGTCATGGAGCTTTTCCTCGCCAATGATAATACGGCGTCGCTGCTGGCTCAGAAGAAGCTGGGACCTCACAGGGACTTCTTTTCGCTGCTGTTCGAAATCACTCGATACAACTGCTGTCTCCTCAGTCCGTCCCCGGAAAGCAGCTATCAACTGCTGCAGGTTTGTGCGCGAAGAGACTTTTCCCTTTCGGCTGACGAATCGACTGCTCAAATGGTGCAGATTTGGGGCGGATGCGCCGTCGGTTCTCATGAGCGTGTTTTTCCCCCGCTTATTCCAGGTGCTCATGCAGAAGCAACAATACAGCCAACTGCAAGAGCTGCTTCGACTCCTCGAGTGGGACACCGCTCGGAGAGGGTTGAAGAATTTCATTCTGGCGCACGCTCTGCTCAAATGCGGAGAAATCGACCGAGCCTGCGATGTGTTCATCGAATTCCACGACGAAGCTATAGTGGATCCTTTCGTCGTCGAGGAAATCGGGCAGAAAGACTCGGAACTAGTGAGCATAACCTATTACCAGAAGATCATCAGTGTGCTCGAAAGCATGGGCTGCACCGACCAGATTATCCGAGTCGCCGAGGCCGCCCTGGCAACTGACCCTCCATGCCCCTATACCATCGAACTGCACTGCCTCATGTTCCGCCACGAGCTGCTGCAAGGGAGGATACAGAAGGCATGCCAAGCCCTGTCCTGCGTTGCCGATCAGGAAATGCAGCGAGGCTGCTTACGAGAGTTAGTGAGCTCCTCGTTGGAGACAAAACAACACTCTGTCCTCGTCGAGTTCGCGGAGAGGAACCTTCGACCGGAGCTCTTACACATCATGACCCATCGGGCTCGTTCCAGCGACTTGAACGCTGAAACGTCGCTCTACGATCTGTTGTATTGCTGCCACATCCGGGATCGGGATTTCAGAGAAGCCGCTTCGATCATGTTCGAGCAGGGCTTGCGGCTCAGTCGGGAACTTCAAGGACTCGGAAGCTTGGCGAAACAAGAACTCTGCTTCCTCACCGCGATCAGTTGCTTGCAACTTCTAGACGACAGGTAAATTCTCTAGACTCGCCCCAGACCAGGGAATGGAGTTGATATGCTTATCGTTTGAGTCAGATTATCTGACGCGTGGTCTTACGTATTACAGAGGCATAGTCCGACCGAAGACGAAGAGGGACATATCGATGGAAGTGGAGGACACCGAAGATATCGAGAGCACCATGGAAGTTTTGGAGCTGCCAGCGTTCGAGAAAGAGCTCGCCTTGGTACAAAGTTGGATGAAACTCATGGAAGCGGATAAGAACTTAGCAACACCGATCAGTCCGGAAGAAACGGTCGCTCTGCTGATCCGTCATTCCATGTACGACACGGCTGTGCAGCTATGCGAGCTCTTTGACGTGGAGAGAGCCTCGCTGCTCGAACACGTTGCCCTGGCTTGCTGCAGAGCCCCGATGGAGCACGAAAACGTGAACGATATCGGTCCGAGGAATCCTGAGTGGATCCTCGAGAACACCGAGTTCGTCAATTCCATCCCGAAGGCAGCGTGGTTCTTCCTGCGTCACCTCCTGCTGAAAAGTAAAGGAACGAAATACTTCCGTGTGTGCGCCAGGGTATTCTTGCTTTCGGCCTGCAGTCTGCCGGCGTGGTTCGTTGTCGAGTACCAACGACGCAACGCCACGGAGCTGCTTAAAGTGTACATAACGTTCGAAAGACTCATCGAGGCGACAGAGCTGGCTTGTCAGATGATCGACGCCAACCTGGGTAAGAACCCGGAACTGTTCAATATCTCAGACACTGTCGCGACCGGTAAACCGGTCTGGTTACCGATGCACATCATTGACGGCCTCCAGTACAAGCTCCACCAGGCGGAGGGCAAGAGAGCCCCACAGCTCAGAGATACGCTATTATCTAAACTCGATGAGATGTTCAAGAAGGTTGAGAATGTTTCCAAAATCCGATAGCAGGTCGGATGAATTATAATTTCAATACATCTGCATTGTTATTTTTCTCAGAAATAAAGGAGCTGAATTGAGCAGCGACGATCCGCGTTCTCTCGCGAATGCGAATAAAATGCCTGCCCTCTGTCTTGAATATGCCAGGGTCCGTCAACACGAGGCGGGGGGGATGGGAATAGCCGCTGGTTCCCGATTTTTTCCCCAGCAAGAACATCTAGGTAGGTTTTTGAGGGCTCATAGGATAAAATAGCCATCAATGGTGATGATGTACATTCACGAGCACCCCCTGCTTCAATCGACTTCCCTTGGAATCCGAGGATGCGAGTCCCCCTTGTTAGGGCCCGGTTTCCGGATTCCGGAGCTTGTGAGTTGTGAGGGATGCTCCTCGAGTATAGAATCTCCAGCTGGATGAATTCGATTGGCTGAATCGCTCCGTACGGCGGTTTCGTGAGAGTACTCGGAAACAATCATAAGTTCAAGCGATTGAAGGAGAGAGGATTCGTCCGCTCGGAACAACTATAAACTGGGTCGGTCACCCTGACAGAAGGCATGTAAATGGAGTCCTAATGAATGTGTGCTCCAATGCGACCGAGCTCGAGATCATTAGAAGCTCCTTTACGTGAACAATAACAACAAGAGAGTTCCGCGGTCGATGAAGATTCGTTTAATGGATACCACTCCTGACAAGTTCGAAAAGACTCTTAGTTTATTCACATTGGTGTCTTTGTCCCGTTCCCTTCTCTGCTTCAAACTCTTAATTCCCTATCGCAGAGGTGGCGCTCCCGACGGGCGCGCGTCATTCCACCTCTTTCCGGATGATCGTTTGTGATACCCATGCAGGCGTGTCGGTCCGCGTCTCGAGCTCCCTCTCGGCCAAGAACCTCCGGAAGCACGGTCATCGTTCGGCTCCCGGTTCCATAAATAATCTCTTTCCTCTTCGAGCCGTGATGTAAGCAGAGAGAGGATTCGGAAAATGCTCAGGGACTTTCGGTGCTGGTATGCGAGATGTGTAACTTCATTTCCTCCGAGCGAGCTTTGTACAGTACTTCCACAATCAGACTAGATGAACTCACGCAACGCGAAGCAGAACCCCAAAGAGCGCTTCTAATTAATACAATTATACTTATGGATTATTTTCGAGCCGAGACTAACTTGAGTGCAAACTTGGCGGAACCCTCAACACTTCATCGAAACACGCAACATTAATCCTTGGTGTTTCGACCTCCGCCGATTCATAAGAGCCCTCCACTTGATAGAATGATTCAATTATTCCATTCATATTTCACAGTCACGGATACTGGAAGACTAGAATCTGGTGCTTTGTGTTTCGAAATACAACCTTTGAATTGGGGGAAATTCAGGCGCTGATAAGAATCTCTTCATCAGCCTCTGGAGCTCCAACGTATCCCCCAAACCTAATGTTCCGTAGGGATCCTCAGCGCTAATGTAGGCTGGGGACGGGGATGAAGGGGGATTCTGGATGATGAGTCAGACCCGCTATATGCGGGATGAGATTGCTGTGAAGTCGTCCCGAACTCTGGCTCCCGGCGGTGGCACGCAGATCGTGTCGGAGGTGCTGCAAGTGAGTGTGTTCCGAATCTACGTGCTTCTTAAGTAAGGAATTCCTCCGGAAGACCATGCTGCAGTGAGGGCAATTCAACTGCTGTTGTGCCGAAGGTTTGTGCCACCGTCGATGCGAAGCCAAGTTGGCAGGGTTGTTGAAGACCTATCGGAGAGCGCAATGTCAGATTCGCTGAAGACAACAATATCGAATCGGGTCGGCGGGATCTCTCCGCCGACGAAAGCATGAACACTCACCTTGTCACATTCGGGGCATCGGTATTCGACGGGTCTGATTGCCGCGCACACGTGTCTTGCCAATGAGAATGGATCACTGAAGTTCAGACTACACAGTTTGCAAGTGAATTTCGTGGTGCATAGTTTCTTCGGCGGTGAACCCGCGATCGAGAACGAATCCGGAATTGGATTGTACCCGATAGGATTCTGTAGAGACATATCGTGGTAGTAGTCCGGTGTCAAAGGAAGATCGACACGGATAGGGGGAGCGGGAATGGTAAGGTTGACCGGACTTTCGACCGGCGAACCCGGAGACACGGGTGACGGTGGTAGAGGAGCCTCCAGTGCCACGACGTTGGCGAAATCCAGCAGGGCACAACGCAAAAGACGTTTTCTCGGGTTGGGCGGCGTACTCATGCTGAGAGTCAACGTGGAATTCGGAAGGAATCCGTTTGGCATTTTGGGTTTGGGGACCCAGAAGCTCCGTGTCCCTTCGACCGGAAAAGCCGAATCACACGGCCGCACGAGATGTCATCGACTCTAAGTTGAGTTCGAACCAAATTACAGCACTAGTCCGATGTCACGATACGCGCTTACGTGACCAGAGGCAGTCGTTGTCTCCCGGACGAGACTGTGCAAGATCGATTAGCCAACTGTTGGAGTTTCGTTGAATGAGTGAGGTACAGTTAGGCTGGAGAGGAGAATCGTGGGGTGAGGGAACTCGAATCGCTCCGACTGAGGAGTGATCCGCTCAAACTCCTGGAGTTCTGACACTCACTCCCTCACTCATCGACTCCTCGCACGTGAACTTACCGCTGAACAGAGCCCCGGCCCGCGAATACATGCCAGCACGATATGACCAAAGGCCAAGCTCGAGATGCGGTTCGCTCAGGTCGATATCAGGACGACGACTTTATCGACGACTCGTTGATGTCTTGCCGATTCGAAATCTCCTGGGACAAACGAGCCCATATGGCAAAACGCTGAACCAACGATCACGGGCATCTCATCCATGCGAGAGTGCACGCGTTAGATAAGAGGAATATTTCTCCTGAATATTTCCGGTGGAGCTCTCGGATAAATCCGAGATTAAATTTCTCGGGCCCAGCTACGAGGCGGCGCTGGATCGAAGCGGGAACGCCGGAACGGGAATATATTGTTTTCGCGAGCTGTATCTGACGACAGAGTCCCGGGAGTGAAATTCAATTGACCGCTCCGTCGTTGCAGTCTAACTCGGCGGTGGTGTCGCATGGCGGCCGGCTGACGATCATCGCCACCAATGGGGGAGCGGTCGCATATTCTGGCTGTAGTAGCTACAAAAATGTTCCAAAAAAAACTTCGCGAGAAAAGTCGACGAGCCAGGGGACAGCTTCGTGCCTTCCTGAAACAGGAATGAGGAGCATATTCTTTTTTTCTACTTCCGAGTTTTCGTTCTTTCCCTCGTTCGGACCAAACGGTCTCTCGAGACCGTGTGTTGAGCGCCTATCAACGGAAGATTGCCGCTTGCCTCGCATCTCCGAGATGGCACACATAAGAGCTCGGAAATCCAACATATAATGTATCTTGAACATAAACTATGTACGTATATACGTCTTTCAGACGGAATACTTGACTAGGAAGGAGTACCTACACCGAGACAGTCCGAGCATCCCGATCCCCAGAATGCGGGATATTCATGCGAGCTCAGTTCCAAGTTTCCAATGGTGTAATCGCCTGGGGAGTCCTACGATTGTTTCGCCGTAGCTGATCGGAAGAGCTGTCCACGACTCGGAGGGTTCCTCCAGAATCCGGGTCCTCGCCGATTATGACTCTCGAAAAGTCGACCATACGCAATATTAAACAGTGGGTGCGACCATAGATAGTCTGACCCCCCTAAGAGCGACTTCCTAGGATGAAGGATAGCATCCAGCTGGCAGAATTCGAAAACGAAACCTGAAAACCGAGTCGCTACCGCTAGCGGAGCGGGACACAAAACACGCGCCCAAAAAACCTCGAAAGCAAATACTCCCTGCACGGAACCATTTCAGATTTCAATTATCTTGTAGCCGCGAACGGCACGCGAGCTTCGTCCATTCGTGCCTTCGCTACATGCATTTACTACGCGCATGCACACTGAGGCTCTTAATCCAAAGTTAAACATAGAGACTGGGGCGAGATGAGCGAGACGGGAATTTCGTGGTCAAGTCAGAGCTGTGAGGGCTCACACAAAGGCTAGAAGCGTTTCGGAAAGGTTGCCCGTGGACTCCTTGTGTCATTTCCCATTGAAATGAACTTGTGAAAATCCACAATACTTCGAGACTCACATCGCGACACAAGGATTGGAAGGCATGGGCAGGCTACCCTCACATCTCTCACCTATGACTCCCTATCGCTGTTGAGAATCGATGTATGCACTTTCCTCCCTGGCTGACCTGATGTTCCTCGAATGCGGAACCTGACGTTCCCGCTGACCATTCTCTTAACTTATGATGCCGACGCTACGGTCTCCCGCGAATTCCAGGAAGCAACATCGACCCAAATGCGTCATGAATATTCTGAGATCGCAGAGCGTTTCCCTGGCAAACTTGACACCATTTGCAGATAGAAGCGTCGAAAAGTCCGCATGAAACCTACAAGAGCGGGATCAATGTTCAGCATGTTCGAATGGGCTAACCGGCCACCGAGCAGAGTGAGGTGATCGGGACCGTTACGAGAGTTTTTGTGTCACATGCCTTTGGAAGTGCCGGGCGATATATGGAGGAATGTGTATCTTCAGAATGGCTCAGCGATACCCCAATGTATATAATACGGGGCAGGGATGGAGCTGTTCCCTTGAGTCTCTAATTCGGACCACTGATACAAGGGTCATATGATAGGCAGAGGCTGTAGAAACAAGGCCTCCGTAGATTTCGATTCTCTCTGGATTATTCTATCACCAATCAGTTCGACGGAGACGGTCTGATCCTGTGAAAAACCAATCACCCTCGGACGCATCAGCTCCTTGAGATCATTTCCAATATTCGGCACGGAATTTCCTCTGGAACTGAGCCTGGGACAAATAAAGGGGTTTCCCCGACGTCTGAACCATGCTATGCATATGTGAAATCCGCGGCCAAGTCCGAACTTATCCGAAGAGACTAATCTCAAGGGATCGTTCTAGAGACTATCTCGACGTAGCGGTCGGTCTTCGAAGTGGTCGAACAAACGAACGGACGAGTGGATGTACGGACGTACGACCGACCGACCATCCGAGCGATCAAGCAACATCACATTACAAGCTCACCGGCCTGGCGTACTTCGAACTCGGCCTAATGGAATGATACATGCGAGTGATGCTTGTCTGCTTTCAGGCACGCCATACACACACTGTGCACACGGCTCTCCCTGTACAACAACGCAGACGGACGGATTGATTGATTAATCGAAATCTTTTAATCGTTCGAACACAAACCCCCGGGACAGTTATACCGAAACCTTAGATAACGCGTGCCATCGTACTGACAGCTCGGAGCTCGTCGAGCGTGCCGAGAGGAACTCTAGGATCTGAGTTTCATACAGGAATTTGTGTCGAAGCTCCTATCCCGTGTCAGCGGAGAATTCCCGATTGTTCTACTTTGACTTGACTTGTTGCGATCAGAGGGATCCATGTGCTGCTATGTGCTTCGCTTTGCATCGCTATTTCTGGAGACCAGAGAGCCCAGATGTCGCAACATCCACGCGACCCCGCGGATGGCACTCTCCCCAGAGATGAGTGCCTCCAACGGAACTTGAGAATTGCTGAGAGGGCGCAACATCCCTCTTGTTCGCAGTCGATCAGAGACTCGCTTGACACAACTCATGGTGGTCCTTTCTGGATAGGAGGTTCTGCTCACGATTTCCGTGTAATTCAGATCTTTTTCGGAGTGCTCCACGACGCCTGTTTTCGGGAATGAGGATATTGGAATTCCGAGGGGAAAGATGGTATCTCTAAGATTCCAGCAATGGTCCCGAATCCCGACTGAATTCGAAGCTCTCCGCCGACCCAGGCGCGCCGTGTGATTCAGCCGGGAATTCGACGAGAATCGCTACACCCCCTAAGAGGGACTTCGATGATTTTTTAGCTATACACTCTTCGTCGACCTCCCCCGACTGGGCACTGAAGGGCGCTTCGCCTACAAGCGCATGCGCGTGTAATCGCTATCGGTCTTCGCCAGATGGCTCGGCGCTACCACCCTCTGATTGGCATTTGTTTTTAGTGAATATTCATTCCACTGCTAGCACCACCACATTCACCCCGATTCGGCTGCGGCCCTCTCTCCTCGATAACCGGCTCCACAGCGGGCTCGAACGGGGGAGGTTTTTAAGCTCGAGCCAAGGCTGCAGATCCGGTGACCAACGAAAGGATGCGACGCGCGACGTTGTGATACCACAGCAACGGAATGAGATTAACTGCGTGCTGCAGTTCCTGTTCGTAAGCGGGCTCATGCACTCGGTGGAGAGGTAGATTCATCTCAGTCATACCGAGTTCGTGATCATCTCCTAGATATTTTGAATCGATACCGCAATACACTCGACAGACGTGAAGTCACGGGGAATTAATAAGTTCCGTGGAATTATCTGATTGACTAAATCGAGAGCCGGCCACCGCAATACATTTCAACGAGGCGTAACGAGATCTCATCAAGAGATTCCGTTGCTCTGTTCGATTTGTATGTACCTCCGCGAGGAGAATGTGGGGATCAGAAGTGAGGATCGGGGCAATTCGAAAGAGGCCGAACGACATTATTGATTTCGGATGTACCTATTCGTGTGCCTGTACAATCTATTTACTTCTTTGATGGCTGGAGGTCTCATCTTGGGCGCAGGTAATTTTCTCTGCTCGAGAAGCGCTCCGCATTCTCCAGACGACCATTAAGTAGGGATAAAGCAAGTGATTTATTTTATTCACGACTGCTCCTGAGGAGATCGTATATCGTTTCGAGCCGATGCATTGATTGAAGTTCCCATTCCGAAGCAGCTCGTCGAGACCACTCTAGCAGGGGGTCACAGACCACCAATTATCTGCACTCGCGAGTGGCACGGAATCAAATCCGTGCGCTCGCCATTCCGATAAAGCGCATAGGTATCTTCGAACTTGAGGGATCCATCGAGGAAACTCTCATCGACGACCTCCGTACAGAACTCAAGCTTGGCCTGGCGAGCCTTGAGGGAAATTGAGCGAGAACCAGATTCTCTGCACCCTACCGAGAAGGACGAGCACCTTCGGGAATCCGTTCAATATGAGGGAGCAATATGCGACGCGACCATGTGCTTCGCGGTAAGCGTCACCGATCTCAGATAGAAAAGTCCACCGTGTTCCACTCAAAAGTCGAGTGTCAAATTAAGGAAGGAGCAAATGACAATAGGGGTGAACGACATCTGGTCAATGAATTCTCTGAGATGTCGTGCGTTTCATCCTCCAGCCTCTCCTTCGATCGCACGGGCTACCTCTAGCTTCCACATCTTTTCGCTCTCCAAGTGTCACAACCCTGCTCAATCCGGGCGCCGAGCAGTCGCGGATCCGGAATGTGTCCGAGGGGGGCATATTATCATCATGATGATGATCGACTCTCCTGGATTTCTCGAACAAGTGCAATTTCTCCCGATCAGGGAGTACTATAAACGTATGTGAGCTCGAACGAAATGCCTTGTACCAGTGGTCCCGAATTCTATTAAGCGCGGGTCCCCCTCTGAGTTCCTCGACTGTACTCGGGATTCCTCCGCGATGTCATTCGAAGAGCGCTGATCTGTGGCTTCGCAAGACCGAGAATATTATCCACTTCTTCATTGAGCAAGCCCTCAACGTGAAGCAAGAGATTCTGACGGTTTATGCTTAGTCGATATTCCTGAAAGCTATATGGGCTGTAACTATGTCGAATAGATTTTTCCAAAGGACTCAAATTATTGACACCGACCGTCGAGACCCCCGGAAACGGGAGTGGGGACCCGCCGAGGGTTCTAGGACCCGTATCCGGGAACTCCTTCCGTAAACCTGTTGCAAGTTGCGCTGCCGTCGGATGATGACATTCAGTATTTCCCGAATTCCTTAGCATCTCCTCGAGGAGCTTGTCGACGCTGGTGTTCGAGGGCTGACGAAAGGCCGTTGATATTTATTCCGGTAGGACGGCAGCCTTCGGATCTTTTTCTAATTCATCCCGTAGTCGCCCCGTGTCACCGAGCTGGATGCATTTTGAGCAAGTATTAGCTCAGATTTAGATCAAAGATGCGTAGCGTCGTCAAGCCAATCAATCAATCAATCATTGTCTGAGTTCCCATATAACACAACCTGTTTCCGGAGACACCGGACACTCCCCGGATGGACATCGGAGCCGGAGTCGGACGAAAAATTGGTCGCCAGCCTCTTACGGAGCAGCAGCCTGAGTTCACCGTTCAGATTGTTCAACAGAAGCCCCTCCTGAATCGGAGATCTTTTGCATGCGGGCATAGAGACGGGCAAGGATCTGTGCGGGTATATGGGAGCTCTCACGAGTGGCGATTCGTTCGCTCATTCCTCGCACCTAGAGAGCGATGCCAAGCTTCGGGATTCGGATATTCAAAGTTCCTATCAAGCGCCAGTGTTCCTCCTATGGGGCTCCGAACCTGCTCGTAGAGTTTCGTTGATATCGCAAACAGCCTATTCTCATCGAGCCGTCTGCGGAACTCAGTCCCCAAGCCGGGCGCAGGTTCCCCGAGACTTCGGGGTCGCCCGATCGCCCGATCGCACCCTCCCCCCCCTTTGGGTACGCCACCGTGTCGGAGATTCCATGCACAATGAAGGTAGAGCACGAATCGCCGCGGAAGACTTCGAGCGACGGAACTCGACATATATGTATGCGTGGATTACGGACATCCGATCTGGATCGAACGAATCTCGCGGGAGCCTTCCAAATTGAAGGATCAGAGCGCCGGCGGAAACATTCTCATTGTGATACGCTCAGTTCGTGATACGCTCAGTTCGTGATACGCGAGATTCCTGGGTTTGGAGCCAAGACTCGCAGCTGACGATTCTCGGCCCGTCCTTGAGGGGCGACGGGGATTTCCTCTGGCACCCCTCGGGAAATGTGAACAGAGTATATCCAGTGAATACACGGGGTTTCTTCGTTGAATCCATTAAATGACTAAGTCTTGTCGCATATTTCGCCCACGATAATTTTGGGGTGAGGAGGTCATCATATCTTCGATTGATTTCCACCGCAGCGCGAGTCGAGACCATCATGTGAGCCGCGACCTATTCGCTCTGCTCTACATGGTGCTCGAGTCTCTCACCGATGGTTCGCGAGTCCCGTCGAGGAGCTCCGAAACGAAAGCTCGATTTTCGAAATCCCCCGCCAAATGGTGCGCCGGGTGTTTTACGCCAGAGGGCGCGTCAGGTTTCGACGACGCAGCATTCACCGATACGGCCGCCGCCGACGTTTTCAGTCCTCGCCTCCGTCTGGTTGGTCGCTAACAATTGCCCTTCTAATACAATCGGGTAGTTTCGTTGCGTTGCGAGTCGTGAGAGGATCTCCGTGGATTTTTCCCGCAGTGATTTAACAGGTGCAGTTAAAAGTGAGATAAGTGCGTTCTTGTATAAGCGAGGGAATAAACAGCGATTTCAGCGTTAGAGACTGGGTAGTTAATCAGTCGGTCACTCAGTCAAGCTGTCACGCAGGCTGATTGACTGTCACTCAGTTAGTCGGCCCTCGGTCGGTTAGAGCGACCGTCTATCATGGACACTTGTAAAAGTTGATCGCTGATTATTCACCAGAATTCGCTTGGGTCCACAATGGAGCTGCCTCCGGATGCTCCCACTGTCAGATTGTGTCAGCTCACCAAGTGGTCAGACTTCAATGGATACGGGTTCAACCTGCACACCGACAAAACTAAAAACATCCAAACTCTCGGAGACATCGATAAAGGTGAGCAGAACCATTTCTTCCCGAATCTCGTTCGCGACTTCGGGAGTGCTGACTATCGAAAGTTGAACGCAACGGGTACGTGCTCATCGGCGCCGGAGTATCGAAGGCTGAAGACACCGCTGCTGCTGCGTCCGCGAAAGATTGCGCGTTCGACGCTCGATGTTTTGTGCGATCAGCGAGTCTTGAGGAACTCGCGTTGTGTGGCTTTTCCGTTTCGCTGACAATATTCGGAGCTTGGCGGTAGCGGCATCGGATTCTAATGTTATCTGCGAATTTTAGGAGAATTTATTCACATACCAGTAGTTTCGACAATGTTCGAACAGAGCCGAGGAAAATACGGAAATACTCTTCGGGAGAATTCCCTTGGAATTGGTGAAAGTCACCGCTTTCGCTGATCTAGCCCGCCGGATCGCGGAGCTCATTTGCTCGGACCATGTAGATGCTGCGTCCAATTGTCGATTTGATGAACTTGGAGCGGGTCAAAGTGACGATCGAGTTATTGGCAAGACAGCGATCATCACAGGAGTCTGTTTTGGTCTTATCCAGATGAGAGTTTTCGGTGGCATTGAGAACATTGGCGTGTCCTCAGATGTCGCAAGCGAGTTTCCTTTTCTTCAAGCGCTGCTTCCTCGGGCGAATAATCGTTTCCCGTCCATCCTTCTTCCTGCTTCTCCACTTTTTATCTCGGAAATTTCCTCGAACTTGTATCCTTCCGAATTTCCGGTCACTTCAGGTCTTTTCGGCAGCAGCTTTCCCGTTACGGATCTACTGTGGAATCCTCGGAAAGCGCGGTCCGGGTTTCAGTCCGACCAGTAGTAGCTACCTCAAACAGGTCCGCATTCAGAGACGCAGAGTTTCCGAGCTTCTCGGACTCGATTTCTCCTTTTCATTTGCTTCGCTCGCCTCACCAATCAGTCAGAAGCCCTCGGCTGGCTGACAGGTGAAAAGGGAAATTCACTTCCTATCCATCCGAAAGACATTCTTCTATCTGTCCATCCATCTATCCATCCGTGCGCTCATTCGCCCGTCCGCTCATGCGGCCTGCCATCCAGGGAGCCAACCAGCTGGTCAACCGATGGTCGGACGGACGCGCGACAGAGTCGCGAACCAGCATCGTCTGAAGCACACTCACATATGCTCGGAAAAAACATTCGTCGAGTTCCAGAGACGGGTCTCACCGGTACTTCCCAGCTCGGGAGGACAAGGAAATTTCTGCTTCGCGCAGGATGTTCCGGATTAGAACTGCGTCCGTCATTGCTGTCTTTGTTGTTTGAGCCGAGTGATGTCCGTCACTGTCGCCAGAAGAGTCTTGGCATGGAATACCTGTCTCGTACCGAGCGAAAAGGTATTTTCTCGCTGGCGCGGTTAAGCCAGTGCTTCGCGACAGGAAACTTCGGTCGATTGAGCGTATCCGACACCACGTGAAAGTTGGAACTCGTGATTCGCCACTGAGCGTTGCAAGGCCTCATGGGCCTAGATGAGCATAGATAAATGAGCCTAGATTGAGGACTAGAATTTTTCCGCGGGGCATCCGAAATTGTAGCCTCTCACGCAGCATACAATCCAAGGGGGCGCAGGGAATTGTTGCAAATATTATCGCCCCACTGGGGACTCGGTAAAGGAGCGATCCGTTTCCTGAACTGAGAGCTAATCGCTGCCTTCCGAATCATTGATGTCACCTTGTGTCGAATGAAAAAAAATTGTGAAAGCAGCCATGAACGATTTTTATTCACTCCACCATAACGGTTGAGTTTGACGAAATCCACGAGGATCTGCGCAATGGGAAACCTCGAGCTCCGCCTCCACGGAGCGAGAATTTTGTGCTCACTCTCGTGGTTTCGTTTTTGTCGCGATGCTCGACGGTGGCAGCAGCCACGGCGACGTCCGTGCCTGGTTTGTTGTCTGTGGTGATGTTGGCACAGACAACCCTGGAGCAGACGTCGACAGGGGAAAATCTAAAAATCACCGCATTCGAAAGAATTTTACTCATTGCACCCATGACGTCGAGCTTCGCGGGACCTCCTTTCCGTCTTCGTTTCCGACTTTGTTTCCGAAGCGAATCACATGGACTGATGCTCCGCTCCAACTTATCTGCTGCTGTCGCTGCAATTTGCGGAATTCGATTCCGAGTGGTCGGTTGGAATTAATTGACTGGGTCTAGATTGTTTTTCAATCGTCGTCTCCGCAACTCTAAACTCGGATTAGAGCGAATCCCTAAATGACTTGTTCGCTTTTGCTGGATGATTGTTGCAGCTGATTATGACGATCGGACTCCTACTAGCAGCGACTAGCGACAGAGAGCGTGCAGCAGCACCCTACGGCCTTGGCTCACATTGTTGCGACCTTCGTCGTAGGCAAGCGAATTTCAGGCCTAACGCCGACCTTTTTGCGCAGCATTCCAACGGAAAATCGGTGATGATGATTCTCCAGCGGAGGGATTCTCTGGAACGCGTAGAACGGATTCGAGGATTAGGACCCTCCGACGAGTGAGAGAATCGCCTTTTCTATGAGGGTCAGGCCTTATAGTCTCTTACATCGCTCTTCTGTTCGGATACAACTTTTACCTTCCAATTCGCTCTCACCTACGATGCCGACGCTCCCGAGCGTCTTGTTACGGACCCTTGAGCATGATCATTCCGAGACGGAGACGTCCGAAACTAACGCGGATCTGCGTCGTTGAAGTCCAATTAGACACGTACTTGCCCGTCAGAAATTCACGCGGTTTTGTTTTTCCCCGATCCCGCTCAATAAAATCAAAGTCGTATGAATCCGACGGGCTCCTCCCGGGCTGCGGAAAGGATTTCCCGCGGCTGCGACGAAGTGAGTTCTGACAGTATATCGAAGGTCGGGGATGGAAATCCGGAATCACAATCCTACTTCATCTGCATCGTGGAACTAGCCACGAACATTTCGAGCAGTGGTGTTCCGCCAGAGCTATTCCCGGACCATTCACGGCGGAATTGAACGACACTGCCGAGGGCATTGAAGCCGGCTTACATTTTCGCCCAGACTGGACATACTGTTTCTCATCAAGAAAATAATACTAGGAAACGAGGATTATCGGCGCTTCGCCGTTCCTCGCTTGCTCTCCGTCGTTGCCAGGCCGGAAGCCGCCTCTCGGTATGGAAGCGCCCGTCGGAAAATTCTCCACAGAAGAACTCTATGAGTCAACCATCCCCTGTAGTCTCCCTATGACATTCCAGGCGTCCTTCAGGTCGGCCGCTGGTCACCGGGTCGATTGTGTCCTGCCGACGCCGTCGGCTCGTAAGAGGCAAAAGCCAGCATAGAGAACAAATTGGTTTAGCTGGTGAGCTATCCCGAGCGACTCAGTGCCGCTAACGGACTGTCATTAGACGCGTCTGGTAGTCGGTCATTCACTTGCTCGCGTGCGTACAAGTGTCTGTGGCGGCCGATGAAGCCAACCGGCGTTCTGCTTATAATCTCTATTACGATAAGTTCATTACGAAACGCGAACCCGTTGTGTAGCCGGAATGCTAACATTTGAATCCGCCGACGGAGCCGAATAACGGCTCCAGTCTGCCTGACTGAGTTGCCATTGCTGCTGCCTCTCTCCTACGGCGAATGCGGTGCTACCGTTGCGTTCTGTGTGTCAGCAAGCAACGGTACGGTGACTGAGTTCATCAATAAATGAACCGAACCGACGCGCGATCATTGATTTATGTGTCACAAACCTCCAGGCTTACGACATCCGTCGGCGTACCCGAGGAGCGAATGACCCATTCGCAATTGGAAATTGATATGTTTTCGAATGGATGAGGTCTCGATCCGAAGATTGACGGCGGGGCGGCCCCAATCGATGAATCCAGATTGAATAATTCCGACGGGTGAACTTGATGATATGTGAACGATCGAGATCGATCGTTCACATATCCGAAAGGGGCTAGGTCCATCAATCACGCCGGTCTCACAGCGACCATGTCGACCAGTTAGGCAAAACACTCCAATTGCTGCCGTTGGAAAAGCGGGCCTTTTGAATCGGAGCTGGAACCCCGTATGCGGTCATCGCCCGTGAAGGAAGCAGCAGGAACACAGCGAACCTTGAGCGGTGTGCGCTCGGCCCCACGACTGCTAGTGCTGTTGTCGCCCCGTTGGCGAATTGGTGAATGAACTGCGATAACGGAAGAACACTCATTATCCTGCATCCCATCATGGTATTTTTTCGTTCTTCTTTCCGTCGACGGAGGGGCTCAAGTGGATCTACTTGCCCAGCGGGAAGTTCCCCGGAGTCCCAGTCGTTCGAAACGGGAACTCCGGTAGTTCTCAATCGCTTGCACTGATCGGTGTTCGGTACGCTGCTTTCAATGTCGGGAAAGAAAAGTCCGTTAAACAGTCTTCGGAGGAAGACGTCCCTTTTCGAGTGTCTCTTGCCATTATCGCTACATATGGATGTGGGAACGATGATGAAGTCCGCAAGAGAATGTTTGCTGCTCACAATTAGCAGAAAACGAATGTTTCCCGAATCCTTTCCATTTCACTTTTCAGCTTTCACTCTTCGCTTTATTTTTCCGCGTCTGAAGAACGATTACGGGATGAATTCAACGGCGCGAAACCCTTTGTTGTGCCACGACGGGCAAGGTCGAGGTTTTGTTGGGACGCCTGCTCTTCTGACAGATGTTGAGACAGCCATGCGCTTCTGTTGTTGCACTTGAAACGTTCACAGTGCGCACTGTCGATGATGACAGTCCGACCATGTCGACGGACGCGTCAATTCGCTCCACGACTCCCGCAAGTGAACCGCATTGTAGATCTTCGCTGGGAGAGAGGCCGAAGCGGCCGAGGCAGTGGATGAGATATTTTTCTGGAGCGAGAGCTCGCAACACTTCGAGCTTAGCTTCCTTGTTTCCATCCGTAGTGCTTGCGAGTCTTCCGGTATTCGATACCCTTATCGGCTCCGTAGAACACTCGTGTGGACGAGGGAACCCGATGCGAGCGTGATGGCAGAGTGGGTACTGGTCACGCTTTTCATCTTGAATACAGTCTGCGTTGGGAAGAATCTCACCTCGGAGCTTGCTCTGAACCGGAGTTGCGTGCACTGACTCTGTCGGGGAAAGCCGATGACGACTGACTGAATGAATGAGCAGTGGGAGCTTGCGCCCTGCTGTATTTTCATCATGCTTGACTGAGTTTTTCACGTGGTGCCCTTCGATTTCAGGATCCCCCGCTGAAGCTGCAGGTCTCATGAAGGGCGACCGCATCGTTGAGGTCAATGGACAGAATGTATTCAACGAGAACCACAGACAGGTGAGTCGATTATTGCGGCATCTCCATAGGGAGATCTCTCTTTCGGATTTTCTTCATTCATCCCATCAACAAACAAGCTCCGTAATTTGAAATCCTATGTTATGAATCAGTTACCATAGATCGGGCGTACCACTAGGGACGGAGGAGAATGTCGCGCAGAATTAGTGCGCCTGGAGAGGAGCAGGAAGCATTTCCTTGCGTCCTTTCTTCCCTTCGAAGATCGATTCACATGATCAGAAGCTCAATCAGTCGAGGCGGATGCCAGAAGAGTCGGTTGCCCGGAGTTGCGTTCAGATATGGATTGGTCTCTCTTTACACGCGATATCTGAACGAGAATTTCCCAATGCACTTACATCACGTGACAAGTGTCGTAAAATATTTCATTGGTTTTGGTTTCACCGGCTTTCGGATCATGTCGGGATGGAGAAAGAAACGCGTCGTGGTTCCGATTCGACAAAAATAGATATTTTGCGTAGAAACGCTCCAAGAACTTCCAGGGAGAAAGGGGCTTTCTCGCGACCATCCAGTGTAGCGCATCAAGCAAAACCCGAATGCACAAAGGCTCGACTCTTAGACAAACAAAAACATTCCGAATAGCATACTGATTCTGATTTTTTGAAAAGCCTCAAGCTCAACGTCTTCCTTCTTTTTTTCGAGGTGGTCGAGCGGATCAAAGCCGTACCGAATGAGACACGATTGCTTGTGGTCGATCCCGTGAGCGACCAATGGTATCGTGAACGGAACATCGTCATCAAAGGAACGTTACCCTCAGTCAAGATGCTAAGCAGCTCAAGAGATGTCTCCAACCAAGACAACACGGCATCGCAGAACAATAATAACAGCAGCAAGCGAAATAATAATAAGGTTAGTTCCCGCCCCGCTTGCAGAGTAGATAGGTTTTTACCCTCCCCTGAGATCCTTGCACCGAATTTCCGGTCTCGCCACGAGAGGGCTCGCCGCTCGGCTCAAGATCGGATGCACATAGGACACAGGTTCCGAGAAGGGGAATGCTACACTTCATCAAACCGATGGAGCTCGAGAAGGCTGTATCGATATGTCTTGGTTGTTTGTCTCGCGATACCTCGGCTCTTGAGCCAGGCAGGAATTCTGCCTGGAATAAGGCCGATGGGATAGAGCTTAGCTAATCTCGAGAGTATGACTCGGGAGTTATTTCTCTAGGATTAGCATCGTGGATGGGGATTAGCCTCCAAGAGAATAGGGAAATCTTCCGAGAGGGATCCATATCGCTCTCCGAACTGGTATCCTCGAAGGATCTTGGTAACGCATCGAGCCTTCCCCAGCTCGAAAGAGCTCTTCGCTCAAACATGTTGTCACAATCCTTATCGTCATTAAATCAAGTCATCAAGAAAGGTCCTCGATCGAAAGCTGTGAGACGGGAAATGGAATCGAAGGCTTTCGCATTGAGACTTCTCCGAACGCATTCGTAGAGCAGAGCACTGGAAAAGTACAGAATTCCGGAATAATTTCAAAATTCTGAGGAGTAAATACGCCACAAGATTTTCACGGAAGTTCCCGGACAGCGCTCCTTCAAGAGCCCCGGATTACGCGTTGCGACTCGGATCGCGTGAATCTATACGAGCGGAAACGATTCTGATCTCGTACGGCGATTCTGTACTTTCGGGGTATATTTTTCACAATGATCACTTGAATCGCGAAGAGGCATGCGATCAAAATCTGAGAGGAGAGCGGATCTTCACCGGGAACGAATATCCTCGTCGATCCCATCTCTTATTGATGATGGAGGAAAGTGAGCAAGCCTGAGACTTCCGAAAATCATCGTCCAGCAGGAGACTTCGAACAGATCCTTGCTGCGAGCGGTTTGTCCGCATCAGATGTTCCGGCGATGGTAGCTGTGCCGCCGCCGACGGTGGTTCCGCTGGCGTTGTTTCTTCCCGTATTCCAGGGTCGCCGCAAGAAATTCCGGATGAAAATAAGCGCCAACATATCCAAGTGCATTGCCATGGCCGCCAAGGATTCGTTTCAGCTAGCACTGGCGCCACTTGGCTGCTCCGACAGCTCATTGGGCAGCGGTCTTTATAAAATCTAACATGAAAGCGGTTCAGTTGTCGGATGATCCCAATTTTATTTCCAATCTCGAAGCCCCGGAATTCCGGATTCAGCCCAAAGTTTTCCGTGCAAAGCCTGGCGACCTGACGTACCAGCAGAGCGGACTTTCGCGTGTGGACCAGCGGTCCAAGTAGCCTGTCTGACAGCAATGTTTTGGATTCTCGCTGGAATATTCGCTCCCGAATCTGATCACAAGCGGGATGAGTCAAGACGACGGCCGCCATGGAGAAAACCCCACCGTGACTCTTTTTTCTGATGTCACTACCTTCACCCGCAGAAGCGACCCGACGGATGTCCTTCGTGCTTTGTGCTGCTCGTTATTTCGACATTCAGCTCGAATTCCCAAGCGCTTGGGTTTCATAACGAATCACTCGTTGTGGGGACGATATTTCGGGTACCGCTCCGGCATCGATGGGGAAAAAGCTGTCACCGAAACCACATGCCGCTTCGGAGGAAATTCCGTTCGGGAAATTTTTGGGGATTTATTTTTTGTATTTATGAAATGCCCCTGCGCGAGCCTTCAGTGTTGATTACATAAGACCAGCTCCGTCAGAAATTTCCCTCGCGCTCTTCATGGAAAAAGAAGTTTCGAAATCTCGCGAATTCTCAAGCTATAATCAAATTCTATCCGAATCTATTTCCTCTACGCGTTCGGAGCGACGGGAAGAACTCCAATCTACAGGCGGAGGACCATTGGGGTTTCAAAATGTTTCCAACGCTCACGAAGGATAGAATATTACCGAATCTTTCCGAGACGATGGCCCCGGCATTTATGAACGCCTACCCAGAAACGAAAGACGCCTCCTTGTCGTCGCTTCGTCCGAGCACACAGATTTCCAGGATGGCGAGCCGCGTGCTATTCTCAAGAGAGAACCCTAAAACTAGTCGGTGTCCTGCCGCTCATTGAAATTCTCATCGCACACCGTACGACCCCTTGTAAAGACGACCGTTCACCATGGACGGTGATGACTCGTCGGCGCCGGCGGAACTCTGCAGAGCCTGTTGTAAAAAAATGTGAGGATTCCTGGGCCTCTCCAAGGAACCCGCTCCAAGAATCCCGTCCTTGAAACGCAACGCTATGCTTCGATCTTCGGCTCAAAAACTTATCAGGAGATATCCTCAAGATAACTTCGAAGATTTCGTAAAACATGATCCAATGATAGCTCGATCGGTATGATCCGCGCTGCTGTGTCATAGGAGCGATGACTAGCAGTTCAAGCGAGCGATCAATCTCAAGGCTTCGAGAACGCTCTGGACGCTCTCCGTCCCTGATCGCGACTCATTGGAAGGCTCAGCCGTACGCGGAGTGTTCCTGTTCACTCTTCGAGCAGAAATGGATTCAAAGATAGAACAATCAACGATTTCAGCTTCAATCATGAAGCTCTGGTGAGAACTGAATGGCTCGATTTGAATTTGGCGCCTGCCGAGCGATGGCGCTGCATTCACAAGATGGCGGCGACCCGTCGTCAGAGCGAGCTCGTGTGTTTACGCTCTGTGTTGTTTTCGCTGGAAGCGGATTGCTGGTGGTGGTGTGATGTGGCGTCGAATGATTCTGCGGGAATGATTCTGTGATTTCCCCGCATGAAGCCGTGCGTTGAGTCACATCGTATCCTTGATCAGGAAGAAGCTTAAGGGCTATCGTCAAGGGATCCTCGTTGCAGTCTCCGACTTCACCGAGTCGAGCAGAATGAGCGCCGACGTACTGGACATTCTCGACATAGAGCGGGGCCAAGAACAAGAGATCTCGAAAGATGCGATCCTCGGCCAAAACTCCAAGCCGAAAAAGAAGTCGCTCGTCGGCCCCCGGAAGCCCGAAGGGATGGCTCGGGAGGTATACAACCTCTTCGACCGGAGCGATCCGCCGCCCCTTTTCATGACAGACTTCAAGCCGTCGGCAGGCGGTGGCTACAAAAACGTGAAGGCAAAACTCGGCATCAAGAAGGTCCGTCAGTGGAAGTGGATGCCGTTCACCAACCCCGCCCGGAAAGACGGTTTCAAACTCAATCATTGGGTGAGATCGAACGATGAGGCCCGAGAGTACGCCTTCTGCAAATTCAACAAGCAAGTCTCGATCCCCACGTACACGGATGCCGAGTACACGCAGCACTTGATGTGCAATACGTGGACTAAGGCTGAAACCGACTATTTATTCGAGATGGCGAACAGGTTCGATTTGCGTTTCATAATCATGAAAGACCGCTGGGATCGACAGACTTACCAAGACCGTGACGTTGAAGACATTAAAGACCGCTACTATTCGGTCTGCAACGGCCTCAAAAAAATCCGCGCACCGCCCGGTACCGAGGTGAAAATCCAAGCGTTCGACGCCGATCACGAAAGACGCCGCAAGGAACAATTGCATAAACTGTTGTCGCGGACACCCGAGGAAGTCGAAGAAGAACAAAATCTAATCCAGGACCTACGCAAGATCGAATTGCGTAAGAAAGAGCGCGAGAAAAAGGCTCAGGACCTTCAGAAACTCATTCAAGACAACGAGCAGCGCGCGTCGCAACAACAGCAGAAGAAATCGAACGCCCCCGTCGTTTCCGGCGTGAAGAAGAAGAAGGAAAGGAATTCCGTGTCCGTCGCTCCGAGCTTGGTCGACATCAGCCAGATCGAGAGCACTGCAGCTATCAAGTATCCCGAGTTCAAGACATCGGCAGCTTCGCTGAGAAGTTCTCGGATGAAACTCCCTCAGAATATTGGCTTGAAGAAGATCAAAGCTCTGGAACAGATGCTCAAGGAACTCAACGTCGACTCGAATCCGCCGGCGTTCGCGGACGTTGTTCAGCAGTTCAATGAGCTCCGCAACGATATGATGGTTCTCTATGAACTCAAACAGATCCTCACCACAACAGAATATGACTTGAATGCGCTCCGGTTGCAATACCAGGAAGTGAAGACCGAAGCAGCGGATTCGGATGCTGGGGGCGATGTCGATGTGATGGGAAGTCCACCGAGAAATTCGATTGCAGACACTTTCGAAGTGGACCTGACGCCGAATCGAAAGCGAAAAGCTGCGCTTGAGCAAGTGAATATACTCAAGCGCTTGAAAAAAATGTAGATACAGGTACTATCATGAATGCTGCTCCCATCATTCAGGAGACTGACTTCCACATGAGGGACAGCTGGAAATATTGTATAGATTTTCCAATCTCGTTTTTCTCCACGGAGAGTATGGGTGATACCTTAATTTACATCCTTGTGTAGGGGATTCACTTTCCTGGTAGCAGTCTGAAGAGAATAAACACATCGTCTATTTTTCCCCGAGTACGTCCGTCGCATCCCTGACATAGAGCGTGTGCGCCGATGATTTCTTCGAAGCCATCTCCATCCCATCGGATCTTTCAGCAAATATAATTTTTGTGAATCACTCGACGAGTCTCGAGGAGCTTGTTACCGACCAGATATTGCTGTCTCAGGATAACAATATTTGGTCGTACGATTAGGATACGGACATAAGGCTCCCGCGGAGGCGAAACCTGAGTTCGAGGGAGTTAGGGGATGAAGGGGAATGGGGCAAGATCACTCTTTTGCGCGTGTCCCCCGCAATCAACTCCCAGAAGAAGTTCCTAAAATTTCCGAGTACGGAAACGCCCGCCCCGGCACGAGAAAAATCCGAGTAACCGAAGTTTTGACGTTATCTTCAAAAGATTTATCTCCACCCGATACTTGGCAGAAAGGTCTTCCAATCAGACACTTCGATCCTTCCCTCGGGAATCCGATGCTCGACTACTTTATGAAGTGCGCTCTTGCCGTCCGTGAGCGAGATCACCATTCCGGGGGGACAGCTGATTCAGTATGATATTCTAGTTCCTACTCAGGAAAAAGTCCCACATTTTCTCGAAGAGCTTCAAAGCCTTTCTCATGAGTCGCGTCGATGCTTAAGACGCTTCGATAGGTGAGGAGGAGGAAGATCTGTCCGGCAGCCAGGGAGTTTATCCGTCTATCGCTCCGTCTGAACTAACCAAACTACGTACAGCCATAATTTCATGATGAGTTACCGTCTTTTGATAGCTCCTGTTTTCACGCTTGGTGTAGCCGGTCGGTCGCCGGAGTCTTTCCTCGTATAGACGTTCAATAATCTCATAATTCTCTCTCGTATGGTGTTTTGTCTCTTTGTGTTTGGTCGTGTCTGAATGTTGAAGCAGACTGCCGTGTGTTAGTGAGGGAGTTCGCATCACAACTTGCCAGTCTCAGACCTTGTATCTGTTGTATCGGAGTCGGAATTGACAGCTCAGACGATTCAACTTTCGATGAGGTCGTTGCTGCCATTGTCCTGGGATCCTGCGTATTAGGGATACAGCCGCGACGAGGCTCCGACCCGTCCGAGAAATCCACTCGGAAGCGTTGATGGCGTGAGAAGTATATGATTGTTTGTTCCTTCCTATCTTGCTTTGAAATCCTCGCACAAAAGGCAAATCGACATCCCTCTGATCTGAAATCTTCCGGTGGTTATTCGTAGTCGTCACGGATGCAAGAATATCTTCTCAGAAGTTTTTAGTTCCGATATCATATCCCGCTCCCGTGATCGACGTTGAGTCATTTTTCGTCAGTTTTCCGGAGAATGACCGCATTCGACGGTAGCCAAGCGTCAGCCCTGCGAGCGTTTTCTTCATAGAATTAGCAAGAATCACGGCCACCGATGAGATGTCTGACGACTCCCAGAACGGCTGGGAACATTGCGGTCGCTTGTCTCAGCAGGAACGCCATCTTCGCTGAATTCCTCGCCTCGATCGAGCATCTCAGCTGTCTGGCCAGAAGATCTGCAGCCGCCGGATGTGGCTCGGGATGGATCTTATTTGCTCCGTCGCCGCGTTCGTACTTGCGGCGAGTGTATCATACATTTCGGTACCTTGATGAGAAACTCTGTCGCCGTTCAGACTTATCGCTGACAATCTTCTAACCGCGTAGACTCCAGATACCCTCCTGTATTGGATGTGATTTGATGGCTCTGCAGCATCGATGTAGCTGTTATCGTATGCAGTAATTGGGGCTGTTTATCCAGTTCTCAACACGAGAGGAGTTTCGCTCACCCATTAGACTCTTGTTCGCTGTCCCAACTCGAAATGTTGCCGCACCTAAGGGTTGCCACATGAGTGATACTAATAATCCCTCGATGTGATTCGCTGGCTCAGTCGCATATCGGAGAGTCAATTTTGTCGGAGAGCCTGGTAAAAGCGTACTTGCTCGATTTTCTGTGATCGCTCTCGCGGAGTCAGTACAAGTTTTTTTATAAAACGCTATCGGCTATGAGTCATCTACCGATACACTCTCACTTAAAGGTAGAAGCGGGGAAGATCGAATCGAGTCGAAATCCGAGACGCTGTGAAGCCCGATTGATATGAGGTTTATTTTTGACTCCACAGATGGCCAACGGGGATTCTATGGCCGAACCAACCGCGCGTCTTTGTCATCTGCGCAAATGGCGGGATTTCGATGGATATGGCTTCAACCTTCACGCGGATAAAGCCAAAGGAACCCAGTTCATCGGGATCATTGATCCTCACAGTCCCGCCGAGACTGCTGGAATAAGGCAGAACGACAAAATTATCGAGGTGAGATCTCCTGATCCGAGAAAAAGGATTCTCCCCCACTCAGCTTAAGCACTCCGCAATTAACGTGTGACGAGTATCGTCTCGATTCTCAAAGTACCTGGGTAGAAGAATTTATCCGAGGTTAGGTTCACGTTCCCGTCTAGATCAAGGGCCTCATATCACTTGGAGGGAGTTCCGTGGGTGTAGCAGAGCTGGCCTTCTTCCGAAAACCTTACTCGACATAGGTGCAATTTATCGCAAGAATTCGCTAGCGTCGTTAAGATTCGCGATAGTAGCAACCGTAAATCTCCATGAGATTCCGCCGAGTGCATTTAGAGTTTAAAGAACAAGGGTTGAGCTTCTACGCATTAAGGACATCGAAGGAGGTATTTCCGCGGCATGGCTTTCGACTGGCTATTTCGCGTCAGGTCGGTCCCTCGTTGAGCCCCGTCAAAATTCGTGAGAGTCGAAATACTGAAAGAGCGGAATATTGGCTCTTCGCGTAATTCCTCCACCTTATTGTCTCGATTCCGCAGGTGAACGGTGAGAACGTAGAGAAACTTCCGCATCGGGAGATCGTTGAGCGTATCAAGACTGTTCCGAACGAGACCACGTTGCTTGTCGTCGACGAAGCCGCGAACAAATATTTCCGCGACAAGGGTATCCAGGTGAGCAAACACCGATTTCGAGACTCGAGGCTGATCGGTCCCGATCAGACATCGATGCTCAGATATTCGGCCGATAATAATTCGGCCATGTGTTTTCAAACTTCTGACGTGTATTCCCCCATCGGTCGAGTAGATAAGTTCCTCTATGAAGAACCTGCAACGACTGGAAACTCCATCGGTAAACCCAAGGAACAACAACTCCAGTGATAAAATGCCCACCCTGCCCTCGACACCACCTCCAGCGCAGGAAAACAAAGCCGATTCGGCGAGCTCGAAGAACAACCCTCCCATGATGAGCGATACCGGCGCGCTGTCCGATAACCCTAGCCTCGTTCCTCGCAAGTGCCATTTGCGGAAATGGGCGGATTACGAAGGCTACGGATTCAATCTGCATGCCGACAAAGCGAACAACTTGCACTTCATCGGAGAGGTTGATGAGGGATCTCCCGCCAAGCTCGGAGGCCTCAGACCAGGCGATCGGCTAGTCGAAGTCAATGGAGTCAACATCGATGACGTACGTCAGAATTCTTTCAATTTCATTGAACTGACCGAGGGCCCCTCGGTCGAGTTCTATTCTCTCTCGCGCCCGATCGAGCACGAATAGTATTGTTTCTTTCATTCTTGGGTTTTCCATCGGGTGGATCGTTCCGTTGAATGTTTTCTCGTCTTCGATTCGACGGAAAAAGTATTCGCTCCTTCTCAGTTTCACGAGCACAATCGTCTCCGAGCTGCAATTATGCGGGAGTCGTTCTCGAGCAATGAGTCTTCTAAATCACGAGATGACTCAGACACTCGCGCCGCTCGAGCAGGATATTTCTTCCTAGTCATTCAAGAGCCCGTGTGGACGGAACGAGCTGAAAATTCTGAAAATCCATTCCAGATCACTCACAAAGATATCATCGAAAGAATAAAATCCAACCCTCAAGAAACCGAGCTGCTCGTGGTTTGCAAAGAGACGGACCAGCTCTATCGCGACAAGGGCATCGTTGCCAAGGGTACAATGAAGGAAGTACGAGTTATCAGTACCCCAGCCAGAGAAGTCGATCACATGGTGAGCGAAGTGATTCAATATATTTTCTTCAAATCCTTTAAAACCGCTATAATTCTTCCTTCCTGGTATCGTATCTCGGCGGAACTGGCACGTGAATCGACGTGAAATCAGATCTTACCACAGTCGTAGACGCCGAGCTCAGACAATATTCATTCGGAAACTCGTTTTCTATTGATGATCCCTGGCTGACCCCATTTGAGTGCGGAGTCGAGTCCTTGCGTATATCTGAGCAACATTTGGCCAGGTGAACTGAGCTTCCTGTGCTCTAAAATGAGCGGAAAAAATATCCCGCGAGAGCTGTACAAGCAGACGGGAGCAGATCTCGCTCAGAGATCAAGCGAATGCATCTGGAATGCTTGTAAGCCGCCGAGCTTGTCGGCCTAACCTTCATCGTGTTTGACAAGAGGCATTGATTTCGAGAAAGTCATGCAACGGAGTAGAGTCCTCAGCTGGCTCGCTGTAAAAACGTCCAAACTGAGGCGGGCTATGCGAAACTTGCTCCCGCTCAGCTGATATGAGCAACTCCTTTGCTCCCTTGAGTGGAGCCGTCGAAATTATCGAAAACTCTGACTCGCGAGAGTGAGAAACGTATCCGACGCGCGGGAATTCTCGACTCGCGTCTCGTATAGAAAGATAAGTGCGCCTGTCCGTCCATTTGTTCATAAAATGACTCGGCATCTGAGCGCCTCCTCGCTCCCTGACATCATCGCCAAAGAACAAAATGAGCCTTTTGACGATTTGACATGACCTTCGTCGTGGGAGACTCCATTATGACATTCTCTTCCCGGCACGGTCATTCATCTCGCGGGGTTTGTTACGATGCGGCTCGGACGACCCGAACGAAATATGGAACGAGGATTTTTCTCTGATTCATTGCCTATAATTGAATCTGCGTCTGCTTGCGTGTTCGAGCCTCGCTCGAATTACCGGGTCCGTCAATGTATATTCCGTTCATTTTTTCCGGCTCTTTGTCCGCTCCAACAAATGAGCAGAATACTTGCGGGAGAAATGTGCTTTGAAGCATGATATTCCGAATTCGGGGCGTTGCAAGAAGGGGAAATCTGCTTCCGTATTGATCAAGGAACGCGACGGACTGTTCACGTCTCCTTCCGTTCGTCTTCCGTGGGAGCGCGAAGCACCCCGGCTGACTGAAGGCAGGCAGGCAAGCAAACGGGCGAGCGGGCGGTCATTGTCGGGTTTCGCCGGTGGGGCTTTCTTGCCTGGGCTTATCATTCGCAACTCGCAACGATGGCTTCTTGAGATGCCTGGCTGCTCGACTGAATACTACAGTTCGATATGAAGTCGTTTTCGGCGGCCACACGCAGCGGCGGTACTTGCAGGCATGAAGCTATGCGGAGCCACACTCTCGGCTGCCATGGAGGGCATGCAACGCGAGGGACCTTGGGTCTCCGAGCATGACCATGCATGCTGAGACGGAATGCGTCCGGGTGACCTAGACCCCGACATTAGTGCGGTATCTGACACCGCGTCCCGATCCTGATGACGGCAAGGGTTGATATTGAGATTCACACGGGAAGTGTGACCAACTTCCTTGAGGTGTTGAGAAGCGTTGACACCGCCGCGAAAATCTCGCAGATCACCTTAACGCCTCCGCCAGTAGGGATCCTCCGACAGCAAGCGCCCGTTAAAAAAAAGAGTGTTACCACCTTTCCGAAAGAGGTGGCTCTACGAATACGACTCGACCAAACCACTCGATTCTGTGACTGTGGACTCGGACCCATGGATGTCTGCTGCTCCGATGCTTCAGACTCCGAAGAAGGCGGGATTCGCGTGCCTGATCCGAAGGTAGAGTTGGGAAGGGACGGAATCGAGTTGTCTGAATTTCTATTCTGTTCCGTTTGACGCGACCGATGATTCCGTTCGGACTCTTCTCCTCGGAATTCGCCGTCTTTATTTCTCTTTGTGAGTTCCGCCCCGCAAGATCGTGAGAAAATTTCGCGATATGAGATGCGGAATGGCTCGCTGTGAGCGCGCCCGTATGGGTCGAAAATGATGGCAGAAAAGAATATGAGGCGTTTTATCTGAAATCCTCCATTGGAGAAAGACAAAGTTCAGGTGTGTCTGGAGATCGTGAAAGGAACGAAGGAAACAGCCGGAGGGCGTCTTCTTCACGATCGCTACTGCCCGAATCGGAGACATTGACTTCGGTCGAGTGAAAATTCAGGCGAGCCGCCACTCGCAAACGGTGCTTTCTTGATATAAGGTCGTGCGGGAGATATATCTTCGACCACGATCTACGTGAACTATGTGTGCTCCGCTGGACAATCTCATGGGATCGAACCGGTCAGGCCCCTCTAGTCCGCTTTCGATGCCGGGACCTGCATAAAATCTAAATCGAGCCCGGGAATCCAATCCACAGGACAACACTTCTTCGAAGTCGTCTTCGCCGAAGATGCTGCCTTCGACTCCTTCATCCAATCGTTCCGAGGAAATCCCGCCACCGACGCCGTCCACAACTGTGGACGAATACGACGTCAATGGGGTGAGTTCTTTGAGGCTTGACTATTCCGGGAGAAGACCTGTGAGGATTGGATACAGCTTGACTGTGTTCTTTCGATTTTGGGAATCTTATTTGTTTTAGACGCTTGAGATTGTTTTGATTGGAATTCGATATCGGGGAATCTGGCATGAGTCCAAGGCTCAATCAGACGGTCGACTCTAGAAGTTCTCATGAGAATAACTCCCCACAACCTTCGCTCAGATCAACTCACCGTCTCCCGCAATGAACGTTGAGCCACCAGCCTACTCTGAAGCTCGCAACGGACGTGGATCGGCAGATTCACCCATGATGGACGAGAAAGAGCTCAGTGCGGAAGTTTCCAACATGACGGTCCACGGCAGAGAAAACGGCAAAATGAACAACTCGACGAACAGCGACGAAAGCGGTGAGCGTTGGAATGAAGACCTGGATTCCAAAGCACTCATATCCAGTAACGGTTATACCGTTGCGAGTCACAAGCTCGAGTGAGAGAGTCAGAAATAACCATATGTTGACGTACCAGGTGGTGCAGCTTCCCCGATATTCTCGATGAAAGCATCCGACGTGCGAGAGATGCTGCGACAAAGGAAGAAGAAGGACCCGCGAGTGCAGAACATGGACCTCATGCAGAAATTCAAAATCATGGAGCAACTTTAAGGGTTTCGGGTCGATTCAGGACCTAGTTAAGTTGTTTACGGCCCCGGAAACTCTTCCGTCGGACGTCACTGAAATCGTAGAGTATCACAAACGAGCTGGCAATAAGCGACGCGATGCCTAGGCATTATTACTATTCCTTGAAAGAGTCGACATCCAGAGCTCCTTACGAAGTCATGAGTTACCCATCGAAGGGATCGTCCGCCAGATGCTGATGAGCAGACGCCAGGAAGCATCCTTTCAAGAAAACGACGCAGAGCACGAAAGACATTCATTTATCATGCAAGAGAAACAAAGAATTGATAGTTTGCCGCTATCGATCGATTATAGTCCTGTGTTTACTATCCATGGACTGCTCACGTTGAAATTTAGACATTGCCGATCGATCAGCGACCCTGCTAGAGACTCGTCAGCATCGAGACCAGTGTCATATGATGCAGCTGGGATGTCTTGTCATCGTCTTTTCATTTTAACTTCACTGGAGCCCCGAATTTTAATAAGATGTCATCTGGGGCTTGCTCCAAGAGCAATTCTTGAACAAGACCTTGCGCTGAAAAGTGCTCAAAATACCTCTCAGGAGTGACTTTCTTAAACTACCATAATATGACGGAGAAGTCCGCTTAGATCTAGGACGCAAACATTCGTATGCGGAGGTCACGATCCCAGAAGTGGCTCTCAAATCTTTAAGTAGATACAATCAATAAATGAATTCATCATTCTACCGGGCCGTCTTTTGTCTTATATCTGACGAAGTAGAGGAGGAAGTGATAGACGTCTCTTGAAATTATCCTCGTCGCTGACCCTCGTGATTGCGGTGTTACTCACCGATTGTTGTAAGCATCGAGAATGTTCGTTCGTAACACTCGGTAAGAGAGACGGCTCTAGCTGTTGTTTCGACTGCAGGTTACGCGACCAGGAGTCCTTTCTCAAATTCCAGCTGTTCGTTTCAACGTTCTCGCCTGCATCCTATGCGCTACGATGGCGGCGAACAATCATCGGTTTGGGAACGCTGGACCCAGAGATTTACAGTGCTCCACCACACTTTAACCGCCGAGGTGCCTCCGCTGTCAACGACGAATACCGTGGATCTTCAACTCGGTTTCTCTTTGGATCAAAGTATGTCGGATAGACTTATTGTTAGTGCAAAGGTTCTTCCGGTTCTTCAATCGAAAGTTCGATGCACCCTCCGAGGGATACCGTGGGTGGCAGGCCGCAGGCCCATACTGTTCTCGAATGGTGATCTCGAGAAAGTGTATAAATGCTAGGTGTGTATCGAATCTCGACTGAGGGGAACGGATTGGACCGGCTCGATCGTTGAGCCACCTGAGTAGGATATGATTCCCGATAAGCCTCCTGAATCCCCATTGCTGACTGCGCCTAATGACGCTCTTTTCACCGCACCGGAATTCTGGGGAGTAGACGACTCTGGGGGAATGGGAACTGGATCCGGGAATTCGTCTCTTAGATCTGGAAGTCCGCTGTTGGGTCCGCTACAGCCGAGTCACTCAGCGTGAAAGATGCCGCAGACTTGTCCGGAACCGAGCAATGCATTGTATCTGGGTCCTTCATATGAGGTCCTGAGCAGGGATGCTCAAAAGGCGGCCCGCGGGCCAAATCCGGCCCGGAAGGAGATCCGATCTGGCCCGCCGACAGATCTCCATATATTTACAGAATTCGGCTCGCGCGCAGAATCATCGGGGAAATATAGATAGACAAACAGAAAGACTCAATGGTGAGATAATAATCGCAAGAGCTCTCTATCTGTTTGGATATTTCACTCTTGTCGTGGCTAGCCTCCGCTAAAATCGGACGGCCGTGTTCGCGAATTCCTGAGTCTGTGGCCCGCCATCTCTTGCGGACTGAAGCATCCGGCCCGCCAAAGTCTCCACCTGAGAACCCCTGTCCTGCTGTATGCATTCTTTCCGCATAAATCCCGACTAGATCAAGTGTGACATTGACTGGAGTCCATTGCGGAGTCGTTCGACGGGTGGTCTCGATAATCGATTTCAAATATCTTCCTCGGAACAATGACTTTGCATTGTTCATCTATATGTTGTAAGCTACACCGTTTCGGTCGTTGACGAATATCTGCAATCGTCATTGAAGCGTATTCCCGAGATTCGAGGTCTGCAGCGGCTTCTCCTTCCTCGAATCACAACTCGGTTCCTTCGACATCCCCGCGGCCAAGATTGAACCAGACGGGACTCTTGTTTTCGGATACATAAGTTCGAGTGTTTCAAAATTCCAGGAGTGAATCTGGGTCCTACGGGGGCTTCATTGATTTATTTCATATTTAAAATTATGTGATGGGCGGTCGGAGGCGAACGGCTTCAGAATTGCCCTGCCCTCGTTCAGGCCCGACACGTACACCGGGCGGGTCGAGTAGGACCATCGATACGTCGGATGCCAGAATTCCATCATAGTATGGACGGGAAATATGAGCAGACTTCCTGATTCCCTTGTGCGCCGATTTACTCGGCTTACAGTAATGATTTCGTGGCGCGTGCTCGCTCTCGTGACTTAATCTACACCATCCGACTTGGATTGACCGAGACAGGATCGACGCTTCTTGGAAACCGCTCCATCGTGGTGTGAACACGAGATCCCGAAATGAGAGTAATCATGATTCTGGCAGCCCACCGACTTTCACAAAATGCATCGGAGATATCGCTTGAAAGCGCTAATTGATGTGGTCCGAACTAAGGAGCGAGTCCAGCTAATTGGGCAGTGAGGCAATGGTTCTCAGTATCGCCCACACAATCTCATGCACCACTGGTTTCAGCCTTCAGTCAAGTCACAGGTAAAAAGGAAACTGGAACTCCGGGTAACGGACTCCATGTTATCATAAATAGTTTCTGCTACAAAATGGTCCGGCATCCCTCGGCTGTCCGATGAAGGAATCAACGCGCGATTGGATCCGAGCATGAGACCTAGGGAAGTCATCCGAATTGGATCGATAGGAAAATTATTAGAATTACAATGATGAGGATACCGATGAGCCAGAACTTCTTCTTGGTGGCAGCATGCTTGTAGTCGAGAGCCGTCTTCGTTTCTACCTTCGCCTGGAGAGAGAATATCGGATTCAGACTTTCAGTCCCACCATCACGCGAGAGCTCCTCCGAAGAGCTACAGGTGTACTGTCTGCTGCCCAATCGGAATGTGCGCCTGAGTTCGAGATCGCGGCGGCATGATTTACCTTATCAACGAATTCGGCGGCGTTCGCGACGTTGTATTCGATCCGGTCGATCATGGTTCCTTGGCTTTCAACCAAGACAGCCATTTCGATGAAAAGGTCTCGAAGCTCTCTGACGGACTCCTCCAATTTCATGATGTCCTGGTGACGAGCTTGAACATCTGCGAGAGCCTGCTTGTTCTTCTCACTTTCCATGATGACACCCTGTGAAACCAGCCATGTGAGACCAGCCCCGGAAAAACTCATACGAATCATACGCCATCGTGATCAAGTCACCTGAGTGAACACATCGAAGTTCCCAGACTCCAACAGATCCTCGAGTTCCTCATCTGAAGGCGTTTTGCCGGTGATGTTGAGTTGTCGCTTGATTCGATATTTGCACTTTTCTCTGTATTCCATTTGAGCTTCATTGTAAGAAGTCATCGTGTCCACGAATAACTGCGAAATCGTTCGTCATGCTTTAATCCGTATAGACGGAGAGGAAATGAATCAATCCGCATCGAAGAACCAGACATTCAAAGAGCGGGAAATTCCTCCACATTTCTTCTAGACGACGAACCTTGCTCAGAGTTTGTTGCTGAATCCGCTTCATACGAGATGTGGCAGAAGTGGGATTCTCCTTGACGTCCTTATCGGCCTCGCTCTGTATTTCCTTAAGGGTATACCGAATTCTGGACGCAAGTTTCTTCACGTCCGCCATACTTCGATCGAGCTCTTGATTCTTGTCGTGGGAGTCGACACTGGAGAGGATCCGAGCGTGGATATCCCTGACTTGTTGAGTATCTTCGCGGAGTTGCTCTATGCATTCTTGTACCTGGAAGAGAGCCATCACATTGAATCCTCTAGAATATTGTTGCATACAGCAAGCTCACCACGGAGCCTGATTCGGTGACTAAGACGCCTCGGATGCCTACAGAGTCACAGCGGAACGAATTCTCAAGGTCTCGAGTCTCTACCGGATATGTTTTGGGACAGAAAGCGATCAATGTAGGCAGGGCTACCTTCAAAAGTTTCTAAGTAAGTTTCTATGGGCAGAAAAATTCTTTGGGGATTGCTCTGATTATTTCCGCGGGCGGAGTTCAAGATTCCATGCTTAGAAGCCACGCCGGGCCCAAGGTGATGAGGGTAACTGATCGATTCATGTTGTACCGCCGTATACGTATACCATCTTCTTGTAGCTTCCCACGTCGGATAGCACAGAGCAGGCTCACGAGAGTTCCGACCACAATCACCAGTAACATTGATTTTCTTCCTGGAGAAGGCATTCCAGAAAATAGCGCTGAGGTACTCCACCTGTTGCGTTTTCAGTTTGAAGGAATCCATGGCGGTGTTGTTGTTCTCGATTTCGATTGTGACCATCTCCGTCTCCTCTTGCGCTTCGGGCGAGTCTTCATTTTGCTGTCGCTCGGTTTGAAAACGAAGGATGAGATCTTTCGTCATTTCGATACCTTGGGCGGCGAGCGTTCCGTCTGTCGAACTCGTTCGTTACTGTGGATTCGATGTCGGTGGATTTAGGCGGGGAGTAGAGCAGACACCGATTAAAATAATCGCTAATTCTTGGGATTTGCGACAGCGACCGGGCTTAGTTGTCAACTCTACCTCCTTCGCCGTGGACCTGACCGCCGCCAATGCCACCACAGCGAGCATCGGCTTCAGCAGCGGCAAAGTAAACAGCCGAGACTAGCACTCGAAGTGGGACTCTCGCTTAATCCGTGGGCTCACAATCCACAGGGACCTCGCCCCTCTTCTGGTCAGCGGGACCGTCGTCCAAGTTCGGAGATTGAGAAATCTTCCGAGCCGAGTGAATGCTGCTCCGCACGCTCGCGTTCGTCGGAGGTCTTGACGGTTCGGACTTCCGTCCCCTGTCAAGATCCAGGCTCTGTCGATGCGAAATGTCTCGCACTTGGATCTATATCGAAATCGTGGAAGATGATCACTCCAGCTACACTGTTTTCACCCAATCTAGAAAGACGGCGGTGCAGCTGCAGACGACAGAACGCCTCTGTCTGCTGCCTGCTGACGACTCTTCGACGAGACGATGTGGTTGTGTGTGTGGATGCCGCTGCTGACGTGAGGGTCCGCTCTAGTAGTGGTGCTGCTCTTGGTTTTGGTGGGAGCGCTTTGGTGCTGCAGCAGCGACCACCTGATGCTGATGCTGGATTAATCTTGGGGTGGGCGCTTCACTGCTTGGTCAGCAGAACTCCGAATGACTTGCGAGGGTCGAGACGCAGGAATCTCCTTTGACGACGGAGATTCAGTGGAGCCGAGGGATGCTGTTCAAGAGTCGTGAATTGACTCAGGGCTGACGTCAGCTCGCCGTATACGCTGGCGCGAACACGAATTTTTCTGTAGCGATTCTCGGCACTCGTAACAACGAATTCTCGTGAGGAGGCGAGCTGTTCATCCCCGGGCCATGCTTAGCGGATGACTCTCCCAATCCTAGGAGCCGAATCCTGTGGAAATTCTTGATCGTCCAACTTTCTTATCAAATCCGATCCGGAGCATTCGAATGCTTCTACTGATTAGCCAGAGCTTCGAAGGACGCGTCCGTAGAATCTATGCGGAGGCATGCCTCGAGGAGTATTCCTCGGCAGGCTTCGACAGCCGTCAAAGATGGAGATGGGACACCGAAATCAGCTATTCTCCAGAAGGTACAGGGTACAGGGAGCGAACCGCGCATGCACAGGGGGTCGCGACTAATACCGAGAACGGTCAGAGAAGGTACATCATCTATCGATGAGGAGACCGTCGCATAGTCGAAAGGTCCATTCGCATTGCTCGAGTACGTCCGCTATCATTTCTTCCCTTGTAGGCTGTTCGAAGAAACCAAGGGCGACAGTCAAATTACCGAGTGTCCGAGCTCCGTGCTACGGGCCCGTATGGCCTCCTGCGCCGAGTCTCGATGGCGAGAGAGCTGACTTCGCTCAAGAATACCTTACACGGGATACCTAAGACAGGCACGGGAGACCTGAAACGATGAGCAAAACTGGGCAGTGATGAGCGCGGTTTTAAACTCTCACAGTATCGCCAGGACTGGATCCGTCCTCCCTTTCCCCCTCTTCTCCTTGCTTCAAATGACATTTGATGATGTTCCGACTTTACCTGCAAAAGTATGGAGCCGCCCATGAATTGACCCCGTCCTCCGTCGATAATAATCGAGAGTCGACGTTGGGGTTCCCGGAATGAAGTTCAGATACATGTGTTCATCGGCTACATGCGAGCGGCTGGATACTTGGAGCGGAATTCATGTGATACCTCGAGAAGAATAGATCTTCCACCAATCGAGCTTCTGTCAACGGAGCTCTCTGGGTGCAATCCCGATCGGCGATGTGTCCTGTTGACCTGCGGCGTTGACAAAGGACCATTTCGTCTCGAGAGTTGCGCGGATCCGGTCGTGAGGTCCATCCACAAGGAAAGACTTGGGAAAATTTCAACGGACAGGTCTCCGATCAGCTCATGGAATTCGGAATTCGAAGCTCTGGACCTTCAACGGGCTAGAAAAACCAAGCTAGAAAGCCGTCAGTGTCTGCCGGTGGCCGATTCAGAGGAGAATCATAATTTTCCAATCATGCTCATTCGACCAAGTCTCAGTAATCTATGATCCTTTATTGGATGTTTGTTCATCTAAGAACCTGTCACGCCTGACCCCCGCCTTCCGCGACCGGGAATTAGGTTCTGAACCCCACGGACCGTTGAACGATGACCGAGTCGAGTTATTATGCGCATTGTTTCCGGCAGGATTGCCCTTCTCGGAGAATGCGCTTGATGTTCAAGACGCGATTCTCTCGGGAGAGCATTCCAGTATAACGCTGGAGCACCCTAGAAGAACCACTTTCCTGAGCTACGACTTACGTCTCCGAACGATTCTGAAATATTCTCGTAGAGGGCGCTGCTATCTCCAAGACCACTACGACTGTGCCAGCAAGTTAGTCACTGGTAGCAGGGCCTTGTGGGAGCGCCTGCAGTTAGATTGTGGTGAATGACAATCGCCTCGTTAGTGCATGACAAGGTTGGCTGTGAGCTGCGGTCGAATTCTTGCTGGTGAATATATTGAATTGAGCTCAACTTTCTGTTTAGCCCTCTGCTGCGGATTCATTGAGTGGGAGTTGATACGCGCGGAACAAAAACAGCGACATGGTGCGCGACAGGCTGCAAGAAATGAAGATTATGATAGGTGACCAGTCCGGAGCGAGGAGCTCAGTACGTGAGCCAGTTAATCTACAGAAGTCCATGGACCAAGTCTATGAGGACATTGCGAAAATTGAGGTATGGTCACTGTTGAACGTCGTAAACTCAGGAGAGTATTCGGCTCCCCCGCCGGTCGCGGGATCTGAATCCTATCCACGAGTAATCTGACTCCGTCAACAGGGCTGCGTCCAACAACTCTTCAACGCTCACAATGAAGTTCTCTCATCCATACCGTCGAGGACTACAGCTCGAATCGATTCCATCGTCGAAGAGATTCATCAGACGGCGACAGGTGTCAAAAGTTATTTGATGAAACTCAAAGGCAAGTTAGGGAACTAGGGGCGAGTCAAGAATGAGGAAGCACGATTTCGCGTCCCTGAAATAATATAATAGGCTTGCTTCGTTCCAGGATCTGTTGACGCGGATGACAAATCCGCCAAAGGTCGCATGAAATACTCACAGTATACGGCACTGACCAAGGCATTCTCCGACGCGATTTTCGAGTTCAACGAGGAGCAGCTGAGGTATAGAGACAAATGTAAAAAGCAGATACGAAGACAAATGGAGGTTTCTGGCAGGCCAGTTTCCGATCAAGATCTCGAAGATATGCTCGAACAGGTTAGCCACGACTACAATCGCCATGACTCATCCAGAAGTCCTCGAAGAACTTCATTGAGCTGATCGGCGCGGAATATTGCGCTTTTCGTTATTGGAAATCGTTCTCTCAGCTGACTCGTACGCAGGGAAATGTTTTCGTCGATAATTCGTCCGCGATGGCGATCGAAGAAGCTAGAGCGGTTGTCAACGAGGTCAAAGCGCGCCACAGGGACATATTGAAGCTAGAAGAGTCTATCCGACAGATGAAGAAACTTTTCGAAGATATCGCCTTCATGATCGAGGAGCAAGGGCAGGTCAGTCGATACCGACTAAATATTAAAATTAGGGGACCAGACGATGTCGCCGCTCGGATTTCGCGCCCTTTCGATCGCGATGGCTGATCCCTCATATTCCAGGTCGTGTCTCGGATAGAAGACTACGTCACAACCGCCGTGGACTTCGTCGGTAAAGGACAACAAGATCTCGAGAAAGCAGAGTCTCACCAGAAAGCGGCTCGCAGAAAAAAGTTATACTGTCTCGCCATCGTTGTGATCGTCATAACTATCATCATCATTGTGGTGGCAGTCGTCAAGTGAGAGTCCTTGTCGGTTCAGCTTCGAAATCTCTGCTTGCTTACATTCCTGCCATTCCGGCCTCGATCCACCTACTCGAGCTACTCGTCGCGAGCCTAGGAATAGATTCCGACGTCCCGGACTTCAGAGAAGGAACCTCAGTGGAGGGGTCTGGGGGCTTGGAATGATTGGAGGGGCAACTCCTCGCTGTGCTCTTCATGCTCCCCCGATGCTAGTCCAACCGTCTTGGCTCGAATTCCCCGTGGAGCGACCATAATTGCTGAAACCTCTTCAGTTCACCTGATCGCCTAGAATAGGCAATATTGCTGTCAGTTGCGAGCTCTCGATTAGATCTTCTCCCCATAATGATCAACATTGATGCAATAATTTCTCTGCCCCAATTCCTCAATAGGGGTGGTCGAATGAAATGAATACACATGGACAAAAGGAGGTCTTGATTCGATAGTTTCGGTGGAGCAGAGAACGCGCTTGGGTGCAACGACCAGGATCATTTTGGATGAAATGACTCGAAATTTGAGACTCTACTTCACCCGAGCTCTCGGTGGCCGCCCTCAGCAGGGGAACGAAAACGAGTAAAGCCTCGCCACCAAAGCGCGTTATTGAATCGAAATTCCGTGGTCGGATCAACGGCATTATCAATCGATGCGTCAAAAGTTGGACAGCCATCGGATAGAGTTAGCGCTGTCGCGTGACGTGAGTTGCACCTAGCTGTGAGTCATCAGACGTCATTGTTCGATGATAGAGCTTTGGGAATGGATACCCAACCATCGGTAGTATCATGTAGACATAGCACGTCAGAAGTGTAGTGTAAATTTCGGATTTGATTTTCCCCAGAGAACTGTGTGCCGAAAATTCCTCCCCCAAAACATGTCGTCCGTTTTCCAATGGTGCCCCAGTCTGTTCAAAATGGGCCTTCAAAGGGCCTCCTGATGCAAATTGCCTGTCCGCTAGGTGCTTCGAACATAGGAGCTTGAGAGCATCTTCCTCCAAGAATGTCCGATGGAGAGTGCCTTTTTACGTCCGATGAATAAACGATGTCGCATGTCGCGTGAATCAGTTCGATGACTTCAGGCCGTCGGAGGCTCGTCTTCACCATGGCAGCAAATGAACCGAAGTCATATTCTGAGACTTGTGAGGATGATTTTATTCAGTGGAAGCTAAAACATCTAGATGAATGGATGAAGAATGAGATGTGCACCATGAGCCCAGCTCGACCAGGCTAACATTATCTACTCGGATTTGTACAAGTTGAAGATCCATTGGAATCGATGCGAGCTCTACCACCAGGGATCGTGTGAGTGCCATCCGCCATGATGATGCGAGTGCCATCCGCCATGATGATGAGGGTGCCATCCGGCGTCTTCGACGTGGTGGTGGTGAACCTTCACGACATGTTTCGTGTGTCCATGGTGTTTGTGGCCTTTGTTGAAGAGATGAGCTGAGAATGAAGAGTTCGTGAGAAACTGTCGTCGAGAAATCCGTGCGATACCGTTGGACTCATGTCGATCATGAAATTTCCAATCTTTTCTCCATCCGAATGAAAATTCCCAAAGTCGTGTACCCAGTGAGGATGACCACTTCAATCCGTTGTGGGAGAGCTTCAAAAGAGGTTTCTCGTAGTGACCGATTCTGTAGGTTGTAGGAGGAACCCACTTAGCATCGTGGTCCCACTCGTCCGACGACAGGACACCGACTGCGAAAACTGCGACCAGCACGACGCAGGAAGCGAGTAGTTTCTGAAATCATCAGAGCTTTGCTGAACTGCTCATTCAGAAGAAGAGCTCGAGATGAACCCAAGCATGGGTTGCTTTTTCCAGAGTGCGGTCAGAGAGGCGTTGGAGTTCACATGACGAAACAAATAAATCCGAAGCTCACAGAGGCAACTCACGTGAATCATGCTTTGATCTGACGTTGGAAGCTCGCAGCTCACTGTGGACAAAGCAACCGCAGTCGATGCTTTTAAAGAAGCGCGAATCGTAGAGAAGAAACGGACCACACGCCTTTCAGGACGGAGGGTAGTATTCGGCGGCTCACAGCGGATACAGCGGCAGACACATTTATCTCTCTACGCCAAAATAGAAGAAATCAGCTACGACGCAATACTGTACGGTGATGAGAAAGCTTCTGCATCTGAAGATAGCACCGAAAAGCGTGCGATCTTCTGCGCGGTTTCATTCAGTGAGCTCTTACATAACCGCGCTCACTTTCGGTGCCTGATTGATTTTTGGAGATAAACGTGTCTGGCTCCTGCGCGAATCGGCACGCGAAGTCTCCCACAAGGCTGAGTGCATCGTTTAGTAATTCTCCAGAGCCGGCCGAGATCTGAGGAGTCTTCTGTACATGTTCACGTCGTCTTCTGTCCCTGGAGAGATGCTACTCGGGGGCGGCTAAAGCAGGTTCTCTCCAGCTCTCATTTTAGATGAAATTATTTTTAGCGACACAATTGATACATCGACTCCACGTTGATGACCGAAAGTGAACCAAATGATCACGTTCTTCACCTGTTCAAGTGAAAGTCAAGGCCGTCTTTTCGGGAATTCATACGGGCGAGCGGCTCGTGATTCTCTGCGATTACAATGTAGCTCGAAGCAGCGTCTCATCGATGCAGCGCTCGATCGGCTGACTAGACGATCGCTCGCATTTTCGGGCTGCCGATCTGTTGTACAACACACAGGAAGATAACCTTTGGATCACGCTCAGACCGCGTAGGGTCATGATTTTCGTTTATAATAAATGTTTTGAAAGCGTTCGACGGCCGTTGTTATCCGGATATCAGAGATTTGAATTTCGTTTCGTCGGCGAGTCGTTACGGCTTCGATTAATTGTCCTGATGTGAGCAAAAATAGTCGTCACCGCAGCGTATCGCGACTCGATCCTGATTTTCCTGAGCATTCATTGCGCTTCGACCACCAATTTGTAAGGAAGCTCCTGGATTCTTCTCAACGTGCGTCTCATCCAGGGACAGGGGTATAACTTCTTGGAGTTATTCCATTCCCGAGTGTTCTCGCTCAGATGGCGGTCTCGTCAGGGGAGCCATTGGGTTGCGATCAACCTCGAGCCCTCGATTCGGTGCGAGTTATCCTACTCTGCAAAGTCAGCTCGAGCGTTCCGAAGCTTTCAGTCTGGGGTTAGGGGATCCATCTCGAAGGGAACTGAAGGAGGGCTCGGGCGTGCACACCTCGCAGAAAATCAGAAGCCATTATTACGGACAGACGCGTCCACATAAGGCGCGGAGAAACGGTCGAGAATAGTCGGCATTCATGACTCCGCGATCCTTCGGGCGATCCCGTCTCGTGCACGAGAGCCTCTCCCAGGCTCTTCTTCTACGAACGATTCGGAAGAGCGGGAGATAAGGATACACATCCATGCTTCCCGGATTTTATGGGCCGTTACGTTAAGAGTCAAGGGCGGTGTACGGTTTATCATCTGCCCCGACGGCCTCGCTCCGTATGCGATAATTACATGGCTTCCGATGCTTCAACGGGGGACTCTATAAAGTGTAAAGATATCGGATTGCGAGACGATCGTAAGTTCGATGTATATAAAAACTCATGGCTGGCAGCTGAACTCTTCCAGCCAGTCTTTCGTTTGTACCCTGAAAGCTCTCGGATAACTCAATGGATTGCCGTGAAAAATCATGCCAAACGCTGGTCCTAAGGGAAGCTCGCACGTTTGAGCAGAGTCGTAGTCGTCCTCCTCATCCGATACTTCCTTCGACTTCTAATGATAATATTGGAGGGGTGAAAAATATGTCGAGGGAACGAGTGGAGACGGTAATAAATTACCATCCAGATATACCAGAAGAGACTAGTTGACTAGAAAGAGCGCGAGGGAACTTTTCCCTGAGTTCCTCAGATGTTGACGGGCACGATTTCCAGCATGGAATAGTTTCCAGCATCATGAGGGGATATTCCAGATGGCAGGAATCCGGAATTATTGCGCGTAGAGACCCTTGACTTCGACATGTAGAACGAATATGCGTATCTGTATGAAATACCCGTTACCTAATAAGGGAGGTGGTCTCGACAACCGAGAAGCCGAGAAGAGTATAAATTATTGTTGAGACCTCCCTGGGTGCACGGATATTCAACCCGAGTACTCGGGCGAGTTTGTTCAGGGATGAGCGAACATCCCATGACGTCAGCCTCCCAGAAGACTGCAAAGCGTTCGAGTCTATTTCAAAGAATCTCGCTGTCCTGAGGCAGTGTCGAATCGACCCTGGTGCCTAGGGCACATTAAGGAAGTCCTGAACCCCGACACTGAATCGAAGCCGGATTTCGTGTTGATCGATAGAGGGACTCCGCTCGGATGCGTGCGATTTTAAGATGAGAGGGAGTCCGGTCTCAATCCAATGCGGACCACTTCTTCCCCTCCAACGAGGATCTTCATCCGCTGCTTAGCTAATGACACGTTGAGCAACCTGTCCGCGCATCTGACTAGCGGGGTGATTCATTGAGTTCTTCCTGGAATACGCGAGCGGGGAACAAAAAATCCCATCAGACGATCGCTCTCATCAATGTCAGGGTCACGATTTTGGAAATATACACTAGCGGCGCTTCGCGCTGCCGCGGGACCGTGACTGGTGCAGCGAATTAGTACCGGGATCTTTTCCGATGATAGGATTGACGGAATGGCTGTATGATTTCATATGTACATAATATATTCTACCAATGCCCCGCTAGCGGCGCAGAGGAATCACAGAAAGATAGACAGACGGCGCCGCGTCTACTTCCGGTCGAACTCGATCAGACAAACCCTCATTCCCCCAGAGAGTCGAGTTGAGCTCTGGTTGGAGCATCTTCAAGTTTCGCTGTCATACTCCGACTATTACAGCGAAACGAGAAGAATGACAATCAGGAGCGAGACCTCCACAAATATGAAGCACTCTTAAACGGTGAACCCATCCTCAACATGATCCTCTCCCTCGATCAGCTCACAAATCAGAAAGGTCGCCGTTCCCACGTCAAGAGTTTCCAGTCTGGTCGAGGGTCCCAGCAGGAATCCGGGAGTCAGAAAGGTCGACGTCCCCGCGACGAGAGTATCCAACCTGATTCTGAGTCTAGCACACATCTGAGACTATCACTACTCCCCATGGTGCTGAACCGTTCGGGAAACCATGGGGCTCAGGGAGGACTGATAGGAATTTCGAACATGGCTTCCCGGTTTCTGACCCTGCACTCACTGAAACGGCCGACTTAGGGGACTGCGAAGTTCCGCGCAGGATTTCGGGTCGAGGTCAGCTCTGTGATTATTGCCGCAGCAGTGAGAAGAGTCGGGGATCTCACCCGACATTCCGGATTGCACCAAAATGGTAGGAGAATACCAGAACGCTCCGATATGTATTCTGCGAGGTGGCATAGTCATCGAGTTTCGAGCTGTGCGTGGTTGTCTCTATCTCACGAGCGCTGTTTAGCTCCGAGGGCTTCCGACGGTACTGGAAGCAGCCATAGGCCTCCGGGGATACGTCAGGGGAACGCCTGAAATGTGTTCTGAGCCTTCCGATCCCATCGATGCGAACAGCAAGGCGAGGATCGCACTCCGTGCCCCTCGATCCGGCGCGGACGGAGCTGATTCTCAGGGCCGATCCCACAACAGAGTAGAGAGGACTCGCCCAGCCGCCAGTTTCTCACCCTCTCTCTCCTCTTGATCCTCTCGGTCCCTACCAGCTGTAGGCCGACTTGTTTGGGGTATGACGACCCCTGAGAGACCAATTTTGAATTTGGCGCCATGTTTACATCGTTTCGAGTCCGAAGTCTTGAACGCTCTGAGGTGCGCGTAGAGGGAACGGGATAGAGAGCATTCGCCAGAGGTGAGAATTCCGTTCCAGGAGTGGTATGTTCCCGAGATACGTTCTGGTCGGGAGAGCTTCTCCTTGGCGGAGATAAGCCTTTATAGAGTCTATCCAGGCTCCCTCTCGGAGACGCTCTTCGCTGCGCCGACTTGAGGCGAAAAGAGCGGTAGACAGATGAGTTGCATGAATTTCTGTGTCAACGCGCTCGCGCGGGAGGAATGCCCGTCCTGACGAGTGAGGCTACCCGCTCATGCGCTATCATCGCTCTCAGGGTTATAGAGTTCAGAAAAGATTGCCGCCCGGAGCCCGAGCACGGCCGTCAGCGGCGCGGGAGCAATCTCTTCGAAACTAGAAGTATTCAGAATGGACGTATCGGCCCGAGTATTGGGTCTGCCTCGGCTACGGGAAATAATTTTCCGTTCCATCTTCAGGTTCATGAGAAGAGTCCAGGCTGCGCGAGAAGATCCATTCGAGCTTATCCGATTGCGGAACCATAATAAATACATCCAAATCACCTACATCGATCAGTGCGCTTTTCCTGGGGGTCGGCCCCCAGGAACTTTAGGAACCCTCCTGAAATGAGTACCGTAGGACTCGTCAGCAGCGAGGGAAAAACTTTCCAAGTTGATGTCCGGGTCGCCAAAAAGTCGTCCATGATCAAGAAAATGCTAGAGGACCTAGGCATGACCGACGATGAGCCGATTCCACTACCGAAAGTTAGAACGGCCACTCTGCAGAAAGTCATCGAATGGACGACGCATCACCTAGACGACTCGTCCGATACTGACGAAGAGAATCCGTACAGCGAGTACATTTCGCCCTGGGACGAAGAGTTTCTCAAAGTCGATCAGCAAATGCTGTTCGAAATTCTCTCTGCAGCGAACTACCTCGACATCAAAGGATTACTCGAGCTGGTTCTCAGAAAGCTCGCCAATATGGTGAGGCGTAGAGAACCGGAAGAAATTCGGGCTCTCTTCAATTTACCAAACGACTTGTCTCCGGAGGAAATGGAAAGAATTCGTCGAGAGAACGAGTGGTGCGAAGACAAGTGCCCCGGGCCGTACCGCGGATATATTTGAATGTTTTTCTGTTCAGTCTCGCAATTGTGCAAGTGATCCTCGCGTGACCTGGGAAACGCCGGCGATCCCCCTTAACGGAATAAAGTTGATTAATTTTACCTGAGCAAGAGACGCTCCTCGATGGTGAGCCGTGCACTCATCCTCCAAATGATACTCAGACGGCTTCTGAAGATTTTCTCTGCTCCCCACGCCCTCCCCTGTGCCAACCGCAGGTAGCTTGAGCCGAAGATGGAGGGTCTTAGACGCGAGACTTGAGTGGCGGTCTCCTGTCTGCCAGGACCCACGTAGGCTAATCCGAGACTCGTCAGAAGAGGGTCGCCAGGGAGGCGACGAATTTGACGCCGCCATCGTCTTCGGGGAAGGTACCGGGTTCAAACGCCGAGGCCGGTCGATATTCCTTAATGGAAAATCGAGGTCCCCAATTGAAAGGGAAGGTGAGTCGGGATTGCACTTGAGGGGAAGCAATAGCGCCGACACTGATTTCCTTCCCCACCGTTACTGTGGTAGTGTCGAGGAACAAGAATGATCAGAAAATGACAAGCGGCGGTATTTATCGAGAACCGAGAAATTATTTTGACTCGAGATGAAGAAACATGAAAGGGAGATGGAACGCCGCTTATCCGGACGGAAGATCCGGCATATTGTATCTCTCGAAACCAGCCCAGTGAAGAGGATTCACCGCGTGTCGGGAGCTCCTGTGGTTGCGGCTCCAAGACTCAGGAGTACTTTTTGAAATGGCGAGGTTTATTGAAGAATTTCGCGAGGAACGAGTTATTTTTGCCCTTATTCGATTCTCTATCATCATTCCCGATACAGATCGGTAGAGCTTGCGTAGCCTCTTCCTCCCCCCGGGAGAGTTCTCAACAGGCGCTACAGGGATGCTCCAATGCGGAGGACTCTAGCTTGCATGTCTGAAGGCTGACCTGGGGACTTTCAAGACGTACTTGTTCCTGGGGCTGCTGATGTATAAGCCGTCCTCATGCTCGAGCACTTCGGAGGCGTATTGATATTTTGTGGACTGAAGAGTTTGAAGGATGTTCCCATTGACATCGAATTCCACGACGAATGCGTAGTCAGGGATGCCTTCCAGGATTATGTGCCCTGTTTGGACCTGGAAATAGCGACAACCAGTTTACATGACTTGTCGAGGCAAGTGGCAAGATACAAACGGCCATCAGCAGAGCTCCTCACCTTTGATCCCAAGTCTCTGATCTGGCTGTTCTTGAGCAGGGTGCCCATACTGCGTACAAGACCGCCGACGGTAAGAACAGCGTTTCCGAGTTTATCGGTCAGATCAGGTCGGGCTTGAAGCTCATCCATCAGGTTACGGCTCCCATTCGGACGACCGAACCCTAGAGCTACCCAATATCCCCCATTGAGTGAGGGTCGGATGTTGTCGGGGTTCCCGGGCAACAGTCCCGTGAAAGGTTCCGCAGTAGCTGTCGAGATCGAGTGCATCGTTCAGAGTCGATCAGGACTATCCGAGTGGATGAGGTCAACCAATGTTGAGACGGGGACGGGCACTCACCTGGCAGGGGGCCGTCCAGAGGATACTTGAGAATCTGTCTGGCAGAGAACTCAGACACCAGCAGGAACTTCTTATCGAGTGAGATTTGGATGCCGTTTGCGAAACGGAGGTTGTGAGCAAAAACTTGCGCCGTCGCGCTCTTGATGTCGAAGCGAATAACTCTGAAATGCCGGAGGTCTGTAGCGCATTTGAAGTAGATAGATACGAGGAGAGGTCGGATCGAGCACGGTGAAGAAAAGATTCGAATCGATTGGAAAGATTAGTGCGGACTCCGAGAGGTCGTGTTCCAAGTTGAGCTTCTCACCTTGAATTAGGATCCGCCTCGAGGATATCCAAGGTCGAGTAGTCCGTGGACCATTTCGTGCTACCATCGCTCATGTAAACGATTTCTTTATCCCAGTCGACGTCGAGATCATTAGGAAAGGTGAGTGCGGTACCGTTTATTTGGGTTCCTATGGCAAGGAGGACCCTTGATCCACCTGAAAGCAACCGCGATCCCATCTAGGCCGAGTAGAGCGATCCCTTCCGGACGATATATGGTCTCTCTTGACTCTTGACATATTCGTGTTCTGCAGAGGCCGAGCCCTCTTTCGTCTTCTAAGATCGAACCTGAACTTAGGTCAATTTCGACCAGCCCTCGCTTCGCATCGGCTAACAGGAGTCGATTTTCCTTGATTCGCATTCCTAAGGGACGACTGCATGGCTCGTCCGAAGGACAATTGGCGTTCGCGTTGTAAATTTTTGAGTGATTCTGATTCTCAAGATCAATCTGGGGACCGAACGGGAGTTTATTGAATATTTCCGTGAATATACCCTCGGAACCGCGACGCGCAACTCCTCGAATGCTCTCCTACCGTGAAGATCCCGCGGATTACACGCTCTCACTCTTTCTTATCCTGAGGCTCCACTTTCGGAACTCCACTCCTCAGGCTCCGTTTTATCTAGGACTTGATCTTCTTCACCCCTTAAAGGAGTCTCTAATCCTATTCTTGTGGGTCGTGCGTTGCAGCATCCTCCTCCCAATATTTTACCGCACAAAAAACAGAATACATCATTCAATATATTCACCTTGTACACGGCGTCTACAGCCGATCCGAAGAATGAGTTGCCGACCTTGGAGATCGATTCAGGTCCAGAAAGGAAGTCAAAAACGAGCTCAGCATTCTCCGTAATCTTCTCGTTGGGGCTAAAGGGACCTTCAGCCGCAGGCCCGAGTTCGCTTCAAGAGTAAGCGTAATCGAAAGCTACTTTAACTCGGAACACGGTCAATGTGATAATGAAGGGGTTTACAATTTTACAACGTAGACTTCGTTGTGAGATTGCGATATTAAATACGTACACGAATCTCTTTGACGTCACTTGTCTGAGCCCCTCGCGATCCACGTTGATCGACATGATTGACTGCAGAAGTTCCGAGATTGTCGCTCCATTGGCTATATCTTCGGACGAACAGATCCTGCGATGGGAAACGCCGCTTGAGCTCCGAAGAGTCATGCAACATGCTCCCTACGTGATCACTTGGGGAGCTCTTGCGCGTCGTCGGATTCTCTAATACGCGAGCCGTCAGCGTAGCCGGCCAAGGTCTCCGAACACATCTTTGAGAGTTACGACTCGCTTCCTCGACTGCTTAGGCCGACGGTCGTCGCCCCAACCTTCCGTCGAAATCCAATTGATTTAGGAGAATGGACCGCCTACTTCTGCTAAATGCTGACCTGCGGTATCTTGTGAGAACATCTTACTCTACTGATCGTACCTTGAGCCCTTGTCCGCGTTCAGACATACTGGAGTTTTCCTCTCCGCTGATGCCGCGCAACTTGCGGCGGCTAAGACGAACGTGACCTGAAACCACATGGTAACAAAGCTACAAGTGACTTCTGCTCTCCAGCAGGACCGACCGGCGGAAGTGTGGACGATTTCTTGGACGAACTGGTAATTCACAAGCAAGTGAACACCAGTACGGAGTGAATTTCTCTCTGGGAAAGGGAGTTTTGTCCGGCGATGAATGATCTGGACGGCACTCTGGCAACGTATGAATGCGAGCAACTAGCTGTCCCCAGCATAATCTCGCCACAGGGTTAGTTCAGAAGATGGAGTTCGCTATGCGGGAGAACTCCCACTTACTGTTTCAAAGGCTGCCGCTTTGGCGCTTTGTTTGTTCCGTGAGTCTAGGACCAGGAGGGACCTTGAATTTTGACGAAGCGCCCGACCCTCGAACACTCTCGGTTGCCAGGAGTCATAGCGTCCTTCACTCTCAGTATTTACGAGCTGTCATAAAAGCCATTTGATCGTGTCAGCCTAGCTCTCGCGCCGAAAAAAAAGACAGGAATGACCACCGGCTTCCCCGAGATGTGACCATTGTTTGCATGGTCCTCGAGGCAATCCGAAGTATCCCCTATCACTCCAATGGAGATCGTCGAATGCGGGAGAGTTGGGTTGGCGCTAACGCCGACTGAAAGTCGGAAAATTTCTGCCACGCGGTACGGTTGCCTCAACGGAGTTCTTGCCGACGATCTCGATGGAGTCCCCCTAGAAGCCTCCGGAGGGTCGTGATCCATTCAAGCCCAAGTCAACGGCCCGGATCATCTGCGGAGCGTGTCGGAGAATCAGTCCGGGGGATCGTTACGATTGACTATCATAAATGCGAGGCGACAGGGCGACCAGCCCTAGCTCGCTCGATCGCTCGCTAACCAACCGACGAGCTCCATGGGCGAGACACCTAAGGGGCTTGAGAGAATTAGGCGTTCAAGCCCCCAAGAATCCCCCCAAGTTCATCCACGCAATGGCGAGCATGACGAGCGTTGGCTCCCAGACGGGAAACTTGCGCTGAAATTCCGCGAGCACCTTGGGTATCGGGATGAAATCACGCCGATCAGTGGATGTTGCCTGCATCCTCTGCGGAAGCATACTAGATGATATCTTTTCGTGATCCGCAACCTGTCGCTGGACCTTTTTTACTTCCAAAAGAACACTCCGCGTTGGAATGCCAGACGACAGCCTAAATATTGGATACCGACCACGGGAGCGAAGTGGTGGAGACGAAACGTCAGGCTGGCTTCCCCGGTCCTTCGCGGCCGCTGTGCTTGGAATAAATCTCATCGGCAGGGGGGAATACGTGAGCAAGCGACGGAACATTACTTCTTGGATTCTCCGAAAACACTTTCGTCAGAGTCCCAACGGAAGCCCCCCGCAGAGCCTGTCTCCTCTCTCCTACAGAAACTCGTCCGAGCCGTCTTCCAGAATTTCGTGCATACCACGGAAAAGCTCCCATGTCTGGCTGCAGAATGACATGCTCACGATTTCGCTAGACCTTGTCTGACCAGTTTCAGAGCTCAGCGTCTACGTCGAACGGAGGCTGCCGTCAGAATATTCACCGGATGAGATCCGATCATCAAAAATATTGGGGGAGAAACAGTTTCCGCGAACGTATCGCATGATAGGCTCTCCAGCTCTGGAGCTCTCAAGGGGAGGGGAGTTTCAAGCGACGACTTGAGCCGCGTTCCCGCTTGCCATAGCTGCGGTGGCTCAGCTTCCCGATACCCCCGAATCGAGTTGTGGTAAGAAGCATAAGAAAGCGTTCTCCGTCGGTGGAGGGTTACTCTTGAGACCGTCAGAGGATGCAAGGGGGAGCGAAATCAGAGTACAGCAGGTCGGACGGCCGTTGCCCGCGAGGAGTACTTCTGGCTCGGCTTGGAGGAACGTCGGAAATCTCCCGCGGAGAAGCTGGTTGCCGGCCACGACGACCTTCCGCACGATACGATCCCGTCGCGACTTGTAACAAAGCACGGGAATCGTCACATAGGGGCGATCTGAGAGTATGAGTCCCCCTTTGCTACGGATCGCTTCTGATGAGATTTCTTAGCTCAGTCTCCCCATGGGACAGCATCGCAAAGAAATGGCGAACAAATGTGCAATGCTTCCAGTGAGGAGCACCAATCATATTCTCGGCCCAAAATCCCGCCCCCGGTCCCGACTGGAGGTCATAGAGACATGGAGACTCTGGTGATCCAATCCATCGCTCCGATGCGACCGAATAGTTTTATTGGGGTGTGTATTCACAGGGGGAAATTTTCGCTGGAGCCTCTAATTCAACAGTTCGCTATTTGGTGACGGAGATGTGGTCAAGTGGTGTGATCAGATGGATAGAGGGTCGGATACCGCGATCAAGGGTCGACCGTAGAGTATCGCTGATCTTCGGCGGTGCGTGGTAGCTGACTCTTTGGCTCAAACCTTCGATCTCCAGGGGTGGCGGCCGCACGATATTCTACAGAGAACACAAGAAGAATTTCGAACACGAAAAAGACATTGTGAAAGCGAAACCGACCGATGCGGGAATGCTGCATAAATTTCAACGGCCATCGCAAAAACCTCTCGGCTGATTCCCAGGCCACACTCGGTACTGAAAACTCTCCGGGCCTTACCGCCAATTTCCGAGCAGTTTTTCCGCGGCTCCCGAGAACTCGGGCGATATTCGCGCGGACTTCTCGGTCGCAAGCGACGTGGTTGATTAGTATGGCAATGCTCTGTGAAGAATACGATTGGTCATAACCACGAATGGTGATATGGAATCATTCTTTTACTAGATCGAAAAGAGGTGTCCCAGTTTTTACCGTGATGAAATTCAGTAGCAAGAAGAGCACCGAGAAGACGCTTTCTGCCTTCTGGATAAGAGATGCAGAAGTCCACTGGAGACCGACGAGGGATGTTGTTACGCAGAGCGATCGTATCATACGAGCCCTTCGCTTCAGATGCGGTGGGAAGTGAGCAGTATTCTCGTAGAGGTATGAGATACGCAGCTCACTGACGAGAACGGCTCCGATATTGACGGCGACCATGAGCTGCAGAATTCGAACGATGCCTGATTTCGAGTCAGACGATCATTTTATACTTATCAAAATCTCGGATCGGTAGTAAAATGCCGAATTCTGTTCCTAATGAGTAATGAGGCTCATTGCGCTACTCTCGGTATCTACGAGAGTTCTGATCGAAGGAGGTTGATAGCCGTCGTGGCGAATGACACGAGTCTCATCGAAATCATCTCACGAAAATCATCACTCACGATCACGGGGCCGAGCAACAGCCAACCCGAGCCTATGTCGAAATCCAGAATGCACAGCTGCTCAGCTTGTACGTAATGATCGCCGACTTTCGCGAACCCTGCTGCTGCGAGCAGGAATGTGAATGCATATCCTGAGACCACATAGAATGAAGACATCGATGGGGCTGCTCGTGAAAATGACGCGTGAATGAGGAGGATTCCTTCGAGAGCGATGAAGGCCACCACGCCCAGGAACACGAACTGGAGTTGAGCTCCGATCATCTTATTGCATTGGCTCTGTATGAAGTTTAAGGAAGCTCCATGAGAAACGGGAATCCTGTTGCATCGAGCGGACTGCAGCTCTATTTTTCGCATCGTCTCCGGACATTTCTGAACAACATCCTCCGCATGAGGAGTTTCTTTGAGAGATTCAACTCTCCTCTCGTTCTCACCGAGGAAATGACAAGAGAGAGCTGGCCTAAGCAGAGTAGGGCACATTGATGTACGTGCAGAGTGGAACGAACGTTCTTCAGGAACCTGGAACCCGAAACAGTGCAGGAATAGGATGACGCTCCATTGAATGCCTGTGTATCTCGACAGGACCAAGGAGATACTAATTCAGTGGAAGGGCTGGACTGAAGTCACGTCACGTCTGCCGGCTTTCCACAAGGATTCTCGACTCCCGTGTATTGTATTGAATCGAAATACATGTGCTGTATTGGATCGAACTAGGTAAGTGTATTGTATTGAATCGAAATACGTGTACTGTATTGGATCGAACTAAGTGTATTAGATTGAATTGAATTACGTGTATTGTACTGAATCGAATTACGTGTATTGTATTGAATCGAATTACGTGTATTGTATTCAGTCGAATTACGTGTATTGTATTGAATCGAATTACGTGTATTATATCGATGCGAATCACGTATCATGATCTTCCACGGTTCTGAAATGCACCCGCGACGAAAGTCCGGCCCGAGCCGACAAACTCAAAGGATGCTTACTCGTTGCAGCAGAATGCCCAAAGGCAGATCCCTAGAATGATACCGTTGAGCGGGGCGAATATCATAGTCGCCGAGCGGGTCCTAGACCAAATCGAGGAAGTCGTTCCGTTCCTGTCGTCCGTCTCTCCGTTCTCGGTCGTCATCGGTTCAGAGTCCGTCGTATTGGATTCTGTTGGCTCGAGCTCCGTTGCTTCGCTCTCCGTCGGATCGGCTTTTGTGGCACTGGTCTCTCCCGGTTCGGACTCCGTTGCTTCGGAGCCTGTCTGAGCGGTCTCCACCGTCCCAGTCTCCGTCGCTTCGTTCTCCGTCGCTTCGGTCTCCCTCGCTTCGGTCTCCGTCGCTTCGGTCTCCGTCGCTTCGGTCTCCGTCGCTTCGGTCTCCGTCGCTTCGGTCTCCGTCGCTTCGGTCTCCGTCGCTTCGGTCTCCGTCGGTTCAGTCTCCGTCGCTTCGGTCTCCGTCGCTTCGGTCTCCTTCTCTCCGGTCTCCACATCTTCAGTCTCCATCCCTTCAGTCTCCTTCTCTCCGTTCTCCTTCTCGCCGCTCTCCTTCTCTTTGCTCTCCTTGTCTTCGGTCTCCTTCTGTTCAATCTCCCTCGTTCCGGTCTCCACATCTCCAGTCTCCATCCCTTCGATCTCCTTCTTTCCGGTCTCCGCCTCTTCGGTCTCTGACGCTTCAGGGTCCGTCAAGCCTGTTGTCACTTTGGCGCGCTTCGAATCGGTGTGATTTTCTTGCGAATCAGGTTCTGTCTCTGATTCCTCGTCGTAATCATAGTCAGACACCAAATTCCTCAAACGGGAATCGTTTACATTCTCCGCGAGTCCGCTATCGGCCACTGAAGACGGCAGAGTTCCAAGGGACTTGAGCCCGACCACGCTCGCTTGTCCTCTCTCCCATTCGCCCGTCTGCTCTGCGAATCAAATCAAATTCGATAGCCTTGGGTAGCTCTAGCTCGCTTATCGGAAGAGGATAAGCCCTGTCCGATGAGGGCATAGACACGGTGATCCCTTGGATCATTTCCCGGTTCTTCCCACTGACCTGAGCTCGTCCTGCAAGTGAAGAAGACGAGCAAAAGAATTCTGAACATGATTCCACAGCAGTCTCGACCACCTTCCACGGAACTTTGTCGCGGTATCCGTCGGCACGGCTTTAGAATGTGCTCACGCCCTTCTCAAACTTTTCCTAATCCATCTGGAAGTACTCAACGCGGGCATTCGCCTTGTCTGCTCCTCCTTCTAATCCTGGTTTACATGTTCCTATCGACTGACATCTACGGGAGAATTATTGTGCTTCGTAGATCCGTTGTCCGTCATGTTATGAAGCAGGAGCGATCGACGAGAGACGCGACCTATAGAGTAAGAATTTTCTGCCCGGTCGCTGAAGGGTCAAGAGTCATAACGTCGAGACCTCACCTTGCGACGGCCCGCTGAGATCGAGAATCGATGTCTCGAGGAATCGCTGCTCCCCAATTTTGATCCTTCATAGGACTCAGAATTTCTATCATTTTTGACATCGTGAGGGAAAACCAGCCGCCTCGAGAATCGTACGTCGTTCCCTTTAATATCAGTGGATCATCGATTTCTGGAACTTTCAAGCCCCTTTATCGAGCGCGTGTGTATATATGTACATATATATTTACATGAACGCATACACGTTGCTATCGAGGTGGTCAGTCCTTTCTTCCCATCAACTTTCGACCATACATATCTTGCGAAGAATGAACGAGCAGGTAGGTTCTTGGGACGCATGTCTCCTTGTCAATTCTAGATACGCTATTCGGCTCAGGCATCTTCAGTTATCACCACCACTTGGCAAATATTTTCTCTCATCCAATAATTCCAGAGCTTCCGGACGCCACACGAAGAACATACAGCCCATATCGGTATCAGCATTTCGGGCTCGTGAGCTAATGTGAGGCACTGTTCGGCGAAACAGCGCACGTGCGATGCCGGAACGCCTCCGCATTCACAGACGCAGCAGAGCGATCCGCTGAGAGCCTGTGCGCAGATGTGGCACTTCCCCGGGGATAGAGGTGGGAGACATTTCCTGCGAATGAGATATTCCAGTCGAATCTATCATTCCGTCTGTATATTCATAGATGCAGCTCGAACAATTCGGATGATGATTTATATCAGGACCGGGGAATTCCCGCATGTGGAAATCCCCCTACGCTTGATTGAGAGCATTCTCACTTCGGATAGGTTGGCAAATCCACTTCTTCGCGCACGATGGCCATGTGACTTGGAGGGGCAGTTGGCAGCTCCTGAATGAAGGGGTTTCAATTGCTCATGAGAGTGAGAGGATGACTCCTCGATCTAGGAATCATCATTGAACCTCTCACCAACCTTGATATACTTGGGTATCAGCCACTGGAGTGTCAACGACAAGCGTTTCCACGGTGCAGTGGTGAGCATCACCGATAAAACTCGAAGAGCGTATTCGAATTTGCTCTCTTTCCTGTATCTGAGAGATGACGATCGATGTAGCCAGCAGCTCAAGGAGAAGAAATTACTCCATGCGAAACATCATATCTCTGGAAGCACTTCTCCGTGCTCTTCCTTCGGTCACGAAGGCGAAGATGGAGAAAAGTCAGGAGACAAGGCTCACCTCCTTGCAGGGACATGGGCCAGCCGTCTTGATTTCTTCGGATGCTGCCAGGACCATTCGAATCGTAAGGCGCTCTTGTCGTTCGGGAAACCGTGTACTACTAGAGTCATATCCCTAGACGTGGGTTAGATCGTTTATGAATCAGCAGCTCATCGGTTCCCGTTCACCGACGTCTCTACCGCATGCGAAAATAGCCGACAGTATACGTACCAAGTGCCTTTCCGGTTCGTCGTGTACGCTCCGCCAGCTACGACTCCTTTGTTATGTTGTTTGATGCGTCTTACCGGGTCGACGGTGAATCCTATATAGGTGTCTCCCATGTATTGAGGGGTCGTGCAGGAGAGGAGGTACACGCCGAAAAAATTACAATCGTCCGACGTACTCTTCGCCTGAGAGGTCATTTTATCTTACGACTTGCAAAGGTTCAAACCGTTGATAGCTGGCCGCGGAATACTCCCAGCGGCCTGGAACTTGGAACGCGAGAGTTTCGACGGCGCTTGGGGACTCTTATTCGAGCCGATTGTCGCATCACACGACATGAGCCTCGAGTCCTAGACTCTTCCCCCTGTCATCTCGCTTGCTGCTGAGCTCTAGACAGAGAAACGCGCCCAAATCGCGGCTGGGCGTTAGGAAGGAACAGCTGATCGGTGGCGGGCTTTTCAAAAGCAGTGAGCGGTCTCTCTGTTGATTCCGTTCTTCTCCCCGGTCACAGCAGAAGACATCACTGTAGTGGTCAGATATGGCGCCTTCGTTCTATGCGACAACCATGATCATCTGTAAATTCGAAGTTGTGTTCATGCCTGCAATCATTCGACAGTCAGGAAATCAGTGTTCGATCACATCGATCCTGTGCTGAAAATTTCTGCGACGCGTCAGATGACAACTGGGAGGGGCAACGGACGAGGATGTTGAGGATGGAGTGAGGAAGCAGCTCGATTCCGCGCGACACGCTGCATACACAAGCTCTCATGTGTGAGCTCTCACTCGGATCAAGTGAGAATCTCGGACCAGTTCCATAGTCTTGAGATTGTTCGATTGAACTCGGAAACTTCAACCTCGACGCGAAGAATTCTCTCTAAGCGGAGAATCATTGCAGAGGGACGGTTCGTTGATTCTAGATTACCTCCAGATGAAGATGCAGTGAGGACGATCGCCATTCTTCCGAAACGGGGTACTGCACGATCCCTCATCGCAGGACAGGATGAAACTGACTCTATCGAGTTCCGGGGCGAGACTCTTCGGCCGCTCCGTGCAGACTTTGGCCAGGGTGAGTGTCTCCAGGACTATCCTTGCCCCAGGAGGCCCGCTCAAACTCATTGGTGTCGGTATTTAGCCAAGCATTGTTCAGTATGGATCGTTCTCCTAGTATTTCACACTATTCATCTTCTATACAGATTGGCGAAGAAATTGTGATAACCTCGACTGGAGAGGCTCTCATATTACAAGCAGCGAATACCGCCAAAAGTGCTTTCGGTTGCTACGAATTCGAACGTGATTTCTTCCAAAGTGGAGACGACGTCAAAAAGTTCACGGGTACCAAAACGAATGATGAGCAGGCATCATCATAGCTTGAGATTATTCCTCGGCCAGTGCTTTCCTGGACGTGAGGGCACTCGATACGCAGCTGACAGAAAATACATAAAATTCAGGAATCGTCAATACGAAAGGTGGAATCCTTCTTGCGTTCCGCAACTCCACAAGCTTCGAGAAGACAGTCGAAGTATGCGAACTCGTTTTCAGAGCGGACTTCCTCACCGTCCGCTTCCGATGTAAACTCCAAATCGAAAAAGTAAGACTCTGAATCGATCCGAACGATCCTTCCCGTATCCTTCGGCAGAGAATCTCTCGCAGATTCATATTCATACCAGCGAGCGCTCCTAATCGAGAGCCTCTCATCCACAGATTTATCGAGTAGATCTCATCAATGGGAAGAATTTCGTTTATAACGTAGACCTCGACAAGTATCCGAATTATATAAAAGGTGATGATACCCTAGGTGGAAGCGGAATTATTCCCTCGATGAAGGGAGGGAGCAACCAAACTTCAGAATCCGCAGATTGAGCAACCTCCTTACAGGTCCAGCCCGGATATTCTTAGATGTGGTCTCCCAATTCCAATCAAAAGTCACCGAGGTGAGTCATGGGTACCTCTCATGCGTTTTAATGCAATTCCACTGGAATCAGAGGCGGAAAAAAAAACTGAAACAATCCCTTTGCACTCGGGAGTTTTCCCACTAGAGCATTCCGTTCCTTCGCTTCGGTGATTCGTCCTTGATCCAATTGAGGGACGGAGCTTTACAACCACGCTCAAGCTGCCTCTGATTTCTGAACATTTTTCAGGTAACTCTGGCGGTGACAACCGACAAGCTCACTTTAAGGAATTTTGTGGATACCGCCGACACCAAAGGGAACGCCGTCCAATCTCATGTGACTTTCGAACGGCGCGAGTTCGACGCTTTCGAAGTTTATCAGGAGGTTTGCAGCTTTCATTGTTGAACAGCGTGGTGGTCGCCCTCGAAATCTTCACTAGGGATACCTTCTGACTAATGAGTACCATATTGGATCGTCCCTCGCAGGCCATGGACATAACTTTTTCATTGAAAACTTTCAAAACCATCCTCAACTTCAGTGAGGGCCAGCAACTCGATGTGAACATCCGTTACGATCGGTGAGCTGAGACATTCGGTGGGATCATTCTTCTGAATACTTTCGATCGTCGTGCGAGGCGAACGAGCGAAAAATCCGTTGAACTTATTACCGGTGCTACCGACACTGATGCCATTGCTCAATTCTTCCAGACCCGGAGCTCACGTTATCGTCACTCTTTCATCTGGGACGCTTTCGGGGGTCAAGATAGTATTCGTTTTCGCTACTCTCGACGAGAATACGCCGGATGTTGTGCAGGTACATACAAGCTAGTTCGATGACTCCGATTCCGAATGACCATCATTGGCAGAATGAGTCGTCGACTCCGTGATGGACTGGCTTGCCTACGGGACCGCGGGAAAATTCGATCATTTTCTTGGGGAATGGAGGTCCGAGAGACACGAGGGAGTCCTTGATGGATGCGAGTGCCAGGCTCGTAAATAACTGCTAATTAATCGAACTTTCCACCCTTGCTGTGCCCCAAGGAAAATCAGACACAGAGAGCACCTAGGGGAAACGAGTTAAGCATCCGCACAGTCGGTAGAACCACGCAGTCTCATTTGCAGAGGGTAAGTTCGCTCCCAAAAATCTCATCTACCCGTAGAAAAGAACTGAGCGAGTCTGGTATAACATGCGATTCGTATGAATGATTCCTTGTCTCCCAGATGGTTTCCGCATTCGAAGAAGATACGGTTTGTGAGCCTAAACGTTTCCGAGCAGCTGAATCAGACGATGAGTTCGAGAATCTCTTGGAATCCAATGAAGAGATCCATCAGATCATAACTCAGAAGGAGTGCGAGACAAGGTTCGGAACTGTGCATTCGTCAATCGCTGCGATGTCTCTCGTCTCTACGGTATCTTCATGGATTCTGTATTCTAAACGATGGCGCTCTTCAACCCACAGGGAACGATTGAATGAAACTCTCTCGTCGTCGAGCAACGCACCGCCGAAAGTCAGTACAATGGCGCAAATTCTCCTACAAAACCAGGTGAAAGCGAAGCGAGGCCTCCTGAAGACTCAAGATGAGCCAGAAGTTTTAGTTCCGGCCTCGGATGAGGAAGATTGATAGCCGACGCTGTACGGAAGGGGCGGTAGGAGGGTTGATCGTGGATTCCTCTATAGTTGTTTTACCTGGCGTATTCTGCAACGCTTTTTATTAAACTCTCTGTCCTCTTCGCAAATTGATCGATTGATCGAAAGTTCTCGCCTCAAGATGGAAACAAGCTTGGGAGAAGGATTCTCTCGGAGCTCCCGCGACTTTGAACGAGGAAAACTCTCCATCGGGTCGGCTGGTCAATTTATTATCATTATTCACAACGTCGGACATCGAAATATACACTTGCACCCTTACAGCCATGGGGGTGCATCACCGAGCCGTTCTCGGTAATCCGACTGCATCTGAACGATGTTTCCCCTCTGCATCATTATAGGCTCGATACTGAGTAGATCTTATTTTAAAAACATTCACATCTTTCTTTGAAGATCTATTTCCGCCTAAAAAAGCTCAGCTATTTTTAGCGAGTTTTGCTCGTTGCCAATCGACGAACTCGTCTATGAGAACGGGCCACGCACCTTCCTGATCATAATTTGTCAGATCATCTTTTATGGTGGCGGAGAAATCCAATAGTAGGTTCCATGTGTCTCGAGGTATAGAGCGGCTGTGATTGCCCTCCAAAAATTCACACCACTGCGGTAGGAGTCGGAAACGACCCGCCAGGACGATGTTCCAGTACGCTAGCGCCATGTCCAGTTCTGTGAAAGATTGACAAGCATTTCTATTTTGGCTCTTATGCAAATAAGTAATTTGGCCCCCCGATATTCGCCAACGACACTCCGAACCTCAGGAGATCTATCCCAATAGAACTTGGAGGTACTTACCGAGACTTTTTGGTTCGGGTTCTTTGCGTAGTTGAAGGTGAAGTTGTAAAAATCCCTAAACTTTCGACCGTCGTTGATCTCCATCTCCGATAGGATCAACTTCGACTTAACTTTTCGATGCTATCGCATCCCATCTCCGCCATGCCTGCGAGGATGAGTGTGAGCATCAGTATTTTCAGCGGTCAGTGTTATGAACTGAGCCCGAAGTTAATCTCAATGACGCCGATTCCGCGGACGCAATCAGAAGGTTTCGATCCATAATCGCTCGAACTCACCTCCATAGAATTCTTCTCTCGAGAACTCGCACTGGACCGCGGCCTTCCACTTCCACGCCAGTAGGAGGACCTGCTTATTATCTGGTTCTAGTCGCAGATCCTCGAGCAACTTCCTCACACCCTCGACCGCAATCTTGTCTTCCCCCGAATCTGCAAACAAACGAGAAACGAGATTAACGCTCGATCTTGTAGCGCTCTTCGGGATTTCCGGTATTCCGAGCCCATGATAGAGCCGGGTAGCACACTCAGAACATACCACGATAACGTAGATATAACTGGTCCAATTTCTTCCTATCAGCGTTCGCCTGCTTATTGAAGTTTGGGTCTTGCCGGTGATAGAAATCAGGATTGGCAAAATATGAATCAGTGGCCTGCTCCAGCTTCCACTCGTTGACTTGGAGACAGTAGATGGCAGTTTTCTCCTGGGTCTGCGTACAAGTGATAAATGAACGAACCTTCTCCCGTTGAGCGGATCGGAGTCTGATTTGACCGAACATCTCGAGGATGTCGGAATAGGATTTCTCGGGGAAGAACGCTCCTCAAATCTTCAACTTGCTTGCATTGGGTCAATGCAAGACCAATGATGCTTCGTTCCCAGAGACCTGAGGATGGAGGAAAACAGCCAATTAGTGAGAGGAAAAATCGGAATAGGTTTTCTGTGTCAATCGATCTAGATTTGAATCGCAACCCACTGCAAGCAATGTCCTCCGGGCGATTATCCTTCACCGAGCCTGGATCACTCGGGAATTACCAGAAGAATAACCTCAGTAGAGGGTCCTATCGAAGGTTCTACGGTAGTTCTGATCCTCATTTCTAGTTCCTACTTGGGCAGCCAGGGCTTTCGTGTCGAGCCTTCCGAGACAAGGAGGGAACGGCTCACGGACCGACTAATGCTCCGCCCAGAACACCCGGCGTGGGTGTCACTATCGAGGGCCGATTCCCAAAGCTGAGGGGGACTCCAGCAGACCGCTCCGAATTCCGGGACAGTCTCCTACATCTGCTCCGGATCGAGCGAAATCGTCAGTTGTGGACTCTCGCGAGTTGACGCCGCTTTAGAGGAATGGATCAATGGCAATTCGCCCGAACTCATGTGAGCCTGAGCTCGAAGACATAATTCCCTCGATGCCAGACTTGATCCTCGATACCCGAGACGATCTCCGAAACTCTCGTCGGAAGAAATGAGTCAGGCATCGAGGGATGGGCAAATGCATTCGATTTCTTCTTCGTCTCGCTTCCAAGGTTGCTTACGTACGAAGACCCAGCTCTAGAAATAGCGACCCGCACGCTGATGTTCAGATCAAGACGGCTGCCTCGAATGCGCCGGGCTCGCGCAGTGAGGATCAAGGTGAGCTTGTGAATCTCATTCGTCGGTGAACGTACCTCCAGCAACCCCAGGTCCTGACTACGTTAGACTTTCGCAGGGAACCTACCCTCGAAATCGATGACACGCGCGTAGAAGTGAACGATAGCGGGATCTTCCCGAATGAACGTGATAGCAACGATTATAACGATTCCAAGAGTCTTCTCAAGACACTCGCAGGATATCAGCGAGGATTCGCTTCGCAGAAGCTTCGCACTGCCGTCCTGGGCTGTGAACGCTCGCCTCATAAACTACGGACGATAATCTTCGGAACTCGCTTTGTTGCTTATGATGAGGCGGCGCAAGGCCAACCCTCGCTCATTGCACTGCTTAAGCGACTTTTACTGTGGCTCACGAGCAGGTTTCGCTTCTGTCTTCCCATGTCGGACTTCATCGAGCAGAATGGGCTCGATAGCTGGACCCCTCGTCCCAAGTTTCCCTAGACTCAATCTGTACTTCTGTGCATAATCTATTCTTTCTTCGCGAATCCTTTTGTCGTCTGCTTCGCGCGAATCATAACATTCGAGCGCGGGCTGGAGGCTGGAGTATCTCACTGGAGAATTGTCAGAATTAGCGTGACAGACGGGCGCCGAACCGGGAGCAGGCTCTTCCCGAGGGGAAAGGGGGAAGAGGATGGGCGGATGGATCAGGGGCCGGTCGGGAACACATTCATGAGCTGCTCACCGGATGCTGATGATCATGATCTATCGTGGGAAGAACTTGATCGACGAGTACAGGAGCTCGGAGACTCTTCGCGCTACGCTCCGTTTCATCACTCCCTTGTCACTCGTCTTACACGATGTTCCCGAAAATATTGAAACATCCTTTTCTGCGAACGGGTGTAGTATGAATACTGCGCGCGAGACTTGATAAGCCTGATGGATAGCCGGATGACCGCATGAGCGACCATGGAGACCGAAGATTATCAAAGCGGCAGTGGGAGATTGACCTGATCGATTTCATTGAGGGTAGCTCTCCGGGGCTATTTTGCGCTGCGGATGCAAGCTCCGAGTTCTGTCTACGCGTTCTGTTCACCTTAAGCAGGAACTGCGCCTCTGAGGATTTGTTTATGAGGGGATTCTCTGCGCCACAAGGTCCCTGGAAAGGGTTGCATCCATGGTTTTGCGGGGTTCCACGTTCGGATTCCTCGGAGCTTTGTAAGTTGCACAACTTCATCTTGATAACAATTATACATCGAGACTTGACCTTCCGTCATTTTTCAGTCATCACATCTTTGCGCCGGTAGACCCGTGTGTTAGAAGACTGATCCCCGTCCCGCGATAGATATTTCCGAAGCTCTGAACAAATTATAAAGATATCAGTGAGCTATGAAGGCTCCTCGTCCGGAGGGAGGACATAGGCGGGTTCCAAGAGAACACAATTTCGGAAACCACTGCTCTACGCATTTATGTTGGAAGGTATATTACACATCGAGTTTTCGGCGGTCGTTGGGATTCCTTCCGTAATAGAGCCTCTGAATTCGACAGAGTGCGTCGACGATCAACGTCGCGGGTCACCCAAGGAACATCATTTCTGCAATAGCCATTATTCATCGTCGCGTTCGCCCGCGACAAAAGTTCTTGATATCGTGGCCTGTAAACAGCGAGAATAACCACGGAACTTCAATCTCATCCGTGGTGAGCCGTGCTCCGACTCTGTCTTCGAGCGCTCTGGCTGGAACAAGCCCCATGAAAAAGCTCAGATATAGGGTATATGCGGAGCTCAGGCTCCACTCGCTGTGAGGGAGTGGAGTCTTGGGAATAGAAAACACGCAGGATCCGGGCCGACCGCTCAGACTCTCCGGACGAAGCGTAGCTCTTGAGGGAGCGTTTCCGCTATAATCCCTCTGAGGGGTCTGAATTTCACGGGACCGTCAGCCTCGATCGTGAAGTTTTGCAGAATTGTGGCGAAGTAAAGGAACACCTCAAGGACCGCCAGAGATTCGCCGGGGCAAGCTCGTTTGCCGATCGAGAACGCCCAAACTTTTTCAGTGTTAGTGAGCGCGCCATTCTGGTCGATGAATCTTTCGGGTTTGAAGTCGTATGGGCTTTCGAAGAGCTCAGGGTCGAAGTGAACCGAATCAAGGTTGAAGATGACCTGATCGTTAGCCTCCAGATCGTATCCACAGAGTTTCGTAGGTCGCAGAACCCTGAAGAACAAAGGTCTTGAATTACTTACAGTGGTGGATGGGATAAGTGCGAGGCCCCCATCCCGTGACGCAAACGAGCACTCACTTTCTTGGTACACCTGTGGGAGCCACGGTGAAATAACGATGCCTTTCGGCAATCACAGCCATCGTGTAAGGCAGTCTTGGGCTGTCAGCCCAGGTCACACGACTCTGTCCAACCTCTTCATCTATCTCCGCTTGCACCTTGCGTTGGACTTCAGGGTATTGCGCCATCAGGTGCAACAAGTACTCGACTGTGACGCGAACGGTTGAGCTTCCGGCGAAGAAGAATGCGACGGCATTGCCGAGCACAAGCTCCACTGAAACAAATTCGAATGATGTCAACGCTCATCACAATCCGTTATCCGCTCGGGCACTGCGGACGAACCCCGCGGCGGAGGGTAGGGATCGGAAACGCGATCGATTCTCTGCGAAGTCTTCCATACTCGTGAAATCCTTGTCTTTCTCTTGTTCTATCAGGAAGTGGTCGACGATGTCCCTCGGGCTCTTGTGGTCCAGATCCTCTGCATGGCTCCGAATGTCCTCCGTCATGAAATTCTCGAGTTTCGCCGAAAGCTCCTGGATCACCTTTATGCCGCCGATGCCCAATTTCTTCATGAGCTGCTCGGATTCCAGACGGAAACCTTAGCAACAAGCTTCATCCCTCGTGAGTATGGGACCGAAAACATTTCAGTCCGGAGATCTCGGAGACTGAACAAGGACCATATGATCCATGGTCGGGCGGATCGAGATTACCTTCGCTGCGAACGGTATGAAGAGGATTTTGATGAGGCTCTCCGATGCGCCGATGATGTCCGTCATGATCCGATACACTTGCTTTTTCTTGTCATCTCCCTCATGGAATTTTCCTCCAAACACAAGTGAGTTCATGTTGTTCCCCGTGGATTCAATGAGATCCGAGTGAATGTTATACGGTGCAGCTTCGCTGGTTTCGATTCTCTCGACGAGTTCTCTAATTTCTTCCTGCAAAGTCTCAAAATCAGCGCGGGACAATATCTGCCATGAACAATGGCCTGTTCCATAGAAGTTTCTCTGGAATTCTCTGTGGAAACTTGGGCTATGACACGGAATTATTGGACAAGGGCGGAGCGGAATGCGGAAACCGAACCTGAATCCGGTCCTCCATGATCGCAGTCTTTCCGAAACCGAGATCTCTCAGAGCGATCAGGGAAAACCTCCGTTGTTTCCTCCACAGGTCTCCCTCGATGTTCAATATGGCTGTCGATTGAAGAAGATCAAATGTCGACGCGGATTCATTTGCGATTCACTCATTCTCGAAGCACACGACATATTGAGTCAGAATCATTCGGCAGCGCGCGAACTCTCGCTGAGAGACTCCCAATCCAAAGACATACATTTCTTGGCGAAGATGTTGTCTTCATCTAAATCTTGCATTGGGTGTCTTGGTCTGCCGAGTAAGTCATCGTTCAAGAAGCCCTCTCGAACAGCGTTCACTCCAGTGACAACAACCATTGTCTCTGCACCTCGTCGATATCTGCGTGGGTTATGATTCATTGATTAATACCGACAATACAATTTTTGGTCTCTCTTCGCGTTCTTCTTCCGGCTGTGGATCTCAACCACGAGAGAAGCCCATTCGAGCTCGCCCAGCTCCCGAGAAGCATGTCCTGAATGATTCCCCGCCGATATTGGCCCGAAAAAATTGACAGATCTAATCGAGCATCCTGGAACTTACGGCCGCGGGATAAGCAAATCGCCTAACGTACCTGATGACCGGTCCATATTTTTTGCTGTTGCTCTCGAATCTCTCGAGGGTGGTTTCCCGCCCGAAAATGAAGTAGGGCATAACGTCAACGAATGGGAAGCCGAAAAAACCCGGTGGGCTGTTTTTCTTCGAAAAAACATAGCCCTGCCATACGAAAAACTTCGTGAACCAATAAACAGAGAATGACACTACGATCGTGTTGAGATCCACGTAAGACCAAATCAACTCGGCGAAAGCCCCGAGCGCCATGTCGCTGGTCGGGTTGCCGAAGCGATGCGTATTGCCAAAACTTTCACGCTCACAATACTCACTCGGTGGACTACGTTCACTCTCTCCGTCGCGAGGAGGATCGTTCGTTCCGCGCATCCCGAGGTCAGCCTCGGGAGCGTAGAGAGATCTGATTCAATGCCAAGTTTCATGAGACAGCGGGCCTTTCCAAACGGGCGAGGTTCGATCGACCGTTCGCGTGTACATGTTTCTCAGAACAGTTTTCCCCACTGCTTACTTCAGTGCATCCAACTGCGACCGCGGATCCATGACGCGTCAGGTTCACTCCTCGGCTGATCTCTCCGCTCCCAACTTCCAATGTCTCCAGAGCGATGTCCCGGCTCGGCGAGCTTTAGCCATTGTTCTCATCGCAAAGTCAAAATAAATAGATGGAGGCTTTCACTCGCTCAGATTCGCGCTTGATATCTCAACAGAGCCGCGCGGAGCAAGGTCGATAGGGCAAAACGCTCTCATCGATCGGCTCTTTCATTCGATCGGTTTATGTGACTTTCATCAATTTTGACGTCGTCAGGCTCGAGTCAGCAGAGTGCTGAAGGAGTTCGAGCAATACCCACATATGTGTCTCGCCGAGAAAGCTCGGTATCGCTGAACTATCGTTCCGCCCTTTGTCTGTGGTCTTGTAGTGATTTGAACAATCATGTTCGAGACCTTCCTCCTGAACTTCCTGCAGCGATTGATCCGGAGGTTCACTGCGAGCCTTTGTCTGCTTTCAGGGATCGAAATCGGTGCCGCACACGGTCAGCGCCCAGTTCAGCGCTCGGTGCCTTGTATCAGATTGAAGAAGTACGGCGTCTTGCTCATCCGGATACTGCTGAGCATTCAATTATTCGTTTACAGTCTCAAAGACATTGTGATACAACTCTCGAGAATCGATGAGAGTTTGAGCTCGTCGGATCTCATTCGTGTTGTTTTCGCCTTCATCTACCCGATGGTCCACGCCCAGTCAATGCGATGTCTTTGGAGAAATGAGAAGTTTCTGAGAGAGCTTTTTGAAAATGCCCCCAAGAGAGAGCTGAACTGCAGACGAGAGCTCGGGTACCTCCTCGGGTGGGCGATGTACACTTCGTTCGATTTGATAATCGCTTCCAAGGAGGACGCACTTGGAAAATCCGGTTCCGATCACTTCGGGTTTCTCCTGCCAGAGTGGAGTGGGATCCACTGCAAACAGTGTCAATACATTGTTTTAATCATATTCTCCGAGAGTCAAGCTGTCCTCAGAGAATATCTTGACCTACTGCACTCGACGGTCCTGGAGCTGACTTATTCGGAGGCTCTCAACATGAAACAGAAAATCAGGCACATCACGGCGAATATAAATGGGACATTTTCCACGATTCTCGCCCTGCTTCATGTGAAGGTGATCTTGCTCCTGTACTTTTTCTTGACGAAAATACTCCTCAATCGGGGATTCGAGAGCGTCAGCTTCTTCGTCGCCATCGGTCCCATCGCTCAAGTGCTGATGTTGTACGACTTAGCTTCTTGGGGAGGCGAAATCATTCATACCTGTCGACGGACTGCCGCGAAAGTCCTCCTGCTCAATTCCCGACTCGTCACAGAAAATCCGTCGTGGAACCGACTGATCCCGACGCTCACGTATGACGAGCTTCAAGACTCCCTCAAAGTCTTGGATTGCTTCACGGTATCTAAGCAGACACTCTTCTCTTATATGGGCATAGTCATTACATGCATCGCCGTTGTTCTCCAATTCGACTATCGGATCCTGGCGAAAATCGATGACGATAAAAGTCTGCACAGATCGCGGTCAGCTAAATTCACTTGATATCCGAGAAGTGGGCGGCCGGCTCATCTGAGATCGATTGCGAAGTCCTCGATTGTCTGACCCTTGGTCGAACACACTGGCGGCCGCAAAAAAACTTGCTCACAATGTCCTTGGTCACAATCGCAGCGGTGTTTACGCTATTCTTCGGGCTATCCGATTCACGCAGACAGTGTTTGGAATTCTCAGCTCCTCTCGGATATTGTCTACAGTTACTTCCTACCTACAATAGTTCCAATCGATTGCCACCGTAAGAAGCGCACAGGCAAAGCCTCTCCTGATCGATCCTCGTGTTCACTGCGGAGCTCCAAGGGTCCCCCAAGAGGTCGAGCAGAGTTGAAGAAGTTTCTGACGTGACTCGGAGCTCCTCAAGGCGATGGACGGTCCCTCATCAGGCTTCGTGGACAGATTCATCCAGACACTTACGAGACTTGTCTCTCTGTTCCCAGAAATCAACCTCGGCCCCAGGAGTTCCCCACTCTATCTAACCGCTGCCTAACCACCTTGAGGAAATATGGCGTTCTCGCAATCCGAATATTATTGCGTCCAAATGCTGATATTCCACCCGAGTCTGCCTCTTCGGGCGGGGCGCGGAAATCGCCCTTATAGAAAGCTCTGCGGGTCTGATTGGGACCATCTTCGGCTTTGTATATCCGATGACGATCCTGCAATCGATGAGTCCGTGGAAAAATCAGGACTCTTTGAGCGAGCTTCTAAGCGATCCTATGAGCAAGGAATGTGTAAGTTTCGAAAAAAATGGTCGCACATCTCCTTTCTATACAGCCAAGGATGTTCAATACGCTCGCGAGGGTACGAGGAAGCCCGAATCTAGCATCTATTCCATCCAGACGATTTCTTCATGGACAGGTATCCGTATTCAGCGCAAGCAGGGGCAGTATACCTGAGAGTCAATATTTTCCTGACCAGTCAATCGGTCCTGGGGGGAGGGAACTCATCCGTCTTGGCTCGTCGCTTGAAATACTGACGCGTCCCAAAATCGGTAGGAGGAAAAGAGCCTTACGACTTGTCACGGCAAACATCAACAGAACTCTCGTTCTCACTTCCGCCTTGCTCTACGTGAAGATCTTCATACTCATGCTGATTCCCGACGCACCTCTACGAGGTCATCCGGGACTTTTGGTAGGTGGATATCGGCAGATACCCTCTTGCAAGTCGAGATGCTGCACGACTGGCCTCTGCGGGAAGCAGAAGTAAAAGAGCATGTCGCCGAACAGCTTTCGAGCTGGCGTCTCAACACCCGCGAGTAAGCTTTGAAGGGTTGTCTCGAGGCCTCGAGTACTTCAAGTATAATTGGGTCAAGTTCTATTCGACGATTCTAAATCGACATGGCAAATGCTACGACTTTTGGGGAGCCTCGCTCGGCAATTGCACGAGGGCGGCAGTTCTGCGGGACTACCCGAGGGAAGTTTGGTGAACACTGATCCCTAAGGAGACCAGACAGGATCTGTAACCGGATCCGCTGCCCTCTACAGGAAGCGCCGCGCCGTATCGTTTCTTAATCCATGTCGCCGAACTTGTTGGAGTCCCGGAGCCTGTGAGCTGTTCCACCTCTTCAGACACCAGGCTGTCGATTTTTCAGCAACAAGCACGGCCATTGATTTGAGCCGGCATCGACGTTGCTAATCGATGATGATTCGAGAATCGAGATCGAATTTCTGAGGGGATTACTCCCTAGCACGAGCGCCCGTGGACCAGACGTAGCTTTCTCTCCCGTCGTCGTCGGCGGCTTTGGCAGTCGATAATGAGCCTTTAAGCTGTACACAGTTACAAGATCATCATTACCAACGTGATGGTGCCCGAGCAAAACGGAAACGAGGTCTTCGGTGTAGGCGAACACGAGGAGCCTTCGCATGACAGTGGCGTGTCTCTGGACGACCTCGACGCGGATTCGTACCTCGGTTTCATCTTTCCGAACCAGGGCATTCAACAGAATGGCCCGCTGCCGGAGTTCCCGACGTTCTTTGTCAAAAGCGAACCGACCGCCGAAACGTTCAGTGATACATCGCCGGGGTTTTTCAATGAAGATTCCATCGGACACCAAAACTATTGCCAGCCGCTCGATCAACAGCAACACATGGACAGCGAAGGGTTTGTGGTCCTCGGTGTAGGGCTGGACACGTTGTCCGGCTTTAGAGGGGATCTGGATCAAAGTTTATCGCAGGAAGTCAAACAAGAGGTGCCCAATGTCGTGGATGACCAGACAGCAATCTATATCCAGCAGACGAAGTTCCTCCGAGAAGAGCGAGTGCCCCCGGTCACACGTGTTCCGCGGAAGTACGTGCGGCATCCGAAACCCAACGATGCGGACAAGATTTTCTATTGCTCATACGAAGGTTGCATGAAAGTCTATTCGAAGAGTTCACATCTCAAAGCACACCTTAGACGACACACGGGGGAAAAACCCTTCGCTTGTCAATGGCCCGGCTGCTGCTGGCGGTTCAGCCGATCCGACGAATTGGCGAGACACAGGAGGTCTCATTCTGGAATCAAGCCGTATGAATGCTCAATTTGTGAGAAGCGATTCTCGCGCTCAGATCACCTCACAAAACATTTGAAAGTCCACAAGAAGAACCAGAACGGCTACATCCCACGACGAAGCTATAGCCGTCAGAAGCTTCTACCTTCGCTGAGTCTCGGGAGCCAGGAATCGGTCGAGAACCACATGCTGATTTATCCCCATGCATAGCGGCAGAGCATTTTGTGGAGACGTCCTGAGTGCATCGATAACTGCATTTGCATCATCATCGGGAATAACCCTTTGGTTTCGCGCTTTCATCCTAGATACTCACGCGCATAGTGATCATTGCCTTCATCTTTCCCCATCGCTCCGTCTATTCACTCCTTCATCACTGGTGCCTCCCGGGCCCGAGCTGCTTCTCAGGTCTTTTGCGTTCACAATATCATCCCCGATCATGTCGGGATGAGACAATGGCTGATACAGGGGAATTGCCATGGATACGCCCCAGGAATGAGGACGGATCTGATCCCTGAGCATTGCATTGATTGGAACTCCTCGGACCCTAGGATCCCAATGATTCCGCGAACGCCTGACATTATCGCTTCCAATGGAAATATACTCACCCTTGCATCATAACCCCAATCTTACTGAGCGCCGGCTCGGAAGATCCGAAACAGAGTGACCCTCTTCTTCAGCCGACGACATTGGCTGCGGATTTCATCCTTGCAGGAAGCAGCTCCGTCACGCTACGAATGTAGGCAGCCAAGTTGGGATGTACGACGAAGAATACGTCACGGGATTCATATTCAAAATCACCCTGGCCTTGTAAATAATCGGTAGAGGTCAGAACTCTAACCTTCTTAGTACTTCCTACTGAATCGTATTCTGTTCTTGGAGCCTCGGTGCGATGACAGGAAAGCATCAACTTCGCACATTCAGCTCCCTGAAATCTCGGGAATAAAAAGCTACCTTACGCGGCAGCTCTGAGTCCTTGATTATTCTCCTAGTAGGACGAAAACAACAGCTCAGCTGTCGACGTTTCTCTAGCTATCGAGGAATATAGATGCCGAGGCATCCATGACGCGTAATCCCTCGACAAGCCGCATCCTAATCTGAGACAGTCTCTTTGGGTATTTCTTCGACGGGGTTCTCGCAATTGTCGATGCCACATTGGGTTATTCGTCCGTCGCTTTCGTCTCGATGACGCCATAACGATCTCGAACGTGCATCCGTGTTTGATCGTTTCGAGAAGCGAGGTTCTGCTCAGTCTTGCCCCCTATGGATGTGCGTTGGGGTTTGTCAGTCAAGAGATTCTTCTTCGTAATTCGTAGCTGTGGAGAGAAGGCTGCGCCGCTTCAGGAGAAACGATTTCAGAACTTCAGCGGGGAATCTTACCTACAAGGGAGTTCGAGCAGCCGATATCCTGAACGAATCAGGAATTCAGCTTCGGAAGAAGTAAACATGTCTGAGCCATCCGAATAGACCAAGATCTTGCGATCGATGTGGTATATCTCTCTATACAGAACTGGAGCATCACAAGCTTGGGGGAAGTTCCTCACATTGATGATAAGCTTCCAGATTTTGCATACACGCTCATCTGACTCGCTCTCCACGGGACGCGTCGGTTCCTGACGCGCATCCGGGCCTGTATGCTGAAGCCGTCATGTTGCGGACTACATTGAAGCATGCCCGAATCGCAATCCACCGGTCAGTCGAATCCTGCCAGTGCCTGTGCCGTCGTTACTCAGCTAATTTCCATCCCTGGAGTGTTTCAACTAATCCTCTTGCCCTGTCCACGGATTCCTGGAAGTCGGGAAACCGGGCCGTGAAGTTCACGACGGGCTTTGTTGAGTTGGCGTCGTGTCGAATACTGTGAAAGCATTCACTTCTCTATCGCAGCGAAGAGCTTCCTCCGCAGCATCTCGGTGGCTCCGCAGAGAAAGACGCGAAATCGACTGCATAAGCGCGTTTTTTTACCAGAGTTCCCGAGATGTCAGAGGAACCGAAACTAGCGCGAGAGTCGCGTTCGAGATGGAAATAGATGTTCACCCGGACGTATTGACAATGATCACTTTGGAAGCGATTCCGAGAAAATCACCGATGTCATCAATTTTTCGTGTACATTTTGGAGTTCGACATAAGGCCCATACCAGGCTATCGATTCGCAACGTTCTTCTGGGTAGTCAGGTTCCTGCTTTGATGTGTACCCCCAGCTTCGCAGGTATTTGGCAATGAATCAGCTCTACGTTCACAGCACTCAGTGATTCTCCGCGTTCGCGTCCGATTTGTTCAGTCTCACCGCTTACCGAGGAAGGGACCAATACCAAAGATGGTCTGCATGGGTATAGTCGCACGACGCCTGGTGGAATCATACAGGATTCCCGTGTCTCAGAGCTCATATCCCAGGGGCATACGATAAGATACGTGAAGACGTTCGGGACTGCAAGTCCAGTCATATGAAATGAGCTCATCATCTCTTCATCTGTTATTCACTGCGGATAAGCAGGTTGAGCCTCTGTGAGCCTTACCTCCTCAAACTTGCTGGCCACTTCCCCGACTCGGAACTTTTCGACCTAATCAGCTCGATGTGGTCACGAGTTTTTCCGAAATCGGAAACGCTCCTAGTGTCATTCGCTGTAAGGACGTCCCCTGGATCACAACCGTGATATTTGAGATCGGCGGTCACGCTCCGGGAACTATAGACTTTCGCTTCTATGAGTTCGAAGCCCTCCACGAGACTCGCGTCGCATTTTACGCTTCATATTCGAGACAGAGGTCGGAAGCCGAGTTTTTATAGAGACTTCTACGAATTTCTAGAGCGTGGACAGCGTGGCTTTTAAGCTTGTATTAGAGCGCGGTCGGCTCCGCCGCAAGGTGCGGCTGTCGTCGTGTTTGCGGAAGTGGGGGCAGACCTGGAAGGGGAGGGGAACTGTCGGGATGGGTGAGCACAGCAATGCTTGAACGGCCCGATTGGTGAGTCCGGGTGAGTGTCTACGGTCGGGTCGGCATCAATTGAGCGCGAGCTATGGATAGCCCACTCGACACCTAGCTTCCTTCCCTTTCGTCTTCTCGAGCTCGCCTTCTCGTCGCCGAGGGCTGTTTACCTTGGAATGATGTAAATGATCTGTGGTTCGTTCTTCTCCTCTTCATGATCCAGTTAGCCTCCCCAACCGAACTCCCGTTCGCCCGCCCGCTCGTTCATGCCTCTGTCGGTCGGTCGTTCGGCTGGCCGACCGGCTTGCCCGCCTGTCCGAGCTACCCCAGAGACTCCTCACCTAGAGCTTCGGCTGTTGGCTATGTAGTCCTTGATCCGAATCCTGTTCAGTGACAGGTGCAGAGCGATCCGAATAAAAGCATTGTTCGCTTGACAGGAGCAGATGCCACATCGGCATTGTAATCATATTAGTGTTCCCTGCAACATTGGACACAGGACGACAAGAGCTCGTCGGAGCTCTCGAATCGGTGTGCAATGAAGCATCGAGAAGAATCACATGAATCAATGCAATCAAGGAATAAAATTCGCCCTCGATTCGACACCTATCAATGATATCGCGCGGGGAAATGCTTCGGGAGCGGAAACCGTGAATTTCCCCGCCACTTCGACGGTATCTTCGCTGGTCTTTTGTGAATCACGGATGCAGAATTCAGAAAGCCGATGGTCTCACTCTCTGCAGCCTTCATCGATTCGATGAAGAATAATCCTCCGTCAAGGATTCCGAATGCAAATTACGCTGCGGATAGATAGGCGGCGCAAATGGGAAGAAACTGATCCTGTAGTGTCTTCTTCCAGAGAACGAGGAACCTGGACTGCAAATCAGTCCCGGATGAATTTCATTTATCGCTGGGAATAATGCTTCGGATTCTTTCCCTCCCTTTCCTATCGGTGGACTCTGCCCAATTTGATAGGAGCGAAAAGAATTCCCTGACTGAGAGTTTCCTCGGGCCATCGGGTTGCGTCATTGCGAAAGCGCTAAACGTTTCACATCAGTTCACACCTCATTGATGAACGATATTGACTCTTTCCGCTCGTCACATCGCCTAGTCGATCCGACAGCGACAACGAGCGAGCAAACAGACATCGAAGCGATCGAGCTGACGAATTCACACTTGTTATTTGAGTTGCCGAAAAACGACACCGAAAAAGTCTGAATATTGGCACCATTTATTTTATTCTGTGACCGCCACGCTCGGTGCGAGGTGCAGCATGACGCAGGCCCACCGAGCATTGTGGTTTCATTTGTTTCTGAAGGAGGAGTTCAGCTAGCAATTGGTTTATCGATTCAATGTACACTGCTCGTTGTTCAACACTGGCATGGGAAAACTTAAACAAGATACTGCTCGTACCTAGGATAAGCCGTTTCTCTAGAATTGCTTGCCAGAACAATTATTAGTCCGACGACGGGTCTCTCTTGACCGCGTTCTCAGCCGAAGACCACTTATCGACGTCCATGTTCGGAACGGGGGGTGTTAGCAAGGGGAAAAATGGCGGGGGGCATTGTGAACAGCCGGGCGGACAGTTCAGATACGTCAGTCCGGAGGGGAAAATTGGGTACGATTGGAGCTCTAGTCGAGGCAGGAGAGGATTCCACAGCGGCCGGAAAGCACTCCGTGATGAAGATGTGCTGTTCTGGACTTCTTCAGTCAGTGGCACTTGAAGTGAACTTTCACATTTCCATATATACTCCAGTGCTTTCCCTAGATCGTTGTTGAAACTCTGCAGGAGCAGCTGCAGGGAGGTGGGTTTCTGATGGGGGATCAGCCGTTGCAGAATGGCTAGTTGGTCGCCGATCTGAGGTGTTGTCGAATCTACGTGCAGTGAAGGTGGGGGCGACGACGAGCTGGCGACCGGTGGGCTCTGGGTGTCAGACAGCCTCGCCCGCTTCGATTCGGTGTCGGATACGGTGCACTCTAGAGTTCGAGAAAGAGCAATGAGCCATCATGTCGCGCCATCGGGCCTTGTTTTATCCTCGATCAATGTTTCCCCGCAACTAATTCTGGAGGAATCGAGCTCCCAATCGAGACCCGAGATATCTCCCTTAAAGGAACGCTCATGTCAAGTGTTCGGGGAGCTCAGTGAGAGATGACAGACCGCGAGGAGCAACGAATATCACCCGGGAACTATGGAGGGGAGGAGCTAAGAGCAAGTAGCTGAAGGGAGATACTCCCATAGAGTCGGAGAGCCGTCTGCCCTTTCGCTGCGGTTTTTCCTTCCCTCGCCGGGAAGAATTCGGGTCCGGCCCCGCTCCTGACAAGATGTTTGCCCAATCGACCCGCGTTCGGTCCCGGGAGTGAGAAAAGCCACATAGCCCTCATCCTTCGCAATGGCAACTCGAAGGGTGAAATATGTGAGCGAGAGCTCCGGAATCGATGTCGCTGGGAACTGACGCTCCCTGATTCCGAATCGAGTGATCCGTTTCGTCTCTCGGCTGCTCATCGACAAGCGTTCAAGGTCGCACCGAATGACACTCGACTCGAGTTCAGACTCAGACGCAGTGAATTTACCCTCCAAAGGCACTTCGCTCGAGGGCTTCCGGACTACCCATGAGAACAACGACGGAATTTTCAGCCTTCGCATGCATTAGTTACCTGATTCGGTGTCGGACTTCACAGATTCCGCCGTCGTCGTCGCTCCGTCTTCACCCTCCAACGTTTTCCTTCTCTGTTGCTGCATTTGAGCTTTCTTGGCAGAAACTGCGTTCGCCGCCAGCGGAAGTCCGAATATGGGTCCTGGTGGGAGATATTCCAAGCTAGAGCCGGTAGCGACCGCACGAAGACCTGGGAATGAATTGCTCTTGTGGAACTCGAGGCAATATCCCGGCCGAGTCCAGCCTGCTGGGCTTCTGGATTCGAGCCTCGCGACGGCATAGCATCTTCGCATTTCAATATTCTTACCCAAAGCTACGGCATAGCATCTTCGCATTTCAATATTCTTACCCAAAGCTATGGCGTCTTCCGCGGCCTGTTGTCTTTTCAGAGCAACTTGCGCAGCCATGATCCTCTGGCGCTCCGCTATGAGATTGCACTTCGCACAAGCGCAGTCCCTGAATTGACAATGCCGCGAATGTCCCTTGAGCCAAGATATGACTCCGTGGTTTCTGCAACGGGCGCACTTCGGACGTCGGACCCCTTTCTCGCCAGGCGGTGTCGTGGCTCCTCCAGATCGGATCGCGTCTGCGTCGGCCATCCTCTGTGGGGAATCACGATTGAAACATCAAAACAATCCCGAGGCACCGTAAACGACAAGTTCCAGCTAGCGAACATCCGTAGTCGCTCCAACGTTCTGGTAAGGAGGTGTCATCCAGAATTCGGAGTAAGACGTGGGAGCTATCAAGGGAGTCCCGATCCGATCCGAGACTTCGGAGAGATCGAGATACGGAGACAGAAATCCGAAAGGGATTTTCGCGAAGGTATCTTTCATCCTGAATCCCAAACGATCTATCAACCAGATGTGTGTGTATGATATGAACGAAAGTTAGCTTGAAACTAGGGTTGGAGCGTTCAATCCCCCCGCATCGGGGAACTATGGAGCGGACGGAAGCTTCTGAGCCGTCAAATGATCAATTCTATCGATGGCTCGGTCTTTTGGACCTCGATGATTCGAGACGTTGCTTTCCTATGCCAAGTAGCGATTCGCAGCATTAGCGTGACCCGAAGGAACTGAGGCTGTGTCGGGTTCTCAATTTCGGGTCTCTCACCGAGAGACCGCCTGATAGTCTAGCAAGGAACGAAGCTTGTGGGTCAACTCCGTTTTAGTTTCAGCGAGGAATACATGGAACAGCCGATAATCCCAGAGGGACCATTTTAGGATTTGTCGGAAGAACCCGAGAAAACTCTGCGACGAGGTCGCCCTAGACCAAAGCACAGATACCCGATGGAATCGGGGAAGCTGATTCACCGTACCCGGACGGACCGGTGAAGATCCGAAGGAGGAACTTCCACCTGCCGGCTGCTCGGAAGATCGTGGAGATAACCATGGGGAGGATTCCTTGGACGTCACAGAATAAGCTTTCTGGGGTCGAAATCTTTCGCCGGAATCAAAGGAGCCGAGGTGTGGTAACTCGGAGCGATGGAAAACCGCGCACCAGTGATCCAAAATGTCGACCGTAAGGATTCTGAATGAGGTTGATCGCAATCACCGAGGCCAATCCAATACCGTTTCGGGAAGGATCTCATATCTCGTCTGATTCGAATCATTTGACGCCTCAGCCCTGCTCTGTCGAGTCTGACCGCGGCCAAAGTTCCGGGGAGGTGGTCTCTTGCCCCGATGCGGACGTCCCTCGGGAGAAACGAGAAATATGGAGCTTCTCTGCAGCCGAGAGCTAAATGCGTAAGATCTCGGATCCTCTGCCTCAATCGTATCCAAGACAATCGATGAGGAATCACAGCGAAATCGAATGCTCCAGCGGGAGCTCCTCTAGAAGTCCTCTCCTAGTATTGAATTTTTGATCCACGCAGCCGCGCGCGTGATTCTCGGATCGAGCCTCAGGGATAGAGAATCGAATGCTTGATGCATACGAAGCTCACGGCAATCTATTCCGAATTCCGATCGCCCAATCCCTCTCTCCAGGAGATATTGAGTCCTTCGACCCCTCTCGGCAAGAGTTCACGTCTGAAGCTGAAACCCGTGTAGGGAAGTCGGAAAATCATACCTTTCTGTTTAGAGAGCTCAGACACGCCAAGTATGACTCGAAGTAGCTTCGAACGGGACGCACCAGTCTCCAACACTCTGCTACAGTTGGATGGGTCGATCTTCTCGACGGCACCTCAACGAGCGAGTCACTGACTGCTAAGCCGAGTAACTGATCTGATCAAACTGTCCGATGGCTCCTCAGGACTGACCAGTTGTTCAGATGAGTTCGGTGAGTCTGATGCATTGGCTGTTTCAAAGTATGTTGTGTGTTTCATCTTCTCGGTTGGGCGGAGTCTGAACGAGTCAGGCGGAGCTTCGAGCGGCCGAGCCAATCCCCAATCCGAAAGACACGAGTGTAGCAACGAGGGGAGGTTACATCCGTCCACGGGATACAACATCTCATTATTCTTTTCGGCTTCTTCGCTGAGGGACTGAGGGAGAGGAGGCTTTTCTTATCCTCGGCGCTCCCTTCGCTCCTTCCCAGATTCTCCCCTGGGGGTCTGCGTTGCTTCTCCTTCACGGAGTCGAAGCGAAAAGTTCGTCGGATGGGACCGCAAACCAATATCCAGTGTCGAATCTTCCTCTTCGACTCGCTCGATGTTTCAGCTCTCCCACCCAGGGGCTTTGCCGCAAAATTTTCCCGATAATAATTATTGCCCTCCAAATATCAGCGCTTTCGTGCTAATCTTAAGTTCGACCCCATCCTTCGAAGATGACAGGAATATCACTGGAAGCAAGTACGTTTCGGAGTTGATCTTCGGTTACGTGAACCCAATTCGTCGCGCAGGCAATCGCTCGATTCCAAAAGGTCTTTGGAGCTCGGTCAAGAGAGGTCAATCGGGTCTGTCCCCTCCGCGCATTATTCCTCAAAGATTGGGTCCAATACTAAATAGAACTCTGAGCTCGAATGAGACAGAGCGCGGAGCCTCTTCCCTGCGACGCCTCTGCTGCTGAGAGAAACCTCAGCCAGCTACAGGCCTAATCTGTTGCACAATACTTCGCTGCTCCCAGCCAGGGATCTGCGACGAGAATCGGGCCCAATTCCTCGCTTTGTCATCATCGAGCCGTCATCAAGCTTGTCGACATTTCGGGCATTTTGTCGTCGACCTCGTTGTACCCGGCTAGATTGAGATAGACTGAGAGTCTCGTATTGTGAGGTCGGCACAATTAGCCAACTTAGATTAAGGCGGCAGCGATGGCGAGCGGTGCGATCGTTTGGTCGGATATGCAAGTCGTTTCCTGCTGTTTATTGGGCGCGACTTAGCGCCATACGAAGCACGCGGAGAGATTGGCTCGCCACCCTTACAGCTTACAACAAACACCCCCGCAGACATCGTTCCGATAAGAATCTGCACCGAAATTTGAGCCTTCCTTGGTCAGTCCGATGCGCGGACGGAGGACCCGAGAAGAAAAAAGATGTTGATTCTTTCTGATAATCGGGATAACTAGATCCGCTCAGCTTCGAACGGTCGGTTGGTTTGATCGACGGACGGTCGGACTGGCGAACGGAGACACAGATTGGACGAGTGCATCCGGAAACAACATCCGACTGCCCGTTCTGTGCTCAAGCATCCGAAATCTCATTGACGGAACGAAGAGCTCGCACAATGGGGGGATCAAGCGACTACAGCTCGAATTCTTATTCGATACAACTCTGGCGGGATTGCCGATTCTCGAGCTTCCGCGGCGAGTGAGGAGAAAGTTCCCCAACCGGAGGAACTTCCCGCAGGAAACGCGGAGCTCGGAATGACTTTCCCCAATCTGAGTGAGGTCACGAGAGAGAATTTTGTTGTACAGCTGGGCTCGCCACAGATTCAAATGAAGTGAATCGGAGACCTCGTCCGTCCCCCGTGCTTTATGGTATTTGGGAGAATGACTGATAGATAGTTCATTGAGGGCTCCGAGCTGAGTTGGCTCAGATCGAAAAACAAAGAAGCGGAACGGTGACAATCTTCCTCGTCACTTTTCTGAGACACCTTCAAGAAGTGGATCTCGAGGAGCCAGCAACCCCTCCTCGATACAAGCTCAAGGGGTGTCAGTATTTTGTTATTTCAACTGGTTCTCCAAGACAAGAACGCGCTCCCATTTTGACGCTTGACTGACATCTTCATCTCACGATTCGACTCGAGCTCCAAGTGTTCGTTTCACTGTCCAGTCCACTGAAGCGATTTGTCTCGGACTCTTCCTGTTCGGGAAGAGAAACTCCAGTTCTACAGAAAAAGAGGATGCGCTCGGCTTTCCGGAATAAAAGAATCCCTTACTTGAGAGTGCTGGGAGAATGTCCGAATGATTCGTTCAGATTCGCCACACGGAACAGAAGTGCTGTGCCGATCCTCTTCGATTTTTTCGGAGGGCTTGTGAACGAGGATAACGACAGCGTCTAATTACACAGGAAATTGGACTCGAATGCTCGCGGGCCGATGATTCTCGAGTAACGATTGTGGGCCAGGGAACGAATAAGTGTAATTTTCGCATTGTCCATGTTGCGAATGCTTCGTTAAGGAGTTTTTGAGTTTCCGCTCCGATGGTAGATTAGAATTAGACTTTACTCTTGGGCATGACCTACGGATTGGAATCCTCATTCGATTCGACGGATTCTCCTGTTGGGATTATATTCCGCATCACGTAGGCGGGATCATTCCAGCGACCCTATTGGATAGTCAGATCAGGAGACGACCAAAGATTGACATATTCATATCGAAGACCGCCCGGGTGTAACTGCCCTCGAAAGTCCTCGACTATCACAATCCTTAGAATCTCATTCAGACTCAGCGGTCGGTACTCGAACTTACCTAATTATCCTGACACTTCTTCCCGCGGGAGACTTGACGCTCGACAGCACATGTGGATGCGGCTGATGACAAAGCTCGCGGTTGAGCATATTGCGGACCCCGTGCTCCCCGCCTCCCGTCTGACACATCATGGATAGCCAGAGGGCGTGTACCATACTTCGAGGCCCGCACCGATGATACCTGGGACGGATCGAGGGAGAATAAGGTTCAAGCCCCGGGACGTAATGCCTGTTGCTGAATTTCCCTTCATTCCAAGACGAAAAGTTTTCTATAATGGCGCTCTCGCGAGCCACCGAGATCGAACACCTCAAGGGCGCGGATTCGCTGCGTGGGTCGCAGCTCGCTCTGAAGTCTCCTTTTAGCGCTGTCCGCGCGGAATTCAGCTGGCGGATAGCGTGGGAGCTGTCCAAGTTTCTTCGTATCCCATTCTTGAGCGGGGGGGGCCCTGTCCGCCGCGATGACGTGAACCTTGGGAATACGAGGCTTATGAGATAATTATAATTCGGAGCTTCTGCGTTCGCGAGCTGCGATGTTAGGACGACAGCTTCTGACCTGACGTCCTAACATCGAGAAGCGAGAGTGAAAAGACTTTCGCTTCTGTTGGTTCTCTGGCGTTCTCTTGGACGAGCCATGATGAAATAGCCGGGGCTCATTGCAGCGCAAGAAAAAATCGAATTATGATATTTTAAACTCGTCGACAACAATGTTCGGCAGTATGTCCAACCGACCACGTCTCTTCTCAGACATCGTCCTCGTGATTTC